GGTGTTAATAAATTAAATAATTTACCACCCTATGGATTATACAGATAAAAATCAGTTTCTCAATCGGTTGATTAAATTGAGAAACTTGCAATTAACAATAAAATAAAATGAAAATTAATTTAAATAACTTTGGTATAAGTATTCACGTTACACTTGAAAACTGGAAGGCCAACATACCCAATAATCAATACCTCGTGCAAATATAAATATTTTTGTATATTAATAAACCATTAATTATCTAGAGCACTTTGAATTATAATGAAATAAAGTTTAATTAAGAATCAATATATAAAAGGCTTTTATTTCGAAATTTGACTGCCTAATTTTAATTGCAATTTTCAATAAGTTAATCAAGGAAATCATAATTTAATGCTCTGAACTTTTGAAAGCTGCTGTATGTTATAGACGAGCCAGCTGACCTGTCCGATGGTTTCTTTTTTATCTATCAACGATATACGTGTTCGTTCACCGCGAAAATTGCACTGGACGATGATAACGGTAAAAACGGATTCGTAGCACGTTTCTCGAGTTTCGAAAACCGCGAAACACCGACGGCCTTTGCCGCGCGATATCGCGTTGCAAGAAACACACCAACCAGACTGGAGTACTACGTAACACATAATGCCGTGAATAATTCGAACGATAAGATACGTTAGCGGTCGGCTGCTTTTTCTGCCGGCTTAATACGCATCGACGTGAACGAGGAATTCTTACAAAAGCACGTTTCCGATGGAAATTCAGTGGCGTTGAATTTGGAAAATTGCTTAAGAATTAATATCTATTTTCTAACGACTTACCAATTTCGTTAGATTACCAGGTCAACGATGACACACATGACACATCCATTCCGGTTACACACCGCGTTAAACTTGCACCGTGAACTTAAGAATTAGTGACGACTAATAAATTAAGGAAACTACGGGGATACGATACCGACTGCTCGAAAGACCGCGAAGAACTGGCTAGAGGCCGCGACCCCACCATGCGGTATACCGTCGTCGAGGATGCCAACAAATGTAAACATCGCTACAGCTGATCGTCGTGACATATATACCTATACACTTCTACAGGGTGTCTATAAAATTGATAAACCATAATTAAATAATAATAAACCTGAAAATTAAAAAGAACATAATTTTATGACTTAAAATTGAGGGGTTGGAATCTGAAAAATCAAAGCTATTTTTCATTTTTATTTTTTTAGACAGAAATCATGAAGTTAATAGAAAATCGGTAATAAGTCTTTTATTGTGTATGCTTTAAGGTATACGAGAGTATTTTTGGATTTTTTTTATTCAAGAAAATGGCGGAGATATAGCTGCCTCATGATTAGGACGTTTTCTCAAAACTAGTTACAGTGAGGCACCTGTAGCTCCGCCATTTTGGTGAATAAAGAAAATAAAAAAATATTCTCGTGTACCTTAGGATGTGTATAATTAAAGGTATGTAACAGATTTTCTATTTACTTTATAGTTTTTTCAAAAAAAATTGTTGAAAATAGCTTTGGTTTATTAGGTTCAGACTAGTGCAACCCTTTAAATCTTCATCGAATTATGAGGGCCTGAAATTATATTTTTAGTGAATGTAAAATTTATTTAACCTTCTACTATCTTATCAGGTTTTTACACGTTGCAAAACAAATTCGTTTGCACTTACCAACTTGGTAAAATGGTTGACTGTTTCCATACGAGATCATAATTTTTTGTTTTCTATGTTTTAAAACTAAACAACTTGGTCCATCGTCCAAGGGTGTCAATTCTTTTTTTTAATATGATCACCCTATATTTCTAGACATTTGTTAGAGCATTCCTATTTTTTTATAAATGACTAATTGACAAGAGTACACACAGTCTATTGTATAAAAGCAGTCAAGCCAGAAACTGTTGGACCTCATTGTGAATATATATACACACGTGTGCGTAAGCATGTGAGTACTTACGTATTCAGTGGTTTGCCGCCCTCGTCTCGTCTAATCCTGTCTGCACGTGCGTATCGTGGCATCCCGACGTTGCAATATAGGTAAAGTAAAATTACACAGGTTTCTACTTTGAAGCTGAAAACCGACATACTTGCAAACGGGCTATTCAAACTTATTTGCGATACAGAAATACCTGCCGCAAGCATATCGGGTGTACGCGAGTCTTACTTTTAATCGAGCGTAACTAAAACTAAAAATACAGGATGTATAAACGCTTTATTATCATGTTTCATTATATTGAAGAACACTTCATTTGTTTCCATTTCAAAATGCTGTCCACCATTTTGGATGCAAGGGGCAGCCAAGCCGTGCCCCAGCGCCTGTGGCGCCATAGCGAATCGCAACCTTATCTTGGGAGTAGGCAATGACAGAAATTGTAACACGAGTAGAGGAAGTCGCGAGAATTTTTTTTTTTTCTTCATATGTATTTAATATTTGGGTTAGTAGAGTTATAGTCCCAAGAGATAAAAGTTGAGTACTAGGGCCTAAATTATGGCTGTCTTCGTCGTAAGGCATGCGTGACCAAATACTAGCTTCTCAGTAAGGCTATTGATTTGGATCGAGTACCCGGGTAGTTACGAGGTACCTAAACACATAAAACAATCGGAAATCTTCAGTTTCAAAACCGATTGTCTTTTGACCATGGTTCATGAACGTCGGTAATGTAGGGAGTGATTGTCTCATGACTTCTCATGAATCTCATGATTACCGAGGTAGCTCGGTAATTTATCTCTTTTTCTTCTCGATCCAACAGATACTATGTTTATTTTTTAATTATAATTATCTTCATGCCGTGTACTTAATACTAGAAACTACTGATCAATATAAATATTTATTTTTACAGAAATAATCCCAACAATCTTCTTTCTCTTTCACGGAAACACTATTTGTTGTTTTATTTTCCAGTATCTTGCACCTTTCCTGGATTAATTCAACCAGAAGCATTTTCTCGTATTCTGTAAGATTCCTGGTTCTCTCCTTTTTATTTACTGGCTCCATTTGTCTATTTATCTGATTAAAATAAATTCTGAACTTTGGAAAAAACAATTTAATTGAAATTATAAGCTTATTATTTTCAGATACACATATTATAAATAAGATTAGACAGACTTTGGTTGTGCTGCTTCTTTCTGGTTATGACACGCTCATTACCTATGTACAGTGACTACAATCGTATCAGTATGACTTGGTATTATTGTCCATAAATTTTGAAACGATTGAAAAACGCGGCGTTAAATTTCGCGGGAACATGACGTCACGATATCTTTAGTTGTGTATGTTAAAATCAGTGATACAAGGTATGCATGTAGAGAAGCGACATCAGAGCCGCCTGGATTTTCTGCGCTGAGTTAAAATTTGCATCAAGTTCACAAGAGTGGAGCTTGGAGGGCCTGCTCCAAATTCAAGTCACTGGATCTGTAGTCACTGCTATGCACCAATCACATCACTTGATACGAATATCGTTGGATTAGCACGCGTAAGGTATACGTTCAGTTGATCGGAACAAAGGTGGCGTTGATGGAAAGCAAAGTATATACGTTGACTAAAGATTAAACTGCGTTCAAAATTGAACGCAGTTCACAGGAACTCTGAATTGACTTTACTTTAATTTTCCCCGGTTCGGAAAAAAGGGATACATTTTTACATCCCGTTTCCTCCGGGCGGCATACTTTGGGTACGTTTACTGTCCCTTTTGCCCAACGAACATTTTCGGCCACGCGCGCTTTGCGCGCCTCTTTTCGAATTTCATTCTCTTTTGCATTTTACATTGTTTCATACATTTGCCATACTTTTGCTTCTGTTTTTTCGCCATACTTTTACAATTTTTTGCTTGAGTCTGTATGTATGTGTGTGTGTGTGTGTGCGTGTATGTCCCCTTTTAGTCGCCTCTTACGACAGGCAGGGGATACCGTGGCCGTATTCTAATCCCCCCGAGCCACAGAGGTCTACCACTCTGAATTGATCTATGTTGGAGGAAACGGGCATTAGACTTTTCTTAGCTTACGGAAGTTGGTTGATTTGATAACGAGTAGAGTAGATGATGGGTTTGATTAAAAAATACCAAAATATCACATTTGTATTACAATATAATCGATATTACATTAATTTTACATTCCACTTTTAATGAAATATAAAAATATAATTTTATGTTGAAAAATTTATGTTGAAGTGCAGACAAAAAACGAAAATAATTTTATTCGAACAAAATCAGAAAATAGACATATGCATATTATGTATATTCTATTATAGAATACTATATCTAATTGTATAATAGAATATTTAGTATGCATAGTACTATATTTAACTCAACATAAAAATATCATTTATTAATACTATGTAATTAACGACGTAATTAATCACGTAAATCTTCCCGACATTTATTTTAATAATTCCATTGTGCAATACTATTAACACAGTTGTACTGTTTTATAAATCATATCTATTGTTGTGCTTGAAAAATGAAACACCCAAAAATAAGTACAAATTAATTATTTTACCCCAAAATTCCTAAGCTCTATTTATAAGTAAAGTTTATATTAAAATATGTTATGGATCACAAAAACGATTTGGCATACGTTCTATGTGATAAACAAAATCACTGTAACAATAAAATATTAATAACAATATGAAATTCATAAATTTTGTCATGATCAAAAGAAAACTCTGTATGAAAACTAAATTATTTCAAACTTAGAATTGACTTGTTCCATTAAATAAAACAATTATTCAATCCCTAAATAAATATATAATAAGTACTAAAGTAACAATCCAATAAATCGTTAAAATCACTATTAGAGATTACTTGTTTAGTGGAAAAGCTGTACTTTTGGAATAATGTAATAAAATTTCGAAATATTTCGAAAAATTGAAAATCTTTAACCCATTAATAATAACAACTTATTTTTACGTATATATAAATATTTTATATATAAATTACATCTTATTTGTATGTAACGTTTCAATCAAAATTTTTTCTTCATTAAAATAAGAACTTTAATGAAGAATATGTGAATTTAATTTGTTTTTTCTTTGAATTTTTGGATGGCGGCATCGGCGTTATTATTAAGTATTTATCACTTTCAATCACCATTTCTAGATTTGTGTAAAATATTTACACTGTGATTTGTCAATTACTTATTTACAATGTACAAAGGAAGCCTACGTTGCCCGTGACCATCCATCATAATTGTCTTTTCGTTTTAATGAGATTTAAAAAAATAAATTAATTTTAATAAAAGCAATATATACAGAATTAAATTTGAAAGAAATGTATCTTGGGTTAGCACAGACCTGATGGTACCAATGCTTCGTTACTCCGGCTACTCGCCATCCGAGGATTGTAATACCAAAAAGCCCGTCTGCTATTATACCTCAGGTACTGTAGGTGTTCAAAATTGATTAACTAAATAGAAATATCATTTTCTAATGACAACATTTTTTGCAATTCAATTCTTCGTCGAGTGCTTCGATACCCATAGTCCATACTACTGATGAATCTGTATTTATAGTTACTTCAGAACAATCGTCATACGTATTTGAAGAGCTTATTAAACCACCAAATTGTAAAGTCGCACGATCTGAAAAATAAAACATTGTTTTGTAATAATAAACTAATTGAAATATTTATTTACACTTACTTAAATTCCACTTTAAACCAGTTGTTGTTATACAGTTAACAGGTGCACCAATTGGTAGAAGTCCACACCAGCTATTACTCTGGACCAAGATTTTAGGAATAATTATAGTATGGAAACCTGGCTTTAAAATCCATGTCAATGAATTACTTGCTATTTGAATCACCTGAAATAAAGAAACAAAACTGATTATATAGAATTATTAGGAATGTTACAGAATAAAAAATAATCACCGGTATTATCGGAATGTATTGTCCAATGAGCTTATCACTTTTATGAAGAGTATTAAGATTTTCAATAATATGATCCAATCTTCCTGATGAGTCTACAAACACGTATATTCCGTTTAACTGTTAACAATAATTTTCATGTAATCAAATGCAATTCATTCGATAAAGTTTAATAAGATATCCAATATTACATTTATATTTTCCTTTTGAGCATATTGTCCTAACTGAATCAAAGCTTTTGTATAATCTGTATAATCCTGGTTGATTGTTTCTATGACCCTTGAACCTATGGACTGCAACCTCTCTAGGATTAATGGACTACAACTGTCCATGTCTCCAGTAATTAAGTTTGGTATATATTCATTATGCTTTCCATTGAAGACATCTATACCTTGCTCTTCTAAGTAATGTAACCAAGCATGTGTTCCACCATCAACAGTAACATTAATTTGTGCTAAATAATATAAGTATTTGTTAGTAAAATATTTTTAATAAAGATGAAAATTCTATACGGATAGAAACCTACCCTTTTCCCATATCCTAAGGACACTGTCATGCTTCCAATAAAGAGGACGATTCAGTATAACTACAGCATATTTGTAATGTGTGGGACACTTAAATATTTGTGAAGGATTCCATACTGTTCTATTGGAATCTGAATCATGTTGCATCGCTTGGCTTGATTGATATTTTCTTAAAACTGCAAAGAAACGTTTAAAACATTAGGTTATGTAGCACAGTTTAAAAATTCGTCACTTGAACAATTCAGTCACTGTCAGAAAATTGTAGTTCTATTAATATCTTATAGAATCATAAGAGAACACTTATATAAAATTACATTGAAGATTTACTATTTTTAATATAAGCCTTACATAATAATTGTCGGACTGCATTCGCGACGAAACTCAATTTCGAAATACTTCGTTTGAGAACGTGCATGACTTATATACGACGATTTACGCAGCAATAATAATAAAATAATTTTTTTCAATTTCTTTCTTTTATGTTTTCATATTCATAATTATTTTTAATAATTGATATAGAAATTTAAATACATGTCAATTCAGTATTTAAATGTCATCACCACGTGGTTTGGACCTAACAAAAATGCTTATTATATATTATTTCTAAAGTAAATTCGAATAAAATTAATAATCTCTGTTATTAATTAACTACATGATAACATTTTCATTAGCATAAGTATCTGCATTGTTAACACTGCTGAAAATATGGATTAGTATTACGTCTATTCAGAAACACCTTATAGTTCGACAATCGTTTATCGGTATCACATAAATCATTATAATCGCACAAGAAGTGTATTGAAACAAAATAAAGATGCTCTAAATTCGATGCATCACACTTATGGGAGGCATACATATATAGCTAGGATTGAAGGGATATCGATGAAAAGACGCCTTATATGTATTTTCCCATAAACTGTTCTATCAATCTCATTCAGTTATCGAATTTATTGAAAGCGTAACAATAATTAATATGGACCGTTGTATATTTTCATTATAACTCTGTGAAGTAATCCTCGATAAATTATGTCATCCAAAATTTGGGTTTGGAAGAAAGTTCCTGGTATAGTCGGTCGATGTAACGATGTCATTTATTCACGTCCGAAAACACCTCCGAGCCAGGATCTTCTTTTATATTTTGGGGGAGATGTTCAAGTACATTTAAATATCATTTGTAATTAGGTAATATGTTACATAGTTTACAGTATAATTTCTTTCTAGGACATTCAGGAGAATATGGAACAACATTCAGATAGTAAAAAGTATATAGAATGGAATTTGCAAAATACTGCTCATATACTATCAACAAACTTCCCCAAAAAACATATAATTGTCATTCGTCCATCGAGGTGATATTATAAATAATATTTGAGACAGTATATTTAATATGCTTTTGTTTTACTATTTTCAATTTTGTTTTAGAATATATGTAACAATGCATGCTTTGTTTAGCTGTTTTGATAACTTTGTACCAGGAAATGAATATGGTATCCCATCGTACCTTCCAACACATAATGGTTTAAAACATTTACATGAATTGGTAAAATCATGTTTGGATCATATTAAGACATGCAGTGGTAATGAGGTATGTTTTAAATCACTGTATGTGGTCTGCATGTAATCTTACATATATTTCAATTTTTAGGATCCTAGTCTTTTCAGTATTGAGAAAATAAAATTAACATTAATGGGCTTTAGCAAAGGCTGTGTTGTTTTAAATCAGTTGCTTCACGAGTTTCATTACTACCAAAGAAAATCAAAACCTGATGTTGAAATTAATAATTTTACAAAACTTATTGAAAGTATATGGTGGTTAGATGGTGGACATGCAGGAACTAAAGATACATGGATCACAGATAAATCCATCTTGGAATCATTTGCAAAATTAAGTAATATACGAAAAGAAGTTGCAATTTGTTTCTAATTTTTAAATATTTAATTATATTTAAAAACTGATGTATTATTATAGGGATAAATGTTCACGTACATGTTACACCATATCAAGTTCAAGATTCTAGTCGTCCGTGGAATCGCGAAGAGGAAAACCGATTTTCTACTACTTTGAAAAATATCGGAGTTCCCATAAAACGGGAATTACATTTCACGGATAAACCAAGAAGTTTGCTGCTTCATTTTAACGTTATCAAAGCTGTTGGTAATTGCACACAGTAAGGTTGTGATATTTGCCTCATTTATTTTAAGATTTAATAAAAAAAAGTCTGCGATATTTAACTTTTATCAGTAAGTAATAATATTAACACATTTATGCCTTAAATTATTAAATGCACTATCAGACATGAAATAATTAAAAAAAGAAAAAAAAAAGAAAAGATAAAAAACCTGTAGTTTTAATTATAGTTAATTACAATTTATATCTGTTCTTTTTACAAGACAGTTAACTTCTTGATTCAATATTTACATGTGATTTTAATCACAATCTTGTTAGTTTTTAGTAACATCTGTTTTAAATAATGATATACACTATACTGTTCAAAGTACAGTAAAAGCTGGATATATGCAACAAAAGTTTGGCTGGATATATGCAACATCCCTCCACTTGGATCCCCATCCCCCTAAGCGAACCGAGCCGCTCGACGAGGAAACCGTGTAATATGATCCGACCGTAATATCGGTGTGACTAATACTAATTGAACGATAAAACTTTTTTATTTTTAACTTTTTCTTAATGAAACTTTTACTAACGCATTTGTGAGATTTTTCTGATTAAAATGATACCAAACATAAGGCAGGCCGTACACCAAAGATGCATCAAACACGCAACATGCAACATGCAACACGTCGCATGTTGTGTACGAACGTAGAATAGGTATCGCGGCTGAATACAAACGATGTGTACGGACACAGAATCGACACCTCGACTAGATATATGCAACGTTTAAATGCCCAGAATCGACACCTCGGCTGGATATATGCAACGTCTGGGTCCCAATGTTTGTTGCATATATCCAGCTTTTACTGTAATATAATAAAATAAACATGGATAAAAAGTAAATGCATATAAAGTGTTTTTTCTTTACCTGATAATATTCTTCAGATAAGCCAAACAGTTACAATGTTCACTTAAATGGTATTTAGATTACTGTGATTCAAATGTATTTGTAAAAATTTTTAAAATCTTATTTTCTACTAACATGTTACATGAAAGAATTTATAATATAACTTCTGATATGTTTCACATATAATACTTCTATTAATTTATGGCAAAAAATTCATGTAACACGATTAATAGAGAATCAGTACAAAATAAACATTTGATTTGAACAATGAAGTTTAATATTGTACTAGCATCTGGTTTGACACTTCTTTTTATCATATGTTATGTTCCCAGATTCTGAAAGAAATAATTGTTAATAAGTGTAAGATAATTGAAACATTGATATCACTTTTTGATAAAGGTATTTACCATTGTTTGAATAAGGTAATATGACTTCATCCCATTCATCAGATCCATCACAACAATCACAATATCCATCATTAACTTTGTAAGATGGTATTTTTACTGTGATTTGATTAAAATCATCAATAATTTTATTTTTTTTAAATGTGTATACAATAAGGTATAAAATGTTAAATACCTGGAAAGTGCAAGGTTGAAATTTCACAATGAAACACACCATTGTTACATGCATTAGTGCCAGGCTCATCGCTACCATCCAAGGGACAGTCACAATAATTGTCGTTAATTTTAAAGAAGTCTATTTTATCTTTAGAAGTAAAACATACAAATTCTCCTTGGGCATTTGGTAGGTATTTTGAAATATCCTGATCGCGTGTTCCACGCAATGATACAGTTTTACCTTGTTTATCACGTAAAAGTTTAGAATGTGAGAGGTCGTTCCATTTTGAATGTACTTTACCAGTAACAATGTAATTAGACGTTCTTACGGATCCACTAATTAATTTCCCTACAATTGCCTGATTAAGTTCTTTGAAATAAACCAGCTGATGTATTACGAAAATAATAGCTGCTATAAAAACGCAGATCAGTGTGTATTTCAATTTTTTTCTTAATAAACGACGTTTCCAAGATATCTCAGTTTTCATATTTGCCGGTTCAAGAGTCGCCTGATATTCTTTAAAAGTTGATAATTTTTTGGTTCAATACTTGCTTCTGCATATGAAGCATTTGTTAAACATATCACATAATGGAGTTATAAATAAAATATGTATTTTTTTTTTAAATCAGAGGTCACATCGCGTATTATTTACAAACATTATATGGAGTACGATTCACTTTGAACACAGTCAAAATTACAATGGTACTAAAATGTTATGTATACCGCAGTTCACCAGAGTCCATAACTGCGACGCACAGGTTGGAAGATGGTGGGGGAACGCAGCGAGCTCTCTGCTAATCGCTTTCCACTTCGTTTGGAAGTATCGCCAATCAGGGCGAAGATGCGTACTGGAGAAGCGCGAAGAACGAAAACTGGTCTTTTGGCAGTTATGGACTCTGGTGAACTGCGGTATAAACGAAGTTGTCTACGATTCATCGATATTTCTGATAATCGAAAAGGCGATTTGAATTTCCGCCGGGAAGTTTAACAGGTAACCTAATAATATCGAAGTCCCAAGTACGAGTCTGTTGTTTTTTAGGATCACAAATTTTTCTTATCGATTACTTATTAAATATTATAAGTATTTTTTTTTTCTCAAATAAATAGTTGCTAAAGCGAGTCAGTTCGTTAATTAACCAGTAAAATGAATAGAGCTCGATTCGAAAGTCGGTTGTTAAAACAATTAATTATGTTTGCATCCAAGTTTTGTAAGGATCTAGTCAGTAATTATTTAATTATAAATAATCGTATGGTAATAAATAAACCTAAATTGCTATTGTTAAAATGCAATAGCTTTAATTTTTTCCAAGCATATAAATTAATTTCATTTGTTTTAATACATTTTTATCTTGTAACTATAAATGCAAAAATATGTAACTAAGTACTAAACAGAAATTAATGTTAAATTTTACCAATGATGACTTTAATGACGAAATATTAAAATACTTGAGGAAAGAGATTACGAGATCTATTTCATCGTATATTACAATATGGAAAAGAAATATGAAAAAATTGTCACGTAATACAATAGCTCGTAATAGTATAAACTTCGGTGCATGTGTTATTAGTGTTTAATTTATAGGGTTCTTTCAAATTCAAGCCGATAAAGCAATTTTATTATTACATTGGTCTTCCCATGCCGCGTCCCATTGGCGCTTGAGGACCATTGTCCTGACCGCTCTTGGGATTCTTTATGGTTTCATCTACAGACAAAATAAGACACGCCGCTTCGGATGCAGCGGTTAATGCGTTAATTTTGACAACGGCAGGTTCCCATACGAAAGCTGCCATATTGTCACCGATATCTTCGGTATTAATATCAACGCCATAAGTATGCATGCCTTTGTGCTGTTTCTGTCGCAGTTTATTTAGAATACTAGTTGCATCGAAACCAGCATTATCACATAATTGCCTAGAAATAACATAATTACATTTATTTTTCATAAAATTAATATTATTATCTACTGTCCTCCGATGACAAAAAGTCTCGCGAGATAACGCAGACTAGGGGACACTAGGCAAACGACTAACTCCCTAGTTTTATACGAGCCTAACTAGTGCGACTTCTTGCGATCAGTGGACAGGAAAGGATATGTACCTTGGAATAACCTCCAATGCACGAGCTATTGCTCCAATTAAAAGTTGCTCTTTTCCTGCTACAATACGAGAGTAATCCCGTAAAGTTTTTGATAGCTCCATTTCAATAGCTCCTCCACCAGCCACATAAGCGTTAGTTTTAAACAAACGTCTTACAACCATAATAGCATCGTGCAAAGATCTCTCAGTTTCTTCCAAGAACTGCTCGGCTCCTCCGCGCAATATGAATGTACAAGTTTTAGCACGTGATCCTTCATAGAAGAAGTTGAATCTAGAGATAAATATATTGTTATTATAATTGACAATAAAGATCGATTAACACTGGGATTAAATACCTTTCTCCACCAATTTGTCTTTCTTCAAACATTTCACACCTGCCAAGGTCGGAATCCTTAATATCATGTACCGTGGTTAAAATGTTTCCTCCGCAAGCTTTCAATGTTCTCCTCAAATCTTCCTCGGGAACCCTGCCCGCACAGAACATATCACGGTCCGCGAAGTATTGCGTAGCAACATCACCAATTGGTAATTTTGACAATACAACTTGCGCCCCACTCTGATGAATTTTATCGAGCTTGTTATATAAAATCTGCCATTCGGCGTCGACTATCTTTTGATATTCGGCAACATTATCCACGCGTATTTCTGCGTTGTCCCTTTCTGCTTTGAGTTCTAACTCTATATTCAACAGAGCAATTTTACAGTCTTGATATTTCTTAGGCTGCATTTCAAATCCAGCATAAGAAAAGGTTTTTTTAAAAGCTACTCCTTTGACCAGTTCTGAATCTTCTAATGCTCCACCGGAAACTTTCTTAATTCCAATCATGTTAAGAGGTAACATATCATCAAGCATCATAACAGCTTTGACAACCATACGGCTGAAGAATTTTTTTTGTTGGTGAATTAATTTTGAACTCATAGACGTAGCTGCACATTCTTCTAAAAGTTCCATTAGTTTTTCTTTGCTAGATTTGTCTATTTTCACACTGACTGCATTTATTTTGTTAACTGCTACTTGAAGGGCAATACGGAGAGCTTTGATCATGATACGCGGGTGTACGCCTTCTTCAATAAATGGTTTCATTTGCTTCAAAAATTCTCCTGCTAGTAAAACAACACTTGTAGTACCGTCACCAACCTGTAATACAAAATAGAGAGATTTACACAAAGTTTTATATTTCATAAAATGTTTGAACATTATTGAGGTAACTACAAATCTTGAAGAAGTTACCAGTCTAGCAGTTCTTAAATACTGTTCTCTGCATATAAACTGGTAAATGTTATACTTTGCACATTACCATTTTCTCTTTTTACAGAGCTAATTTTTTAATTAGATGTTACTTACTTCGGCATCCTGAGACTTAGCAATATCTACTAAGGTTTTAGCTGCAGGATGAATTACTTCTAAAAGTTTTAAAATAGTTGCACCATCATTCGAAATAGTGGCTTTTCCATTTTGGTCAACAATCAGTTTATCCATTCCTCTTGGACCTAGAGTAGTCCTCACAGCATCTACCACTACTTGGCATGCATTTATGTTGGATATAAGCTGTTGCTTTCCCTGTGAGGCATCTGTGCCTTCTTTGAGTAAAATTATTTGAGGTTGCTGGAAGGAATATAAATAATTTTGTATATCTATTACTAACAATGAAATAGTAATTCTGATAACAATAATTATATACTCTCATGTATTTTCCCATTTTTGCTATTTTTTTATTCAATTGTACATGTGACTTTTACAGTAATATGGCGATTATAAGTTTTCTGTGAATATCTTGTCAAATTTCAAAAGACAGATGAATTAAGAATTAGTTTCTTTGTTTTGTTACTATGTAAAATGTTGATTGCTTATAAAATTAATTAGTTTATATAAATTTCCCAAGGAATGGATTTTTATTTGATTCATTATTAATGCGTTTCCGCATGCACGTTATGGAAGTGAACTGAAATTATCCTTATAAGGTTAGAGCAACCGAACCTATAACATGATATTCATTCTTCCGTGCAATAACTTATTACTGCCTAAAAATATTGATACTAATTAAGTATAGTCATTCTTCATTGTTAAAACGGTCATTACTTGTCAACATAAATTATATTTTCTTTCTAAAGTAAGGAAGCAGTCGGCATTGAAATTGTGAATATAAATTTATATTCTTATCAGAGAATAAAAACTTCATATTCTTTTATGGCTAAAATGAGAAACTTCATCTCTGGCTTACCATTTTTATAACTTATCGTTCGATTAACTGGCTTTCGTTTTTATTTTATACACTGTTCGAGCAGGAATACTTCGGTAACCTGTAAATTACTATTCGAGATGATTCTACTAAGGATACAAGCGTTGAGTGTCGTTCATACTCAACGGAAGAAGGTTTGTCAGAAAGCATTGACCAATCAGAAATAAAAATTTAAACTTACCAAATTATTTGATATTCTTTTTAAATATTTCATTTAATCATTAACGTAAGGGTTATTATACAAATATATATTACTACTAATGGAAGTAATATTTAACTACCTCACTTGTATACTAACATAAGTATGCAATTAGAATATGAAGGGGTAGCAAACCACTAATTAATTTTTTACTTTTTAGTGTGTAATATTATATTTACAGCTATAACAAAAATTTTTAATAGAAAATTCAGTATTCAAATACTCTTTTCTTTTTATTTATTTATATATAAAATAGAGTATTCACCTAAATAAGCAATAGATGGCAGTCATTTATGCAAAAATGATGACCGGAAACGGAGGAACACTGGAGGATTTAGTTTTTGGTAGCATCGCAAGGGGGTTTAATTCGTGACCCATTTACGTGAATAGAAATTAAGATTCAACATTTACCGCCCATTTATTTTTAAACATGCTACAAGTTCTTAGTGTACACCCAGGAAGTGTCTTACCGGCAAATTCTAGTCGTGTTACAGCTTTCAAGAGATGCGCGCATTTATCTGAAATTACATATCACACATGTCGACATATAAATATTACAAAAAGTGTATATATTGTGTTACACGATACTCTTAATTTTAAGTAAAATCCAGAAGGATCGTATCTTACACGCTTCAGAACAAGACAGTTTTATTACCGAGGTAAAAGCAAATTCAAAATTTTAACAATGTATCTTCACAATTTGTAAAGATAATTTTGCACATTTCCCTTTTTGAATTTGTCACTAATATATTTTGTGTAACCAATCATTTTTACTTGACATCAATCGATTTGCATCACAAGTAGAAGATACATGTGCCTGCTAAGTTGGCCAAACTACTGTCACGGAAGTAGGTCTATTCGCGAGTAGTCAAGGCTAACTAAATATAGTAATATTAGTATTGTATTTTTATAATAACTTTTTAAGATCAAATATCTTCCTTAGGTCCAGGTTAGGTTCTCCTTAGTATACTTACCCATACTTACCTTTAATTAAGAGAAGTCTACATTGCACCAAAATGTACATACATTTTGCATCCCAAGTGCTGACCTTACGACTTTGCACATGCGCGAAATAACTCCCACCCCACGACAAGGAGCCAATGACAAATCGATATGTTCGAAATTTTCACGCGAAAGCTTTTGACTATTTCTCTTTCAGCAGTTAATAGTGAAATCTCGTGTCTGATGTGTCTCGAATAGTAAGTAAAACGGTCACGTGCTGTATCAGTGAGATTTTAAGTTAAAGTAAACTGATCAAACTGTTAAATGTCCACGATCCCGCCATTTTTATTGTTTACCAGTTTCATCACTATTATTATCGTAACTATACACTTCATACACGTTCAATTAAATCCTCAAAATTATTTATTACACCTGGAACATAATTTAAAAATTAATATTTTTATTTATTTAATCAAAAATTGCATTACACATATATTTTGATATAAAAAGGGCACTCAATGTCAAACTAAGGTACTTACTGCAGTATATCTAGGTTTATTTTTGGGTACTTATTTAAACATCAAATTCTTTGGGAGAGAGTAAGAAAATTGACATAAAATTTATCTGGACGTTACGTAAGATCACCTTTGAACATCTTTCCAAATTTCTGATAATATCTGAGGAATAATTTATTTTCTTTTTTTAGATGGTACTTATTAGTATAGAGTGAAAAAGATGGGGGGAAATTATTCCACCGTTTATTGACACTGATTACACCAAAATTTTTATGAATTTTATTTTTGATGATTCCTCGTTACCAGCAGGTGTATACTTATCATTTTATCATTAAAAAGATACGAATTATGAGATATTAGATTCTGACAGTTTGTCAAGTTATACAAATCCTTTTTACGGTATCAAATGTTGAAAAAATAAATTACAGAATTAAAACTCCAAAATTATAGAAAAAAATGTCATTAGGCAAAATTAAATGGCGTTGAATAGTGCATCACGTGATGCATGTGCCCCCGGAAGTGAAATGTTTCAAGGTCATCTTCATTAAAAAATTTTTTTTTTATTACAATTGAATAATGCATATTATACAAAAATTAATATAATGTAATTTAAAAAATTATTTTAATTAAAAGTATGCAAGCAATAGTGCTATATAGAATTTGCACGCGAGACAAATAAATGCTACCGCTAACAACTATTTATAACATCATCTCGTACATCAACGTAAATTTATGTGACCACTGGTCTGTATCTAATTCGTATTACCGTTTCGATCTTACTGTGAAACGTTCATGTATGAAAATTGGCTGAAAGTTCAAGGGAAGTATAAAAAGAGTCTATCAGAAGCGAAGATAGTTATTGATCAAAAGAATCTCACTAAGAAAATGAATTATTTTCATAATTAATAAAAAGTTTCTCCTTTAGAACTTATTAAAATAAAAGAGTGGACCGATTAAAAATTATTTTTTTCTTTAAAATTGTTATTTTTCTGAGATGTGTAACTTCCTTCTTTCCCTCATTCAACTCTTACATCCTCACACGCATATACTCGTTTATTTTGTACACTTACAATATTAATGTATCAAAAAATTTGTTTTCTTAAATAAATAAATAAAAAGTGAGAAATCATAATCATGGTTGCACGAAGAGAAAGATTAATGGAGAGCAATATATTTTTAACAGGAAGAGGGGCGGGGAAAAATAGAAAACAACTGTAGGATAAATTTTGAGCAAGACTTTGTATCATCAACATCAAATCGATTAAAAAATTTGGAGAAAATGAAAACGGTTTGGATAATTGGTGGACCTGGCTGCGGCAAGGGAACGCAGTGCGAGCGCATCATTGCGAAATATGGATTCTATCACATAAGCAGTGGTGATTTGTTAAGAGAAGAGGTTGCCAGTGGCAGTCCCAGAGGAGCCTCACTTCAGGAACTTATGTCCAAAGGTTTATTCGTCCCAACGGTAAATAATATGTGAATGTAATTAGGAATGGGATGTTAATTACATTGGTGTAACTAGGATTCTTGGGCCCGTTGGCATAATTGGGACTTTATGGGTTTGGGCCCATTGACGTAATTAGGACTTTATGGAATTGGGCCCATTGGCATAATTGGGACTTTATGGGTTTGGGCCCATTGACGTAATTAGGACTTTATGGAATTGGGCCCAATGGCACAATGGAGACTTTATGGGATTGGGCCTATTGGCATAATTGGGACTCTAAGGGATTAGGTCCATTGAGGGAGGGGGGCAAGGCACGTACCCACCAAGTTGAATTCATGTCACCTACCTATTTAAGGGAGGCCCGCGACTCCTTCCTAGTTACACCAATGATCATTCGTAATACATATAATGCTCGTGGCGCAAAGCCAGTTACGTATGTAAATATTAACAAATACAAGCAATGAACAAATTTCTTCTTTCGGAACGAGAAACATGTCACTAGCATATAATGTTTCAAAGAAACTTGAACGAAAGAGATTTATGAACTTTTCATAGTGTGAAGATCCTATGGTTTCCGTTAGGATATAGTACTGGACCTGATAAGGGAACGGATGCAAAAGGCGAAATGTGAAGGAGCCACAAAGACTGGATTCCTTATCGACGGCTATCCTCGTGAATTAGATCAGGGAATTCTTTTTGAGAAGAACGTAAGCACTGTATAATCATTGAACTAATTAAAACCAGGTATGCACACCGGATTGCCCGAAGGGGGGCCTAGATGCGTCACGCTTGCTGTGGGCTACTGTATTAGGGCGCCCATACCCATGCATATGCCCATGCCCAAGCCCATACCCAAGCCTGTTTTATTACCTGCTGTGCATGCCTGTCTTAAAGAATTGCTAACATAAATTTATGATTCATCTAGGTTTGCCCCGTTGACTTAATCATCTTCTTCGATGTCGCAAATGAAACCTTGATGAAGAGACTGCTGGGTCGTGCAGCTGTGTCCAAGAGAGCAGACGATAACGAGGAAACAATTAAAAAGAGGATTGAAATATTTAATATTAAAAATGGAGAAATTGTTGAACACTACAAAGACAAAGTAGTTAGGGTAAGTTCTTGTGTGATAATCTTCCCATAAGTTGATTGTAAATTATTTTTTATCTTTTTTAGATCAATGCTGAAGGATCTGTGGACGCCATATTCCTCGAAGCTTCAAAAGCACTAGATGGTTTATTAGCTTAGAAAATTTTGTTAAAAGAATCATGAGCTTTTGTTTAAAAACCGCCTAATTGCACAATCTTTCCGTGATTCTACCATCGACCTTGAAACACACAATTTATTTTACAGTTGATTTTTTTATGAGATTTACACCTATTGACACAACTATGGCACAAATTAGAATATGTATTGTAAATCTGAAGTACCTGCCGACACAAAGCAATATGTACATTAGAAATTTAATATGATGATCGATGGTTGTTATTGTTTCAACTGGCAATTAAAATTGATATATTTTATGAATTTTGTGTTAATTTTTTGAAAATCTGTCTCCTTTACCTACTACAACAAGACAATAAGAAATTACACCACTTTGAACCTGAGTGTACATACACTGTGATGACAAGTTAATTAGCTATGTCTGTCACTGAATCCTGTTTTTCAGTTATTCAGTAACAGTTTGAAACTGAAGCTGTGCATTGAATCAAATCACGAAAGTAAAAATGGATAGTACAGATATAGTTTTAAGATTTTTAATAGCACTATTATCAATAAATTTAATTACATGTAATCCTTGCTGTCAGATCAACTCTTATAAATTACCAAGTTATAAATTAATGAAATCTAATGCTCGTTTGAATCAGTTAATACTGTCGAGAACAATGGTTCTGAACGTGAGAGAGTGCATGAAATTTGCTACGGCCAAGAAAGCCCTGGCATTCAATTACGGCTTGGAAACTGATCATCACGGTAAGAAAATGTGATTACTATACAGAGTATATGCAACTGAGGCTCTTCCTGTCTCTCCCAAAAGAGAACAGAATCTATTTCATACTTATTTCCCACAATAGATGAACTCAGACACAATAAAAGCATCAAAAAGACCCAAAAAAGGTGCGAAGCTCTCCAATGTCCTGAGGTACATAACTTGACTATGTTGGCAAGGGACAAGAATTACAACTACTATAGCACCTATCCAACTTCCTTGGCACTTGGTAAATGAAATAATATGTAAAATTAAAAAATAAACGAGACAAAGACTTTCCTCGTCTACTTTCAGGATCTAATTACACGCTGGCTTGCATCCCTAGGACAGGTGTGTTTGTATTTTCAAACAATAGTTTGAATTACAGCCAGGCACAAGCAGCCTGCCAAAAGATGAATGCTTCGTTGGCCCACGTAATTAGTGAAGAACGTACAAACGGTTTTGCGAAATATATTTCGCAAAATACACCCACTTTTGTTGGACTCAGCAATCATGATAGGAAGAGTCTGTGGAAAAATGAATTCGGTAGTTGAATTAAATTTTTAAATAAAATATTTTAGCCTCTTAGGCTTAGAGAATGATAAATAAAATGGATAATATAATTTTCAGGAGAACCACTTTCATGTTTCAATTATAGAGCATGGGGTGGGGGAGAGCCATCACACTCCAAGGGATGTGTTACTTTACTACTGCAATCCAAATCAGAACTTAGCCCTTTTTGGAAAGTTGTATCCTGTAACAGTACACTACCTTTTATTTGTGAGATTCCACCTATGTAGGTTCTAAGTATTAACATAATTTAAAATATGAAGTGTCTACAATTACATAAAAAGATGCACTAGTCTGATATACATAAAATGAAAAGGATAAATTAATAAAGTAAAAACGCAAATCTTAAATATATACAGATGTTTAATATATGGTTACAAGTGCCTCTCTTCATTATTAGCAGAAAAAGATTTACCTAACAAATTATTTACACATTCCAATTGCTATGAATATACGATTTATAGGAAAGAAAAAAAATACAATTTTCATTTTTCCTTGATTATATACAGCTATAACTATATATCTAAAAAATTGTGCTTTTCTCATTATCTTCTTATCATCTAATCACATGCTTTCTAAATTAATTACTTAATAACTAAAGAACAGCTGCTGTGTCAATACTTTTGTGAATGGTATAGGAGCGAATGAAAATACGCTATAATAACAATTTGAATTGTATCAGTGTCTCAGTGCTTAACAATATTTATGCAAAATAAAAATATCAATTTTTGAAACATTTCACGTATTATGCAAGCAATATGCACAAATTATGCAATTATTGTTGTATTACAAAAACATTTTTTTTTAATTTATAATTTCGTTTTACACATAGCAACAAATATAATGAAACAATTTCCATTTGCTCTTCAAAAGAGAACTCAAAAGACATAAAGTGTGGTAAACATGCTTTCTAATGTCTTTTATAAGTTATTTACATTCTTCACATAAAAACTACAAATTACAAGCAGAAATAATAATAACATGATTTTTCCTTGATATTACAAAATGTGCAATTTAGTGATCATATTTGTTTTAAATATAGAAATAAAAAAGCAATTGAAAATGTGATGAAAAATTTATACAAGACAAGCTTTAGTAGTCTCATTTATACAAAAATGCTATGAATGGCACACGCATTATTCAAAAAATCGTTGCTCTGTTCCAACTAATATAATAGTCTGTAATATTAGTTATTAAAGGAAGACAGTGTTTCTTTTTATGAATATACATTCAAAAATACGACCTAGACATATTTGAACTTGTAACACCTATAAAAATAAGAAAAAGAAAAATATTTATATGAAAATGATATAACGAAACTTATACAAAATTAGACGATCTTTTTCCTTTTTACTTAGGACTATTATTGTCATGTATTACTTTTCTGCAAGAATGTATGAAATTTATATTAGAATTAATAATTTTGTAGGGTGTAAACGTATTTCTACATGAAAATCTTATATTAAAGCTTCGAGTCCGATAATATATAAAAGTATAAAAACATTTGTATTTGATATTATGAATGATTAGAACAATACTAGTTACTGGACCTTCTTTAAACATGGTCAATGCGCTGTATTGTTTTTGAACTAAAGTGGTTGCACGCGATACTACCAAAATTTATATCAACTGTTATGATTGAATTTCATAAAATTCAAAATAACTGATGTAAAATTAATTATGCTTAGTGTGGCGTGGATATTATATTATACGTAACATGCAAGTCATGTATATACAATACATACTGTAACAAAAAAGGAAGTATGAAAGCTGCTTAATTTAAGAAATGTGTATATAGTACATTAAAACAACATTCTGAACTGCTGCAACAAATTTATGTTCTTGTTTTCTTTAATTTGGGGACGGATACTATGAAAAAATATTTTCCAACAGAATCATCTAACGCATTTCGAGCACAATTTATGAAAAAATTTGGTAGCAAGTTATAGCACACTGATGAACATAGTATTATATATATACACATACATATTTCTGCAACTTTTAATTTAAAAGACTTGTACTCGTGGTATAATTATAAAAATTTCTCTTAATTGAAATTGTTATACATCAATCTTATATACTTATGAAGATGTATCATCCTGCTATGCAATTAGAGTTAGTGATAAGCAACTGGAATATAAAGTGTACATTTAATAAGAAATTAAACAAAGATGTATCTAGTACTAAAGCTGCCAAAATTTAACATTTTTTTTTTCCCTTGTGTGTAGAACAAACACTTGTATTTTATGATTATTTCATTATACTTATACCCCACTTAAATAAGCTACATCCAGCTGAAACGTATAAAAATTTTATACACCACTAATGTAGTCTACTTTATATAATACATTAGATATCCTTCAAAATGTAGTGACTTTTAATTTATGCATGGAATATTATCTTTTAAAAATACTGTAACTATTCATTTTCACGATAACCTAAAATTATAATTTTTATTGATCAAGAAATTCTGGTTATTAATCGAATGTAAAATTGGATCATTACTTTTTGAAGAATATACCTATTAACAACATCATTGTGACAGTGTTAGTTTCATTAGCGCTGGCACTTCAACTTTATAATCATTGCAATCTGTTTGTTTTAGACTAGAATTTTTAAGCTGATATATTTATTAACTAAATCGCAAATTAGAACAGGATTTTACTGTTTTCTCCGATTCATTTATAATCTGTGTATTTACATACTTGTGTATACCTAACACGTACTCTGGAATAATACAATTACGATCGAAGGAAACCTTTACGTTTATCGTTTCTTTAAATAAAAGATGATAAATTATATTTGGTCAAATACTGATGCGAAGAATAATATTGTTTGGCTTGTATTTATCTCATATATCTCTAATTACTCCATTTCATTATATTTACTTAAGATTTTGTTTTTTTAAAAAAATAAAAAGATTTGAAATATTCAACAACTTTGCGATTATATGAAACAAAGTTATTAATATGCATTTTTTTTTTCCTTTAATGTTAATTATAGTTCGCTGCCTCATTTAGTCATACGTGATACAACATATCACAAGTATTTTATTACATAGCACCATTTCAAGTTATACAATAGGGAATATGTTTTATGAATTAAAAAAATAATTTAAATGCATTTAATCTATTTCCCTTTAAGCATATTCAATAACGTCTTTAAGCCTTACTAATCAAAATTAAATACTGTTGAAGCTTTTACGACGAAGGTACAAAATTATGCAAAATAAAATATATTGGAACTTGTATTACTTAATGAACTTAAAAATAACGATTGTATCATAAATGTGAGGCAGCTTTTTAACGAAAAGACAGCATAGTGTGCATTGATCATTGTCAATTTAAGTACCGTTACACTCTTATAATTTTAAGATATAGTTCAAAGAAATATATCGGTATGATATATCAGTTTTGTTTAGAAACACTGAAAATATATAATTAAGTAATAAAATAATGAACAAAAATTTTAAATGAGATCGTTTTCGAGACAAATTTTCGAGCATTATTTAAAATAACACAAAGGTGGTAATAAAGAATTGCAATGATATAACGCAAACTACTGATAAACATTAGAAGAACATTTTCTTAAATAAAGAATGATATATGGAATGTTTTGCTTTATAGCCAATCGGATAAATACTGTTACCATGTTAGTGATTAAAAAATCAAGAATGTCATTACTACAATGAATAAATATAACAACTGTATAGTAGATATACGCTAAACTTTTCCATTTATAATGGAAAGTAAAACCAAGACGATAATAGTTTACATAAAGAAAACATACTGTGAAATTTGTGTGCCGATATCCATTAATTTGTTACGTTGTTTATTAAAGATATAGTAACTACAAACTGCTCCAAAATCTCTGTCAGTGCTTCTTGTAACATTGCTTGTTTCTCTTCTAAGCTGGCAACCTATTTCATATAATTTATGTAAATAAAAAAATATTAAATATATGTAATATACTTACCCTTTCTAAAAGCTGATTGAAAACGTCATATGGAACATAGGCAGGAGTTCCAGTAGTAGGTGAGGTTTGCTCTGGCTGTGAAGATGCGTTGGATTTTGGACTAGTGTCCTTTTGTTTAATGGCTTTTGTGACATTCGTTGTTGGTGACACTCTAAATTACGATTAAAATTATAATACAACTTTAAACAATGAATTAAAAGTTTATTATATTATTACCGTGAATAATTCCATTTCTTCTTTAATTCGGATATATCAACATGATCGACTACCCCGATCTTTCTTTTTTCTATGTGGTTCAATTTTAATTCTGTAACCTGTATGTAAATAATTTGTTAAGAATTGTTTATTAAAAACAACGTTTGTGCGTGAAAGTTATTTAATTACCCAAGGTGCTTTTCTTCTTGCTTTTGCTGCTAATCCTTCGGGTTCTTTTTCTCGTAATTGTTTCGATATAGTATCTCCATTTCCATTTGCTAAATTATCTTCCTGTTATAAGTACAAATTACAAATTTAAATATACAATAGCTTTCTATTTTTTGAAATGTTATTTTGTAGATATTAATCCATCAAACGGTGGAGCCAGATCAATTGTAACCTAATTTTATTTATATGCTATACAACAAGAAATATTTATATCTATTCAAGAAAATTATATTAATAAAAATACGGCTCCACCACTTGTACTGGTGTCTCAATGCCCCCCATCCGACGGTTAAAATAGTGTTAAGAGCACTAACAGGTGTTGGAGTAGTTGTAGTGGTAATTGTTGGTCCAGCAGTGTAACGTCGTAAACGTTGCGAAGAAGGTGGACGTCGGCGGGGTGCTTTAGCTCGAGAAGCTGTTAAGTGCGAAAGCGGTGCTCCTTCTATTCGTTCTACCACATCTAGCTCTTCACCCAAACTTATATTGGTATTTTCGTTACCGTTATTGGTTCCAACATCACCTAGGAAACGTTTCAAACTCGATATGATTGAATAACTTATAGTTTTTCTATCTTCATTACTTTCTCCAATTCCTGGAGAAGTTGATGACGTTGAAGAAGAGGCTGATGTAGATATGGCTTTCTTATTTATTTCTGCGTTTAACACATAACAAATCAAACCATTTACAATACGTTTATTTATCGTTTTATTCTTTGTATAAGCGATATTGAAAAGATCAAATAAATCGGTAATTAAATACCTGCGTGCACACTTTGAACATCCAAACTCCTTCTAACTTTTTCTCTCTCTACTTTTTCATTCTTCTTCGGTACATGAGAATGTCTCGCAGCTGATTTAACCGAAGTTTCCTGTCTCTGCTCGTGATCTGTCTGATCTTGTGCAACATTAACTACTTCAACAAAATTGTCTGGAAATAAACCAATTCGACCATTTATTTCTCCTACCCACCAACCCTAAAAATCGTTTAACACATATTAATAACTTATTATTGAATTTATAATAGATGTATAAATGAATGGTTATTTAAGCACCTCATCAGAGGCCTCCTTAGATAAGAGGGTTATTATATCTCCCTCATTTAATGTTAGCTCATCATCATTAGCAGCTTTATAAGGGAAAATCACTTTATACAGTTCTTTTTTATTCTGATGTTTATGTTTATCAGGTTCTTCATATACTGGACGAGTGACGAAATTCGAAGGAAATACTCCAACTTTGCCTTTAAGTCGCCCTCTCCACCATCCATCTTCTACTTCTCCCAAAAATTCAATAGTATCTTGAGGTATCAGAGTTAATTCATCTTTATTACAAGGTTCATAGTCAAACAACACTTTACAGAATCGTCTTCTAGATCCTCCGTTTCTTAATGGAACATCTTCAGATTTATTATTATTGACTCCTTCACTTGCTGCAGTTTCTATACTGCTAACAGTTCCACTTGATACAGGCCCTAATACCTACATCAATCATTTAAGTTTCTTATTTAATATAAACAAAATAGTATTTTTTACATGATTAATAAAATTTAAATAAGTACAATGTTGAAGATACCAAAAATTACCTTAACAAAATTATCAGGAAACATGCCACGTTTATCCCTCAAAGTACCCTCCCACCAACCACCTGTCAATACTTCAATTTCAGTGATAATGTCTCCTTTCTTTAAAGTTAACTCGTCAGGCTCTTGTGCTTCATAGTTATACTCTACAATTGCCTCCATTTTTCTTTTATTCTAGTAGTAGTTGAAATTTGTTAACACATAAGTATCACAACCTTATATCTGCAACAAGTACATACACATCAAGCATACAGAACAATAACTGAATGTGCCTACAGATAAATGAATAAAATGATAAGAGGAGGTAAAGCATTTGCATCTAGTCACACTTTTCAAATAAAAGTTCTGTAATTGAATTTATTTGGACGATCAGTGCTACAAGAAATTTCTTACTGTTTCTCTTACAGCGAACGAACACATTATACTCTGTGAAAAAAATAGACTGAACATGAAACGTAACATACGTACAAGTTAAGAGAAGTTGCGCGCCTGTAGAAGTCATTTGTTCCTCGTGCATCCTCCGCCTTTCATACCACAGCAAGAACTCATCACGTTCATCGTATTACTATTTCTAAAAGATATGTCGTTGAAAGCTGAAAATTTAGGCGTATCCCACATTCAATTGATAGTTCGACGTATCTGTCATCGCGGCCATATTGGACTCTAAATTCGAGTGAACTTCAGCATACAATTTGTTTGTGAGGTGCGCATGATAACCCTATCGGTGACTCAAAGAACGCGCCAAACCTAATTCATGATTCATTTTTGTTAGATGCGTGTGTTACGCCTGTCAATGAACGCTGTTCTAATTTCTATTCTACTGGTACGATTGTATGAGTAGCGCATAAAAAGAAATATTACACTATTATTTTTTAACTTTTTAATATATACCAAAAGCTGATAAATATTTGAAAATATACACGCATTTATCAAAAAGTCATGTGACTCCTTTCTTCAACTGGTTGATTCATTATTTCCTCTTATCATAAAGACTCTCACGTATCAGGTATATGCGGAGCATACAAAATTACCCATATACAGGGTGTCCGTATTTATTTGTGACACTCCTGGTATATCAAGATAGTACTTTTCTTCTGTTATAGATTTGAAGTAAGACTAATTCGAAAATTAATTAATATAGGCGAATGGGGTGTCTCTCCCTATCTTCTCCTGGTTTCTTCCGGTCTCTCCCAACTCCCTTGGGATTCCCAGCTCTTCTTAAGTCCTCCCAGGATCAAAAATAAGTGGTAGAAGACTCCTTCTTTCCCTTTAATTAATAAAAGTTTCAATTAAATCCATCTGCATCGTACAATTTTCATATAAACTGGATTTTAGGAAAAGGGACACGGAATGGGGGAATCCCTCGGACGTCTCCAACGTAAACAATGGATGCTGCAATTGGAAAGACTGAGTTCATAGGTAAAAAGTGTGCATCTTTATTTATTACCGATTTAGACATCAAGTTGTACAGTTGTCCCTACAAACTTAAAAATGTATAAACGTATACATATATGTATATATATTTAGACTGATAGTATCGGTCAACTAAAACACGTGAATTAGTCTTATGGTAAACGATAAAGTAAACCGTAATAAAAGCTGTAACTAGACTATCTATAGATGTCACGGGAGTCCATAACTGCGAAAAGACCAGTTTTCGTTCTTTTCTGCGCATTGTCGCTCTGATTGGCGAAACTTCCAGAGGAAGTGGAAAGCGATTGGCTGAGAGCTCGCTGCGTTCCCCCACTATCTTCCAGCCTGCGCGTCTTACGATTAGTTATGGACTCTCGTGACATCAAGTATATATTTCAATATTCAATCTATTTAAGTGAACGAACAGAATTCTCTTTTTCAAACGTGCTTCACTTATGTGTGTTTCTTATAGCGTAAATTAAAAAAGCAGGTTTGTCTGTACGTTCACTAAAAATGGATTTCCGCTTGGAAAAGAACAACGGATAGAGGATTTTTTAAAATAAGCTTTCGCAATTGTCTCGACGTAGCGCCAAAACATTTTCGTACGTACGAATGTGCGTTGCGCCTAATTATCAGAAAGAATCAACCAAGTCGTATAAAAAACGTTTCTCACGAATTTTTTACCCAAAGACCAGCTTCAGGGAAGAAACGAAACGTTTCCGTGAAGAGCCAAGAATAGGTAAACGATCCAGCGCCCCTTCTAAAGAAATATAAACAATTCTACTAGCCACAAGCTACAAATTCACTTTGGGCAGTTTATTATTCTGAGTTTAACATGTTGACTGTTCTACAAGTCACTTTTTGGCCAGTAACACAAATTTAATTTCATGAAACACATAATTAGAATAAGAAGGAAGAAAACTTAAAATATCATTAATATTCATTAACATATTAATTCTTGTTACTGTGGCAATCAACATGTTGTCTATTACACTGTTCTGAACTTAATTCTTTTCATGAATACTATGATTCGTTGTTAAGCTACTAAAGAAATGGCTAAGAACAGTTAAATACAATGAAAAATGTGTAAAGTAGAATAGAAAAGATGTCAAGTGAGTAAACAATCACCATTCAAGTTCCCTGTCATTTCAATATAACGCTTCCCAAATGACCAAGCATCATCTACTTACATAAAATATACATTTCATGAATTAAAACAATAACTTATCACGAATAAATTCATTATGGTTCCCCTACCTAAAAATTATGAGTCATCACTTGAACTTATCTTCAAGATTAATCTCTACATAGCTTAATTCAAAGCTACTTGTTTTTATACATAATCAACAAAGAATGTTCATTGATAAACCTTGAACAAATGTACATATGTTGCTTGTATGTCAGCATTTAATCTACAGTAAAACCAATTTGGGAAACGTTGTTCAATTTCTCATCCATTTGCTGATCCAAGGCATAATACAGTGCTTTCCAGACATTGTTTCTGAAGCTAAAGTGAAACTTCCACTTTTTTCCCTTCTGTTTTAAGCACAGTTTATTTGAATCAAATTCTTTTCTGCATAGATTCATTCTTTTTTCTTTATTGAGCAACAGCCTAATATGGTAAGGGAAGAAAGTGTGTAAAGGACTCCTTGGTGGAAAGCACTGGCGTAATGGGTCGCCTTAACGCTAGCAAGCAGTCGAAGTCGTTGGTGTTTATACAAATTTGCGACGAGTTATATAAATATACAAAAAGCAACGAAGGTGTACGATCGTATCGTGGTTTCCAGATAAGTGTGCGTGTAATGTGTGCACATGTGTCTGTGTATAAACCATATACACAAACAGTATACGTATGAGGGTCAGGAGTTGGTATGTTTTGCAAGTACTAAATTTAAAAAAAAATTTGTAATTTTTTATCATTGCTAAGTCAAGTTATACTATTCTACAACTCTTTCTACCACAAAATATCAGAAATGGAAATTGAAGTATGCACATAGAAATTATGTAACAAATTCTGAAAAGGTGTATCAGCTTCTGACTCTCCTGTGTATCATTTTGCAAAAATGGTAGAACCTCCACTCTATTCAATCGCTCACAGTTTCACGACTGTGACAAGTTGACGGAAACTAATAATTGAGATAATAAATGGGAAATTGAGATCAGAAGTAATAGAAGTTCTACCGCATTGCCAAGGCAACGAGCGTCGAACACGAATTGTAAATGATTCGTTGACTTCTACTACGAAAACGATCGAGTACGAGCAACGAAACTCGCATAACGCACCTTGACAATCTTCCGCGCACGTTCTTTCACCCGCGATACTGATCAATCTTCCAGCCTGTCAGTCCGCAATGTACAGAGTACAATTATTAAAGTAGTTGAACGAACTTTGACCATTTATGACTTTGCGTTGAGTCTGACTGCATTTCAGTTAGTAATTTTTGTAATGGTATCGTTTAACTTTGAAGAAAAATTGAAACAACGAGTCGTAAAGAATTTTTGATATTTTACTTGCAAATTAACAAGCGGGTAGTTATACGTTATGTAACACGTTACGTAAATATAACTAAACATAATTTGGCAAAGGTCTATAATGGATAATTTTATAAAATTTATATAAAAATAAACGTAGTAATACTATCCAAATGTTAAAGTATCATAGCCTCGAAGTTCGTTCACCTACTTTCGCTTCCACTGTCTGTACCATTATCCCACTGTCTGTTCCTTCTAAATCGTTGGTAGGCACAATAAAGGCTTTATTTTCTGTTGCCAGCGTAAACGAGGAATACGAATACGATGATGATGGTCTTAAGTTAAAAGACAACGACTGTGTACATATCTATGCATCTACGAAAGTATTGTGCGATGCTTGTACGCGCTAATTACCGTGCCTCTATACAATAATGAGTTACTAATGAGTTAATGCGTCCTTCTAAAATATACATAATGCTCGAGCGCGTTGTATATAATTCTATCGTTAATATCTTTACTATCGCGTACAATAATATTCTGGTCTCGAACGAGTCGCATCACGTTGTCCAACATTAATCTCATCCTTCCCTTCAAACTCATTCTTTTATAGTTCTTGTCATGAGAAAATGTACAGTTGGGTCCAATGTAGGCTTAGAGTGAGTGGCGAGGGTGGAGGCATTCGTCATTTGCCGTTGGTCTTGGATGAGCCTAGGGACAGTCTAAGTGCCCCACCTCCCTTAGCTGTACCTGGGCTCTCCCTGGATTCTCCCAAGGCCCAAGGCAATAGAAGCCTACATTGTCCACTACTGTACTATAAGGAGCTGGAAAGTAGCTTCTGCAATTTTTTTGACTGGCCCAAAGCCTAGGGCACAGGTTGACATGGAAGGACTATCAGATTTGAGATGCCTACACTTTGAAATACAGTTGCTACTGCACTGTCCCATTCATTCTGAGTGTATTTCCCTTGCTTTCTTCATTCCATAATGAAATTACTAGATGTAGCCTCTTTGACCAATTCATGTGCCCCAAAGGACAGGCCTATTACTTCCTGACCCATCTGGCTTTCATTCCCTCCAAGTGCCAACTTCCCAGCTCCGTGACCAGGACTATTTCCTCATATTTCCCAATAGAACAACGATACTCTATCATCCTGTACATGTTACTTAACCTTTAATTCTACATTCGAATTCGCCAGGTGTATCCGTAGTGATTATCAAAGCGCACTAATCGAAACTCGACTCGCGTGATTCCCCTCTGTTACTTTTGACCTGCAGACGAACCAAACCAGATCTACACTGAACAAAGGCAAGGAGGTTTTAATTGTCTTACGCACATCAGCAAATTGAAACTGAATCACTTGGATCGTCTGCATGCCAAACGATCTCGAAACACGCACGCCCCTCCCCTGACAATGGAAAAGCAATGGTCCTCGATTAATAGTGTTGTCAAGTGTTTGCAATTGCGCTCGATGAAGCAGCAAAAACACGAATAACTGTCGTTTTAGGCCTTACGTGAACATTAAGCATTGTGTATGTCCTTTGTACTGCTAATCCTCTCAAACCTAACTTCAAAGTTCGATGGGCCAACAACGTTCATCAAGCTGATTATAAAGACGATCGTCTCCGGAAGATTGGTTATTGCTAAATCACGATATCGAATGAAAAATGTTTATAAAACGTTTGTTGCATCGGTGTATGAATCAGCCTCAGTGTTTGTCGATTGTTACAAAGCTTGATCGAAGTTAATAAGTATGTATATCCTTTATAGAAAATGACCCATAAGTGTCACAGTAATTTTTAATCTAATCACATATAATGCATTACCTACGACTTTCCAGTTACCCCAACGACAACCTATATTCATGTAAATATGTTATACGATTCGAATTGTTTAAGAATGAAACTTTAGTAACGTCAGAGCACAGTTCTGTCGAGGTAAAAGTCTGTTCAGCGAATATGAACACTTAGCATAGAATGTATTTGTGCTTTTTTTTTTTACGTTAAACCATTCGAACATGAGTGCGAAATTTACGCTGGTGTTTTGGAATATTCGAGTATTGCGAACGGCTGCATCGTAGACGCCTCACGTGATCTACTTTTTCGATAAGGAAAGCTCGTTCTACCTTCTGTATATTCACGTCCCGTTTGCCCTTTGCCCACAGAGATACGACTTCCCTTTAGTTTCACGTCGCCACCATAGATAAGAATTACTTCGTATTTACCGATACTCGAAGCGTGTCCCGATCCCCGTAATTACAGAAACTAACATGTGCATCTCCAAGCGTCACCCTGTTGGGATGGGGACTGAGCCTTGATCACGCTGTCGGCTCCTTCCCTTTCGGAAGCCTCGAACAGGCTGGCCTGAAACCATAAGGCAACAAAATTAGTGATGAGTGAGGGTTGAGTACTTAAAACCCTCATAGCTGGTACTGACAAAAGCCTAAGGCCTAAGACTATTCAGCTTAAAGTTGGAAAGGGCTCAAACACACTTTAAAAATAAAAAACCTGCACAATTTAGGTGATTCGAATTTTAGAGGTTGTATTTAAAGGGAAATGAGGGTAGGTTCCTCCCCTGTGTACACTTAAGGCAACCTAGTCTTTAAGGAAAGCAGCCATCAATTTGGCTTAAGCTTTGCACAATAATAGAAGACCTTAAAATTATGAATTATTAATTGTTACTTCGAGGTCCTCTACTAAACTGTATAAAGATTAACCCAAACTGACAAATTCATAGTTGTGTATCTTCCTAGTAAGTACAGGGGGAGGAGCCTCTCTCTACTTGGTAGGTCTACATTGCTCCCAAATGTACCATAAGTCCTGTATAAAATAAATAACAGTACCCGACGTCCCCGTTGTTCTCGTATTCTTCTAGCCAAAGTAAGGAACGCCTCTTCGATGTTAATATTTTCTTTACAAGACACCTCGAAAAAAGGCATATCGAAGTTCTCGGCTATTTTCTGTCCCCTTTCAGCATCCACAGCCCTGTGCGCAGTTGCATCGCATTTATTTGCCGCCAACACTTTCACCACGTCCGGGGAGGCATTCTGCCAAGAAGAAGGATGGAAGCATAAATCATTCTTGTCGATAAATGGTATTTGATTCTTATCGGTCTTTTCGCATTCTTACTTCTTGAATGTTTCGAAGCCAATAGGACAAATGGTTGAAACTTTCTAAGCTGGTGACATCGTACATCAAAAGGATGCCCATGGCACCCCGGTAGTACGCTGTGGTCAGCGTTCTGAATCGCTCTTGGCCAGCAGTATCCCTTCAGAGGAATTATTATTAATAATAATGGATATGTTGAAATATAGGAGCCCTAAATTCTTGGTTGGATATTCAATGCTCGGGACAGGTTAGGTTGGGTCAAGTTCTCGAAAGTATTTCGCGACATAAGGATGCTGAAATTCCCAAGAGTTCAAGCACCAACATTACCAACATTGTGCAAGAACCTGAAACCCTGATACATAATACTTGGGACGGGTTAGGTTGGGTCGGGTTCCCGAAAGTACTTCGCGACATAAGGATGTTGAGATTCCCAATATATGAACTAAAGGACAATACATGAACTAGATAGCAAACAAATGTGTAATGCTCACCAAATTTGAAGCTTAATTGGTGTCCCATCCAGGTTAATTATCTTTTGCTTGAAGTCGATACCTGTTGATTCGTTATTTGTAATAATCAGACCTTTTAAATTAATTCTACAAAGATTATCAGGTCATTTCACAAGTAGGTTGTTGCAATATCAGTTGAAATAATAGTTAATCAGATTTAATTCATGAAATTTAAAAACTCGATTCCTTTAATTACCAAACCTGATTAGTTTAATTTTACAATTAAAAATTTGACGAACAATATTAAGGATGAGAAAAGTAAATACTTTTCGGTAATCAGCTGATCGATTAAGCCGAGCATGTTACTACAACGAGAATGTGGTACACCTTGGGATACCCCAACTGTGGGGGACCTCCATATTATACCAGGGGGTTTAACCCTCCAGTCACATCCCATCACCAATGTTGCCAATTGAAAGAAGAATTAATCAAACACTTGAATTTACAAACATACTATGAATCTTTACTAAAGTTGGGAATGCCAATGATTAGTGCAGTGCCAATGTACTGAACTCAGATAAGACATCTACTAAACCTAGCATTTACTATAACAGGAATGTTCCAAAATGTAAACACTATTACATAGCTCAAATAAATAACTAATTCTGCAGTTTAATAATCAATCTTTCCAAGAACCAATATTTGAATAATTAATTATTATCTATGTAAATAAGGATATGTTCTCCAAGCAGCTCCTAACAATACATGCATGTCAACAAGCTGCAGCTGGAGGACCAAAGTGACATCCTGGTTGCAGTAGCAGCCAGCAGGATCTACCAATTTATTTTCAACTATTGTCATACAACAAATGTCAGTAATGATTCTATGAAACAATTGTAAACAGCTTAACCGATCAACTGACCAGTTGTTAGACATAGAAACGAGCTCACAAACACATAGGCACAGAAGTATTGTAAGACATCTCACCTATGGTTGAAATGTAAGTGTCGTAGTAACGTTCGTCACAATAACGATGCACGATGCAGGTTTTACCGACGTTCGAATCACCCAACACGAGAACCTTGTAAGTGGCTGCGAAATCAAGCGCCATGTTTGCTTATGGGCTGCTTTTGAACTGTTGTGTTCCGAGTCGACAAGAGAGTCGTCGGCCGAGGGTTGTTCTTTCGACACTTTGGGGGTGGAGGATCGATTCGAAGCCTGCGCTTTTCAACGTGCCACTAAAGCTGCCCTCACAATCGCAACTTTTCAAATGTCATGCGCGCAACATTGTCTCGTGACGCACAGGAAAAGAAGAAAAAGGGGGTGTATGCATCTGGTTGGTCAAAGGGGATGATTGCTGCATTGCTATTGAAAACAATGTTCATTTTCCTGTGTTTGTACTCATACAAATAATAAAAATATCTTTTTGTACATACATGTTGAAAACAAAAATCTTGAAAAATTTTTGAAAAGATAATAAAGATCTTATTCTTTGGGGATCTCCCCAAGGATCCCCCTGAGATTCTCCCAGAAGAAGGAAGTACAAACCGAAACTTTTTCTCCAATTGACAGGAAATGGTACATTTATGATTCAACAAAAGCAAATAAAGATAACTGAGTACAGATAAGGATTACATTAAGTTTTATAAAAAGAGGTCATGTTAGAATACACATAAAAACCATTAAATGATAAGCATAAACGAGTGTCAAATTTTTTGAAGAAAAAAGATAAAATGTTTGTAAATTGTACTTTTATTTACATATATCTTTTTTCACCATATTTTCAAACTAAATACATTCTGTTTATAATTCATGTTCTTATTATATTATTTAATATAATATGATACACATCTCGCACGAACTTATTCTTTACGAAAAATTGTAAAAATACGAAACAAATTAGACTCTTTTCAATGGACGTAGAAAATTGTTTAAAATATTACAATGAATTGGCAACCAGAGATTTCGCGATATACGTCGTATTATCAACATTGTATTATACGATCACAAATTTTTGATATGCTATGATACGATTAAGGGCAAATACTGATAGGTAATTGTACAATATTTTTGACAAAGGATTATTATAAATTGTTATGAAATTAATATATTTTAGTTTCATGAAAAGGAGTGAAAATTTAATCTAAGATTTTAAACGATAATTAAAATTGTAATGAAAATATTAATTGTATTTAAATATATAATAAATAAATAAAAAAAATACTGTTAGAAAAGAAAGAAAATTTAAGTAAAACGATTACTTAAAATTATTTCACTGTTAGATAAATTAAAGCTCTATGTTTGAATTTGAAGTTCTTAAACGGTAACTATCATCGTCTTTAGAATCAATTTACACGTTATATTTAATGCAATGATATTGCTAAAAATAATTCACTTTGCATGTAGGCACTTTGTTGTAGCCTTACGTTCATTGACAACAACAATTGGTTTTCGATGACTGCTAATAATCCGTATCATACATTCTCTTCATTTATAATTATTTTTCAATGATTATTCAATATTGTATACGATATGTATTTTGTTGTATACCTTGTATGTATAGTTTTATACTTTGCAATTTAAACGAATGCATTAAACATTATAAAGGTATAATAACAATGCTTCGCATATACCAGTGATATTAATAACATTTACAAAAATATATTGATAAATATTTTAAATGTTGCAAAATGATTTTACCTTTCAACTTGCATCTAAATAAGTTTCGATAATTCTTGTAAGTACTTCTTTAAACTGAGAATACATTCGTTGTTAGAAAATAGGTAACTTATTATGTTTATCAACTCATTTTGCACACTCACACATTCCCATATACACAAATGTTTAGTTGTTGCAATGGTGTTCACTATATCTTCATTATTTAATCGAGACGAATAACAATAAGTGCAATATTTGTTTTGATATTTGAAAAATGTGAACTTTTGATTGTAACTTCTAAACTTCGTCGTTTATGATATATATTTACGTGGTAGGCAAGAAAGATGGGAATAAACAACTTAAAAAAGCTTGCTGTTTAAAATAAATTGTACTCTACAGGCCTGTTAGTGTAATACTACTATTAAATAAATAAAATGTTTGATTTTTAATAATACTATGAAACGCGTCGCAAAAGAATAAAAAAAGCTTTGTTTCTACAAAATTAAGTAATTAATTGGCAGTGGGAGTCATTTTGTGACGGAACTCGCTAAATGGCTAAGTCAATTTTAAGTACAATAAATAAACATAAACATACCTAATATGTTTCACCAACATTCATATATGTATAAATGTAAATACCTTTGATATGAAAATAAATCAAATCAAAGGGTTCATTATTTTTAAGACACTATTTTTTAGGCATTGTAACTGTTAAATTACAGTATGGCACAGATGCATAATCCTATGCATATCATTCCTAACATATAAGCTAAATCTCTTCTGATACTCGGATCTCGTTTGGCTGAACCAGGAAGATTATATATATTTTTCCATTTAATTGCCCATAATGGAATAGCAACGTGAAGAATATCTGGGATCATAAATCCAAGATCACGTACCACCTATTGCATATAAAATGCCAACTAAATATTACGAATGTGTATTAAAATTACAAGCAATATTGTTACCAATATTACCTGATGTGCATACCCTTCTCCTCTAACAACATTAGCAACAAATTGATCCCAACCACCTGCTACAATATGCAAGATAGCTATTGCAGCTATACCAAATGCTTTTCTATGAGTTACTGGATTTTTATTATCTGCCAGATGAACAACCAGGAAAGTAGATATCAGCTCAGTGATAGAAAAAAACAGCTGATGGTACCATTGGGAATAGAATTCATCATTCCAATAGTTCATGTAAACCCACCAAGTGTAATAATGAGAGAAAATAGCAGTTGAGAAAAGGATCATCATACAGAGTCTAAGACGATTTTGAAATGCTAGCCATGTTAAATGTTTCACTACTTCATAGAAAGTAATTACCCCAATTACAATAGTCACCCATATTTTTAGGGTATTTGATGTTGCATTAAAGTACATGTGTTTATACGAAGCAATCCCAGATTCGTATGATCCTATAATAACATTTGTTTTGGAAAAGCTTGTTTCTTGTAGAATGTAATATTATTTAAACAATCTAAACTTACCCTTGAACACTGTATCCCAACATGAGCAAGAACAATATTGTTTGTCCACGTCTCTTGCATACTCTTGCCAAAAGTAATACAGAAATGCAATATGCAATGGTGGAATTGTTAATGGTGCTAATATTCCTATTGCTTTGGTGCTGCATGATGCAAAATTTGCATAGAGCATGCGTTTGAATATTTTTGTGAAACCCATATGTACAATCTTTTATTTACATTGAAATTGAATTATATTAACACACATTTATCTTTGGCAAATACTTTATAATTACTTTGATGATTATTGTAAACTTATGATTTTCATTAGGCTTATAGATTACGTAACATCTGCACGAACCACTGTGGTTTAAAATATCATGAAACAGGGTGATGGTAGAAGATTGGCAATAATTCTTTGGTATACATAGAAGTAAGGATAAGATTACTTAATTTGATAATGTGTTTCATTGATTAGATTTTCTTTAAAAATATATCATAGATTTTCTTATCCTTTACAATAAAGTGGTATAATTTCTCTAATAATAAAACATGTTACTTATAATTAATACCACTGATATTTCTATTGTTTTCATTGAACATTAAAATTTTGTTCACTTTCTGTATATAATTAAAGTATTCAAATAACTAAGGATTTTTATAATAATACTATTATTTTCAGTCAGAATTTTCTTCTAAGTTTAGCAATGAATAAATACTGTATAAATCAGGATAACTTTCAGTCAATATATGTTCTTTTCACAGTCAATCTTGACATTTATTTATTTAAACCACACAATTTCAAATCACTACTCTATTATACAATTTGAAAAGAACTCCATTCTATACATTAATTTTTCTCACGATATGTACCAATCGCACTTAGGCCATTTATTGAGATATTTATAGAAATTTACTTTCGTATTCACATGACAGTATGTAAAAAATATTTTAATTGGTACCGACGCGACAAGTGACAATTATAAAATAATGTTTCCATTCTTAGCCTCCATGTACTGAACGGAGGGCTTTGCCCCTCCAAGAGGAATTAATGCGCATGTGCAAAGCTTGTTCCCACGCGGAGGTCCACGTGCATTTAATTTTGGGTACGTGCAATAGTTGATGTTTATTAATGTTTGTAAGTTTGTGTTATACATTCGGGTGCAACATGGATCCCGAGGGAGAGACCGGGAGAAATTGGGAGAGACAGGGAGAGCCAGAAAGGTAAATTAATAAAAAATATGGACATTACGTTTAGTTTTAACTAAAAGAAGCCTAAATTACTCAAAGTTATGCATACATTTTTTAAGTTGTTTGTCATATTTTGAAAATTACTTCTTTTCATAAAATAAGCGACTCTTAATTTATTGGGGTAAATAGAACAGTTTATGACTCTAATGTAATTCAAATGAAATAATATCAAAAAATATAACCAATTTCGAAGTGCTTCAATTAAGAAATATAAATCTCCCTACTGTAGCTCTTAGCTTGATATTAGATTATTCATATATTTATTAAAATTTATTATTTATTTATTATTTATTTATTAAAGTCTCAAAAATGATAATTTAAACTGGTGGAGTGTTGGTAAATCTGAATTGTGATCATAATTCAGCATTTCATCTCTAGATGACACTGACAGTATTATTTAGTGAGGAGGTACGAAATGTACCCGGTTTTACAAACCAGGTTTAGGTCAGCCCTGAAGAAGCAGACTGTAGTCTTTCATTAATCCTTTCTATAGATATTATTTAACAGTATCTTTCATTTAAATATTAAAAATTTCCATACTTTGAGTTAATCCTTTATCATTCCATTTACGAAAGGCATGAATTAAGCAATTATATACTTAATCTAAATCTAATCCAAACTTAAACTTAATCCAGACCTAATCTAACCTTATTAACCTAGACTTACCCTACCTACCCTACCCTATTACTGACGGTAACTACAATGATTATAAAAATTCCTTACAAAGAAACTTTTTATCTATTTTATGTTTAAAACAAATTGCGATAAGGCTTGTAAAAATCCATTGTATCACTATGGCGTGTCAAGTCAGGATAATAAATATTCAGAATGGTGTGGTGATGAGGTAGTTAAGAGCAGATATATTACCTCGGAGGGTTAAAATATGTCTGTGCAAGTTTGCTCGAGTGCCGTTTTACTGTTCAATGTTGTCCAGCGGACAACATAATGCACGGGTTTATCGGGAACGAGAACGCCAATTAAGCGGGAGATAAGTGTTCTGAATCGTTTATTCATGGTGGCGGTACATTAATGAATTGCCGGGAACAAAGATAGAAGATTGTTGCGACACACTGTCTAGACTCAATGTCACAAGAGCTAGTTGCATTAGTGTTGGATAATATTAATATATATCATGTGATGTCTCTGTCCTTTGACCTTGTGACGGCTACTTATGCTCGCCGTTCCCCTATCGATGAACTGCAGAAATACGGTAAATCCCGTGCCGGACATGAGTATCACTTGCATATACAAGGAATTTACTATTTTATCATTAAAATGAAGTGAATAGCCCTTCGAGGGTGGTACATGATGTACACTGGTGGACAAAATTATGAAACAGTATATATTATTTAAAAAGTATTGGAAATGTCAAAAGTAGAAAAATTTTATTACAATTTTATTACGCATTTGGTATCATTCTTTATCTAGTAGTTTGGGACATACTGTGCAATTTCTTAACTCCTTAGTTTCTGTTTTCATTCTTAAAATAATTATTAGGTCGTTGCATAACAAATGGCGGATTAAATGACATAAAAGTACCGTAAGATATCGCTTGTGTTATATCAATTTAAAGCTTAAAGTTTGATAAAAATGACTACACAAACGTTCCATTGATATTATTAATACAAAATGGCTGGTTGTTAATTGAAGTAAGCAATGACTGATTTTGCAGCACGTGCAGTCTGATATGATTTAATAACATAAAGGTATTATTAAATGACGCTTGTGGTACGTTAAATTAAAGCTTAAAGTTCAATAAAAATAATTGCATTAAGGTTTTATTAATAATTTTAATATAAATTGCCTTGGACTGAACACTGATTAAATAGCAATCAATGAATCCATTGTTCGTTCTAATTAGCATCAGCCATTTTGTATTAAAAATATTGACGAACTATTTATACAGTTATTTTTAGAAATTTCTAAGCTTTAATTTGATATATTATAAGTGCTATTTTGCAATACTTTTGTGTCATCAAATCATATCAAGTTTCAGCCCCATTAGGGAAATTATTTCTCAACTAATTTAAAATTCATTTTTGTAATTAAAAATTTTTATTATGAAAGGGTAAAAACACTTGCATACACGTGTATTGTATTGATGCAATCAGTGTTATAGAGAATGAGAATCGTAATGACGCAGCTAGTCTCGTATCTTTTATTATTGAGTTCTGCGTTACAATTTACATAATTGGTCAATTATTTTCAATTGATTTCACAAAATAGCGAACTTAAGATCCAATTATGCAATATATTACTATCTATGGATTAAAGAGAAATGCAACTTTTCTTGTCAAGAAAAATAATAAATCATCCTATTGCAAGATAACACTTGACATGTTACATAATTTATTTAAAAAATTATTGCAAACCGAGGCTAAACATTCTAGAAAGTTTCATAAAGCTAAATCACTTTAATTTACAATAAATAATCTTGCAAAATTGATCTTATTATTTTGAAGACACTCAGCACCAATCTTATTCTTGATTCTTTGAATTCAACGTGTGCCATGTGCGTCACAGAAGCAAATGAAACAATTGACCTCCCTATTTGAAGTGGTCACCAATGGCGATTAATTCCTTGATATTCTTCGAATTAATCGTGTGAAATTCTACTACAATCATTCCTACTGGTCATTTGTAGTCTGTTTTGTGCATTGAAATATTCCTCTTGAAACATAACGGATCATCTGACATAGTCAGACATATTGGAACTCTAATTACAAGTCTCTATCTTTATTGCAAAAATTACTTACGCAGTTCAAAAATAATTCAAATTTTGCAATATTTAATTCATACTCATTTCAGTATCATTATAAAGTTAATTCGGACAATTACATAATTAACTACGTTTCCCTGAAGTTCTTTTCAAGGTTTTGGGAAGCGAACCGTTCGATCGGCCTCGTACCACTTCATACATGTTGCAATAAAGGGAAGAAAACGTATCTTCTTCTGGAATGTTCCATGCATTCACCATAATCCACTGTATCGAATCATTGACTTCGTGCTACTCGACGATGACAATGACCTAGGGTGTCCTTGGTAACAAGGTTATCCATTAAACCTTCCGATCGATCGAAATGATTCCGCACAGTGGGAGAGAGGCACTTTCACTTCTAATGGACGGTAATGTATATGGTTGGTCGTGGAATGTAGGATTAGTTGAATGAAATCGAGGGAACGGCACTTAAGTTCAAGAAATTTCTAACAACCTTCTCTCGAACCCTATATTTTTTGCTAGTATTTTTTCTGCACCTTTCTATGAACAGTTAGCCATATATCTTGTTGGAATAAAGTATTTGTTCGGCCTTTATTTTGTCGTTACAAAAAGGTACCATTGGGTTGCCAATTTTGAATATAGACATTTCATGATTAATAAATATTTAATTTATCGATTTGCAAGAGGATATATTTATAATTAATAAGCTTCCTTTTCGAATAAGGAATGAATGAATAAGTAGGTAAAAACTATTAAAATTTAAATCCTTAAGTCACTTGAATAACGTCCTACACTGATGTGTACCTCCCAAGAGACTCAACTGGTTTACTAGAGTAAGTTCAACGACCTGGTTGGTCCTTGAAAGGACGTGGTCGATCCACACTGATTCAATATTAAGGCTCAATAGTTGAAAATTAATAAAATAAATTTTTTTAAACTAAAAAAAGAATGGTTACATTATGAATTTGTGAATACTTATTAGCATTATAATGCAGATCACCAGTATTCCATATGCCATACTATAAAGTGCGATATTTTATTAAAAACTGTAAAAAGATCACAGAATATGAAAATACTAAAATTCCAAATTGTCCAATAATATAAAAAACCGGTTGATCAGATCGCAAGTAAACAAGAGGAGGAAAAAGGATTTTAATTTTTAAGGAAAATTATTAAAATTTTTGCAAATAAATCATATTCTTATATTAATCCTTAGACAACGGACCATGGGGAGAGCCTCAATTTTCATGTTATTTTCATTTTCCAAATTTTACACCGCGAGTTTGATTCGCAATTGACCCAGGTACCACTGTTCAAGGGTTAATGTTATAACTGGAAATTTATAAAATTCCCAAAATTGTTTGCACAACAGAAGACTACGATTTACAACTTGTAATTAACATTGTTGAAGATTATTGTGTAAGATGATTACAGTAAGCTAAAAGTTAAACAATCGTTTCTTTGTTATCTTAGCCAAACAAGATTCTCGTGCGTCAATTCCATCTCTTAAGCCCCTTCATATTATTTTATTTTCACAGGGAGAAAATTTGGAGACTGGTTTTCGGGGGTTCACGCTTTTACACGTGTTAGTTTTATTTTCGACCGAGCATGTATTCAAACGGCTTCGCCATCAAACCGGATATTCTCGTTTATTTTTCAAAAACCCCTGCGGTTCTTTTTGATAACATTCGTACAGCAATCTGTATGTTAAACAAATTTGTAGTAAAATAACGATCCATAAATTTTGAGCAATAAATTATTGGGTAACGTTTGATTTTTATATTGCATTCTGAATCTACATAATTTTCAGTAAATTAATTTTTCTAGCTTTCCAATAGAACTTTATATCGTTTGGTTCAATTTCAAAAAAGTTATTATGTTTTAAAGGATCGATGAATATTTTTGAAACCTACTGCGTTTCTGTTGCTCACATATTTAATATTAATTTTGCAAAATATGAAAAGTACGCCAAGATATGCTTATTTTCCTCCGTGATATGTCAAGATATCTTACCACTGGTAATAAATAATGTTATATAAATTTGTCGTTATTTTGAAAAGTAATATTCACTAGTTCAATTTTGAAAACAAATGGATTAAAGGTAATTCAATACAATTATAAAGTTTATATCTTTATGAATTAATTAACCCTTGAACGGCGGACCATGGAGAGAGTCCCAATTTTAATGTAATTTCGTATTTCATATTATTTTCGTTTTCTAAATTAATAAATAGTATTTTTTTTGTTTGAATGGTGTACGTCATTTTTGCAATTGGTACTTCAAAATTAAAAAGCATCGATGACAAATAAGGATCAGAAGATTAAGCGGAACAAATCTTTTGCATTTACGTAAAGTCACCTTTTGTTTGAATAATTTGGTAGAACGGTAAAAATAGTAAAAAGGCGTTGTTAACAAGAAAAGTCATGAATATGTAACGTGTACTGTGTTTGCATTTCTAAACGCAAATTGCTCGTCTCACAGTAGAGATGCCTGCGTGCCTCTCTGAAAAATGTTAGAAGACAAAATAAAGTAAGTTTATATTAAAAATGTCGGAGATGACTGACTAAAATAAAATTTGTTTTGTACCTAAGTAAATATATAAAAAAAAGAGTAAATGTGTATTTAAAAGGAATCAGTAGAATATTTTATAAAATTTGAAAGTAAGGAGAAGATGGTCTTATAATGGAACCAATAGAAATATCGATGAGATTTAGCAAAACTTTCAGAAGAAAGTTTTAGCTTTCACTACAATTGTAAACGCTGTAGGTGGGAAGAAAGTTTGCGAATTTTGTCCAATTATCATAATGTAAATCGTAACTTTGCTTCCTTTATGACTAACGAGGTCATTGTAATAAGGTTACACGATTTTCTTCTTTCTTCAATTCGTTAGAATGACATTTTCAAGAAGAAACTTAAAAATTCAGTTAAAAAAGTAAAATTAATGAATTTAAAAAATAGGATAATATATGGATGGATTAAAATATGGATGAACTGGGTGGACCCATGTTAAAAGTTATGAAATTTTTATTATTTATTAAATAAAATACTTATTGTTAGATACAAGATTCATTCATAAGTTCAGGTTTTTTAAAACTGTTTATTATAAATAATAAACATGTGTTTTATCTTTTTATTAGAAGCAGTATAATTTTGAATATTATTTGTTAAAATAAAAATTAATTTTAATTAGAATAGCGTGGAATTTCTATTTGTAATTTATTCTTTGAATTTGGTAGTTCTATAGAACTGGTTCTCTTTAAAACCGATGCTGTTCTATATTTTTCAAAGTAAGAGTATAAGTATTCAAAACAAGAAGATTCTAGATTTTGAACCTATTACCGGTCTGCAACCTGATTTGGGTTTTTGTACTTCTCCAGATTATTCCATTCATATTTACATATCCACAACAGTAGAGATTTGAATGACTAAAGCAGTAGACTTTTCACCCAGAAAATTCGATTTTGAATTCAGAGTTTCAATATTAAATCATCATGATACCTATTAATTATGAAAGATATAATTTTTCAAAAATTTTTTAGAAATTATAAATTGACCCTTTCCTTTGAACTTTCCTTTTTTTTTTTAAATAATGAAAAATAATATTTTTGTAATATAAATATGAATTGTTTGCTTATAGGAAAATTAAATATATAAAAAAGTAATGATAGTTTAAATTTTCAAATTAATTTCAAAAGTAATTAAGTACGTGTCTGTAATTCATTAAGTATTATTTTTCCTTCGTTTTTGTAACCAGACTTACTAATGTATTCTAACAAAAAGATATTAGTCAGAGCAAAGAAGTATCTACGTCAATTTTGAAAGCTATGTAACAAACAAAAACAAATAACATAAATTTTAATGTGTTTTCAGTCTCAAATACAGCAATTAATTTTCTTACATTTGAATTTGAACGTTCTCGATTTCTTATAAATGCGATACCTTAAATTTTGTCAATTATATTTGAAAATTATTAAAATTAATTTTTTTATCATTCTTAGTCTGAACATATAGGGTAAATATACCATATATGGACGTTTAAAGGATTTCTGCACCACTCATTGCTATATTACCATTAAAAAAATAAAATAATATCAAAAATATACAAAAAATCAAAATATTAAAAATTGAGTAATTCTATAAGATCTTATTATAACATTGTAGAATTTAAATTAAATCCCTTCCATAATGACTGACATAATAATAAAACCGTGAAGGCCAATAATATAAAACCACCACTAATGCGTTTTTCTTTTTATGAAAAATGAGGAATATTTCCTCTGTCATTTGAACTTTTACTGAAGAACTGTAATAATTCTTATATCAATTTTTCCACTGCACAGGTAATTTGCATAAAATGCAATTAACGTCTTTGACACTGACGTAGTAGCTCGTGCACCAGACGATCACGAGACTAATAAGCTATTCAACTTTGAATTTTTATTTTTTGCTCATCTCTTACTTACGTCCAACTGTTACGTTTATTCGTCATTTGGACTCGGTATGTTTTGCATATCTACAAATTATTTAACATATTGTGGATACTCGACGTAAGAAAATAAATAATTTACTGTACCAAAGCTTGCCACGACCTATCAGGTGTGTACCTGAACCCAGAATGACGTCAAATACCTGGAGACGTTGAAGCCGGTATACATATACCGTTTCACCAACGTCAGAGAAACGAGGATGTTATTAATTTTTTTTAGCAGACCTATCACAACAGTTCGCTAGTATTCCTCGGAACTTGGATCATTAAGTTTTTCCTTCAACATGTTTATTACTAAAGTCAAGTACATTAAATGTTTCCGGTTCAACTACGTACACTGTTATTTTGTTAATTATTGAAAATGTGGGTTAAAGTTACTTGATCTGATAGGAGAAAGTTAATAGAATATCTGAATCTTTTTTGACCTAATTGGTATTTATGAGAACTTCTGAGGATCCGTCCGGAGAGTCGAAGATGCACGGTACTTAGTCCTACTTAGGCTCAAACTTGACATTTCCCATCAATATTCATAAGAATAAACAATAAACTATTATACAAAATACGCGTAATAAAAATATAACGAGTTTTCAATTATGTTTTTATAAAAATCCTTAGTTATATGACAACGCTGAATCATTTGTTTTTCAAATTTAAATGGGTTATTCCGAATAAATATACTCGCTTTCAAAACATACTTTTTCCAGAAACAATTTTAAGAATCAAAGTTTCACACTTTTAAAATTTTATAATTCTTGCAAAGGAATCAATACGAAATCAATGGCTTGTCAATAAATAATGATGCAAGTTTCTAAGAAAAATTAAATAATTTTTTCCAATCCGTCAATCAATATTTAAATCCCCGAATTATCATTAATTAGATTCTCTTATATTTTCATCTCCGTTCAATAATTATTACTTTGTATAACTCTTTTATTTGCCGACCGGATTTTTATGTATTCCTTGAACCGACGTTGACATTTCCATTCAATTGAATTTTAAAATATTCTAGAGAATTGCTTGTACTAATACGCGTTTTTTTTTTTGTAAATATACAAATGGAAAAAGTAATGAGTCGAAAGACGCTATGTAGATATCATTGCATAAGAAGAATTACGTTTTATGGCACTCAGACATGCGGATAATGTTACCATTTCAAATGTGTTACATCTTAATCGTACCACTGATAATGGAATACACGTGTGACTGTTAATTTACATACAGCGAAGACAAAAAAAGATGTAAAATGAATTCTCAACCGGTTAGGAGACATTTTTTAGGGCACGCTTTCTCAAAAAACTCAGACTTGTTGTTTGCGTCAGCAATTCGTGAAAAAAGATCCTCATCTTATTTGAAAAATGAATTACATTAAGAAGAAAAATTGATTCGAACGTCAGGATAAAAATTTGTTGATTATGATAAAGCTTCGTGTCCAAACGTTCATTTCCTGTTTTGCATGATTTAACGTATGCATGGACAATGATTTTCATAGTAGACAAGGACGATTTGTTATGATCGATACTTTTTTATTTCAGAATACCAGTTTTTATCGAGTGCTATGCCAGTAAGGTCGTTAACAGGAAGAAGACGTATATCGACAGCGAAGGACATATCCGAAGGGATTTCCCCGATGATTATCTACCTGCATGTTTACTCCATCCCAGACATGGCCATCATGACAATTTCCTCGAGTAATACGCTGTGACTTAAACATTCCATGGAGGTGACATGGCTGGTCGCTATAAGGGGATCATCCCATTTGGAAGCGTGAGTAACAGGGAGATTTCATAATTTTCTTTTCCTAGTCCACCGTGGTTAGAAGGTCTTTGAATAAGAATTAATCAACATACGTGTAAGCAGTTTTCATTACCAATCATTGGATAGAGAGTTTGGTTAGGTTAGCCATCAAAGCTATTTTTGATAATTTTTTTTAGAAAAATCATAAGGTATATAGAAAATCTGGGATATATGTTTTGTTGTACGTATCTTAAGGAATACCAAAATATTTTTTGATTTTCTATAGGTATTAAAATGGCGGCATGGGAGCTGCCTCATGATGATTGTTTTTGAGAGGGTGTGTAGGGTAACTGTACCAGTGAGGCAGCTACAGCGCCGCCATTTTGTTGAATATAGAAGATCTAAAAATATTCTTGTATTCCTTAAACTGTGTACAATAAAAGGTATATAACAGATTTTTAATTTACATCATGATTTTTCCAGAAAAAATTATCAAAGATAGCTTTGACTTTTCGGATCCAAAGCACCCTAATATCATAATCATTAATTAATCTTTCTAATGTATTACTGAAGTACTATTTTCAGATTTTAATGATGTACATTTAAAACTAAAAATGAGTATAAAATCATGGAATTTATTTATTTAAAATAGAAAATAGAGTGTACACCTAAGTGCAAAGTTCACCGAACTGAAAAAGTATTATACCAGAAGACAGTCATCAAATAACTGAACGAATTTGACTGTCTACAGATCTATTTACATGCTAGATACTAATCTACACGTGTTTGATATTTTGTCGCTTCACCTCTGACCTTTATCACTGCCTTCGAACGTTTTATCGCGCACTGAATTAAATTCTACGCTGGGAAGAAATATTACCTCACGCTTTCATTATTGCAGTTACAAGACTATTTTCTACTTCTGAGATTTAAGATAGCATACTTTCCTCAAATTCCCATGGGAATCACACAATTATGACGGCGGACTTAATAAATGAAACGTTGTAATTAATTCGTGACGATGAAATAACGTGAAACCGGATGGATTATATTTCGTTGGGGAATGGGTTCTACGTTATCCATATGCGAATGACATCTGAATTTCCATGGGAATCCGAGGCAAACTGACCGTTGGAAGTTTGAGATATTTCCCAATAAACCTATAGGGATTTGGAGCATAATTAAGTAGGTTAGTCATGTCGGTAGTCTTTCGACTTAAGCCCTTCACTATTCGACGCCATCTTATGGGGAGTAGTTCGCTTCTTGGCCACCAAATTGCAGCTACATTTAGAAATTTTTTGCTTGTAAGTAAATCGCTGCTTTATAAATAGCATATTGTCCTTGAATATTCAAATTATCACTAAATACGTAAAACATCATTTATACACAGCAATTAATTAATTATTGTCAGTCTTCGACGCATTTTAACCGTACAGGTCATGAATATGTTAATATCAGTCTGACTTGTAATCATCAAGTAAACTGATATGGAAGTAAGTAAAAACATAAGTTTAGATAAAGTGGATTATTTTTCTGTTGGTGTTTGAATATTAGGATTTTAGGTCAGAAAATTCTTAATTAATCTAATATTAATGTAAGGAAATGGCGAGACACTTAAAATAGGGAAAGGCTTGTTACTTTATAAAAACTATTTTTAGTTAAACAAATTTTGCTATTACAATTCACATACTCTTAATTTTACTGAAAACTTAAAAATCTTGAAACTATAGCCAGACTCTGTACAGTTATGTTTTTTAGAAGAAGAAAATAAACGCAAGTTAACCTTATCTATAATAGAAGTAGTAAGTGTACTTCACTGCTGACTTCGACTGTAAGTTAAATTTATCTTTCCAGGAAACTACAAGTGCATATTTGGTTTACATTACTCTAAGTTTTTCAGCATAATAAAACACATCAGCAAATGCACTATTTCGTTGAATAACAATCTATTTCCATCGAATTCGCCTGGTTATCAATTTCCATGACCTTAAGTATCACCGAGTTCAGTTAGAACTAAGTAAATGCAACAGAAAACCACTTCCAAGATAAGACATTTATTTCTATTGCATCTAAGTTCGAGTCAAGGGCACTGATTCTATCTAATTCAAGGCGCCGAATAATTTTGTCTGCTAGATAATCTCCTGCTATGAGTTCTATCTTGCAGACATCTTGGCTAGGTTCTAGAAAATTTTACAGAATTATTGGTTCATCTCAAATTTTGAGGTAATTTTTAGGTGACACTTTTGGATCATTCGAGGTCCAGTTTGCAATTTTTGCGAGCCTAACCTAACCTTAAGGTTATTGTAAGTTAGGTAGCATGATTTTAGTGACGCTTGAATTTCCATGGGATTACCTATTTCATTGAAAATGATCTATAGATCCATTCCAACTCATTTAAAATAATATCAACAAACTCTCGCCGGAGGGTACATTTATCTACGATCGATTTCTACGAACTACCCGTGATCCTTTGCATCGCATTCTTTCCTTTCGCTGTTTCGTGTTTTCCTCGGTGGCTTTCCGAGCGAATGCGCCAGTCCAGTTGCCGATGGACGGCCTCGAGTCCGCTTTTATTTTTCATCTTTTTTTTTTCTCCCTGCCGCGAAAGGTGGACGTACAAAGAACCCTTCACCCCTGACTTTCGTCGATATGCAATTTCGTCGCCGAAGAGAATGAGCCGCACTTGTTCGTAGTATCGCCGATGCACCTGTGGCTTGTGCGTCTCGCGCCGACGTTGGCCGAGCCCGAACGAAGGCCACCGAACGCGACGCCTATATAAAAGTGGACAGCGGCGCGTCGCAATCATTCGTAGTACGAACTACGTGCACGCTCGGATATCAGCGAACGATACAACGAGTTCTCTAAGTGACCGTTACAAGATAATTCTCGTGCAAAAGTGTCAATCACTGGATTGTGTTCGAAAGTATAGCAACCATGTACACGAACCCGTTCAACCGCAAACACAGCACCATCCGCCAGATGCTGGACCGGCTTTTGGACCCGACCAAGAAGTCGATTAGAAGATCAGAAAGTGTGTCGAGCTCCGGCAGCGACAGTTCGAAGGGTAGCAACGGCTCTTTGAACAAATACTCTCACAATAACAAGATGTTGCAATGGGGCAGAAAGTGAAGAACGGAAGGAAAAGGCTGCAGCTTTATTCTTTTCTTCCTGGGTTTCTTCACTTAATCATCCTTACCTGTTTAACAATGGGAAGCGAACCGATAAGGGAACAGAGCCTCGCACAACAGGCCTTCCAGACGGAGTCCGCCGCTGGTCAGCCAAGATGGACATCGTGGAGACACGAAGGGATCATCGAAGCTGTATGCATGCCACCCTTTCATCAGAGAGAGGAAGTACTATTCCCGGCGCGGGCTCTCCTTAACGGACTTCAGTTGTGCCAACCATGAAGTCCAACTGGAACGTCAACTTCTATGGACATCAGCTTTCATATGTACATATGTACATTGTACTGTTGTTTCGATTAAGTCACATTGTGCCATAATCGCTTGTTAAGTAGTCTGTACCTACTTCAGAATGTGTATTCAGCTTATATGCATGTATGTATATGGTTTTTAGAGCCATTGAGTCACTAGTCAATAGACAGTATTAAAGATACTAGAACATTGTAATTCTATGGATTTTTAATTTATTTTCTTTTGTATAAAAATTTGCTTGGAATTAAACATGTTTATTTCCAAATTATATATTTGTACTATTTACTTCACCTTTATCCCTCTTCTGCGTTGTAAACAGTGTTGCAGGTTTATTGGAATCGATTTTTATTTATCGATGTTTATTCAGTTTTTGATGAAATAATCTTGTCTTATTGTTGAAATTTGTTTTGACTATTTGAGAATTTTTAATAACAATTGAGAGTAAGTTGCTTATTTGCTATCTGTCCAACACTGGTTGCAAGCACAACCTAAAAATACTTCGTATATTTATATAACAGTTGCTGTACGTTCGATTCATCTCACCAAGAGATCAACAAACGAATTAAAAGAGCTTTTGCGTAATATTTGTTCACTGCGGGATGCGACTTAGGTCCACGTGCCATCACAATCTATTTTTTTCTCGTAAAAATAATTGCTATTAATGTTAGTGTAGGCAAATAAATTTCAAAAAACTAAAATTAAATTATTGTCATTTAATTACACTAATTTGAATTTGTTTAATTCTACTAATTTGCTTTATCTGCGTTGGAATTCGTAGTACTGTTATTTCTGACACATACGATTAATAAACGATATAATTATTAATAATAAAAGTGATTTATTATAATTTATTGCGGTATTTGTACTTGTTTGACGGAAACCAGTTTCGGCGCATTTGCTTCCATTTTGCATAATTTGGCTCCACCTCGAGTTTTGTTCTACATTTATTTTTTAAATACAGCATTGGATAAAATCCTGCTTCGATTAAATATGTCGTATAAAATAGCACAAAAAAGACTGTTATAATGTGCATTGCACAAGTTGTTCACTAGTTGAGAACCGTTGATTTATAATGTGCCGTACTAGATACGGCTGAATCACTGTGTCCAGGGTACCTATCTACTTAAGAGTAAAAGTCGCGTGAAAAGCTGTCGAGAGTCACTCTCAACTGATTGACAGTCATTCTTAGCACACTAACCACTTGCAGAAGATGCTTTCAATAGATTTTCACAGGAGTTTAATCTGTCAAATGAACATGACTGTCATGGTGGTTATCAATGACTGATGCCTTCAATTTTTTTATAATGAACAGTTTGTAACAGAAAAGAGAAAGGAAACTTTAAATAGCATTGCGATTATACTAATAATGCAAGATACACCAATCTAGAAATATTGTTCTGAAATTAATTCTGAAACAAAAAAATGAATGACAGATAATTTCACGAGCATTTACAATCTTTTATTGATTTTGCATTGGTGGGGATAGTTTAGTCTTACTACATTTGCTATCTCTAATCGTGTAAATAATTATTGCATATTTGTATCAGAATTCAAGTATAAAGTCGCAATATGAAGATACTGCAAATCATTATTTTCATTTATTAAAGAAGATAACATTTTTGGAAGATATAATTATTTCCAGATACTCTTCTTTTTTAGAAATTTAAAAATTTCACTTTAAGAAAGTAGAGATTTACGAAACGAATATTATGAATAAAAAAGTCAAAATTGTGTGACCATTTTCTAATAGAAAGTTTAGAGATAACTTGACCTGGTCTTCCAAAATTAAGTCAACAAAAGCTACTTTCTGTCAAAACAATTTTTAAGGCATCATGATAACCTTGGAATTTACCATTTTTGCAGTTTTCAAGCATATTTTTAAAATATTTTATCTCTAAACATTTTTACAATATTAAAATGAAAAACGATCCTACATCCTTCCTTTTAAAGAATTTATGTAACAAGACAGTTAAAATTCTTCGAATATGATAAAACTTGAAATTAAAGCTTTAATTTTTTATTAAAGAAAAAAGTAGTAAGATGAAAAATTGATAAAATTAATAAAAATGATAATTTCTGAGTGATTTATGGAAATTCCAAACATATGTTGACAAATTTAAATTTAGAGGGTTTGTATACTATTAAGGAAAGCAATTCTTGTCTACTATTAGAACTCATGATGCAGGTACAATGGAAGTTGAACTTTGATAATGCGTTACACGTTTAGCCTGATATTTTGGGCGACTGGTTTAAGTAACATGGTATAAATACAAAGTAGTGTACCTATTTTTGGATCACATTTCTATATAAACATATTCTTACATGTATGAATAATTTAATTTTTCTGCCTTGGTTTTTGTACTACCACCCTTCAGCAGTTAATACCATATTATATAGGACACCCTGTATACTGGTTTCCTTCCACATATTATTAAAATTTATTTCAACCTTGTCACAACCAGTGTACTGTGCCTCAAAGCCATCATAGAACAATTACAAAGTTTCAAGGCACTTCAGAACTTTCGCGAAGACTTGTATTGATCTGTCAAGAAGGTGTTCATTTGACCAGGGTACATGGCGTGTATAAGGGTAATTCGATCCATATGGCATGCAAACTTGCTAGCCATTTTATGGAAGGAAGTACGTCAGGAATATCGACTAAAAAGAACTTAAATGAATAATTTCTAAGATACATAAGTACTAAAGTTTTATCATTTATTTTCTTGTCACCCTGTATACATATATGTACGTATATGTACATCTATTTTGATCACTTCCTTTCAATCGAGTCGCAGTTCCTCGATTATTTTTCCGCCTAATGAAACACTATGTACCCACATCAAGATGTCCGGGCTATTTAAAGTTAAATATAGCGTGTATTTATTGTAGGTGAAGCGAAAACATGTTTAATGAGGTCGTACACGTCGTCTATGATGGTCTAAAGCACTTTAGATATAGCTATATCGTTTGAAGGTTGAAGACTATAAAGGGGTAAATTGTGCCCTTAATACGTCACTGTCAAAGAGGTTAGGTTTCAGCTTTGGTTATAATAAACTAACCTAACTTCAATTTCAACAGTTAATAAAACTTTTAACACCGCTATTAGAAATATTTTAATAATAATAAAAAATAAATATTATTCAAAAGAATTTGAAGCATATGTGATTCCTTTCCATTTTTATTTTCTACTTCACGAGAAACTAGGTGACCTAATAAAATTCATTAGCACGCAACAATGTTTTCACCGGAGGAAAAGAAGAGATTGCATTGTGGAAAGCAGAAACATATTTTGCCCGTTTACGGATTTCAACACGTATTTCTTCTTCTTTACGTCTTTCATCAAATTCATTTCACCGGCAATAATTTCGCGTTAAAGATGACCGTTACGTCCATAAAATTTACATACGATCATCACTTGATTAATTCACTCGTTTTATCAATGACTAAACAGAATCTATTATATTATATTAATTCTTCTTCGAATATATATAAATATGTAAATTAACCTAAAAATTTTGTAGTTTTTTAGGTTTTCACTCGTCATTCTTTCTCATTTCTATTGTTAGATATTATATCATTCTTACAAAAAGAAAAATTTTGTCTTATACAGAGTGTTTTAAAAATGGTGTGTACTTCGAAAATTAATAATAATTGTTTTTCATGAGAAAATAAATGGAGTAATCACGCGCCATTTTGTATAATTTGAGGTTAGGGTCATATGGAAATATAATTAGTAAAGATACTAATATACAAGAGTGTTGAGTAAATTAATGAAAATTAAACTCAAATACTAAAATCGCAGCCTAGATGATCAAAAATACCTGTACGAATAATGACCCAATCAAAAAATGCCAAGAACTATATTGAGGAATTGGGGCCACTCTACCCAATAAGACGACAGCCAGTTGGCGATGGCGTAGAAGACCCTGACTTCTATTTCCCACGATAAAAAGGAAGTAATGCCAGATTGAAACTGGAACAAGATAAAATAGCAAATAAACTTGACGGCAAAGTAGGACATTCTGACCAATTTATATTTATGGATTTCTAACAATTGCTGGCAAGAATAAATATTAATAGGGAGTTATGAGTTGGGCTTCCCCTGTGGTCTTCCTTGGTTCTTCGTGGATTCTTTCAAAGTTCAAGGCAATTAGTGGTAGCTTCCTCGATCTGCATTTACCTTTAGTCTCAGGAGGCTTACATTGCCTCCAGGTGTACAGTGAGGCGTTATTTTGAACTTCTTTTTTAATAATTTTAAATTTTTTCTTTTAACACATAATATTTGACATTACAAAATAAATGAATTAAAAAAAAAAAGTTAATTTTCCTATTTAATTATAAATATATACTAATTAATCCTATATATTTCTGCAGCCACAATTATACTTGACATACTTTTTTTAAAAGCACCACATTGAAATACTTGACCAAAGAAACTGTGGTTAATCGAAGGCTAATGATTCTTTTAATTTTATTACCGTTGTCTTAAGGTCATATTTCGCGATTTGCACAAAACACCGGTAAAAGTATCGTTCCTTGCACATTTCTTTTTCTCGATACATTTTATATTTTAATAAACACTATATTGCAATCGCAAATATTTGATTAAATACTCGATAAATAATTAATCGTTATTATTTTGTTCATGTATCTGGTACAAAATATTTATTTCTTTAATGTAACTACTGACGTATGTAGCAAGATTTTTGTACGTTTCGATATCAAAAGCAACCATGTCATTGTGTTTAATTAATACCTTCTTTTTCATACGGTTTTTTTTTATCTCCACGTGATTAGTGTTTCAAATGATGTACCTGCAGTACAATAACTTAATTACTCCATTACATCATTGGGACCAGAAGTGCGTTTTATCGATTAATAAATGAAAAGTTATTCAGGTGACAAATAGCAAATTATGTGCTTTTTGTGGATGATGCATTAATGTTGACCTATGGGTTAATCAGACCTACGAATTGCATACTTATGATGATATTGCAATCAAAATTGGAAATACAAATTTTTAAATAAGATCATATTCATGTGTCAGAAACATAATATTTAAAAGGGATAGTTTAGAGTGATGGAGATTTAGAGAGGGACAGGGAGAATCAGAGTGAATGGAGAACCAAGAAGATTCAGGGAGGTCCAAGGAGAACCAGGGAGAACCAAGAAGGGTCAGAGAGATCACCCACGAAAATGTGACAAACTACTAATTGTTCAATCATACAAAATTTGGAACGTCCTCCACTGATGATCCCAACACGATAAAACAGTTGATCACAGAACGAATATTAGAACATCACGTTTCTAAGAACCTGGCACGGCGCGGCGGTACGATAAGAATGGTACAGTGTATATCGGTTTTTAGGCGCCACTTGAACATCAAATTTTCCATTTGACTGGAGTTTTGTTCGACCCATATCAGTGATTATCAAGACTGAAGGCAACGGTATCAGAACGTCTGTTCGTTATCTGTCCATTGTCCCGTCTTGACTGCCTGTCAGTCGAAAATGTCTGGAATTCACATTTGTAAATATGTATGGTGTCTGTTCACTAGGACACAAAATCCGCTCGAAGATTTCCGGTACTCCTTGGTCTGTTTTGTTTCCTACCGGCTCCAACATATTATTCCATAATAAATTTGCTCCTGAAATTAAAAAAAAGAAAAAAGAAAAGAAATCTTTATTAGTGTCAAAAGTGAAGAATGAATTTAATTTTTGATTTTTGGCTTTTAAAATAATAAGAGTTTAAAAATTGAAAAGTGATGTAACTTCTGATCTATTTCAAGTATAAGCAGAGGACTAATATTAGAAACATTGATACCATGACTTTTGATTAACTCCTCTCATGAAAAGTCAACTTGACTAGTTGACTTCATAGTGCTTCGTTGTACTAAGTGATTTGATCTTTTATTCGGGACGAATTACATAAAAATGGAGGAGTTGTAGGGGAAGGAGATTGATTGATTTAACTATTTCCCCCTCTTTTTTCTTACGCCTGCTGATATGCAATTTGTCTTACAGGTATGTAAGACCTGCAAATTGAGTTAAGGGGTTATTTATGACCAAGAAAAATCATACTTTAATTTATAATTAATTTCTTACCCAATGCATGACCCTTTTGACTAAAGTGAAAGCAGTCATAAGTGACCAAACTAGGATCTAATGGCGGCGCTTTGCTTGGATCAGCATTTGGAGCGTTGAATACTTTAATAAATGGTTGCAACACTACTGTAAAGTCTGGAGAGTTGTCGTACCTGAAATAAAAAATAAAAAATATAGTTAAAAATTTCATAATTATTGTTTATTTGTTTAATGAATTGTTAAATATTCTCGTACCTTCCAGAGTGTACTAAAGTTTCTACAGCTTGTTGATATAAGTGCGACATTTTTGAAGCTGCAATGTCTGGTCTATTGCCCCTGTGCATGCAAGCACAGTACAATGGATGCAAAATGTTACACATGGCACTTCTTGGTATCCTAATGGAAACTGTAACATCTACACAAAAATAAAAAATTGAGAACAAAAAGGAAACAGTAGTCTCTATCATTAATCACGTGACATCAGAACGTCTAAAAAAGAATTGACAATTACCTATAACTGGTACGAGATTGACTAAGGTTCGAGGTAGAGCAATTTTCAGGAAGTCCAAGACTCTTTGTAAATGAAGAGCATATCGGAGTGGGGAAAATTGTATAGGGCTGAAGCACTGCGCCGAACAAATATCATTAGCGCCGAAGAAGATCGTAATCAACTGCAACATAATGAAACATTTAAAAATTAGAATAGACTTTTACTTTAAAAAGTTTAAAATTCGATCCCAGCGCCGACTATACAAACACGATGGAAACTATTTGCGCCATTTATCAGTGACCAAGGGACGGTATGCATTTATGTACTTGTCCACTTATCGACCCCTTCCCGATAAAAGAGTTACCTACTTATCGGCCGATTAGCTCGCAGTCGGTAAAAATTTATAATACCTTCCATTGTTGCCTCACATTGATCCTAGGGTTCCTTTTAATCCTGTGAACGAGGATGCGCGCTTGATGGAGCGCGTCCTCAGTAGCCGCGACAGGGAAAGCGATGTTCAATTTCGCTTTCGTCGAAATAAACTCGCCTGTGCCCGTCGAATAACCAACTAAGTTTGGATTGAATTCCTAAAACGACGTCAGAAGATGAATATTAATTTAACATTAAGAACATTACTGGGCACCATCAAGTTAGATAACTCACTCTAACAAGGAGAACTACCCAAGTGTTACACTCACTTATTAATGAAACTTTGCCAGCTTGTAGAGCTCGTCGAGCTGAACACGCCTATACCCCGTTTTGTGGGCAGACGACTAATTGTTTAAAAGATATTAATAATTAAAGTTAGTTACTACTTACATTGAGAAGTATGATAGACTCACACATACAACTCGCAATCTAGAGATCCACGGTTCAAATCCTTGATTCCCAACATTTTTTTTATTTTTTTAATGATAATTTGTCTCTTTTTGAATAACTATTACATAAAAATTATCATAAAGAAAAAAAAATTTTTTTGGGAACCAAGGATTTGAACCGAGGACCTTCAAATTACAGGTCACGGATCTGCACCGTGGTTAAACACCTGACTCGTAATCTAAAGGTCCTCGGTTCAATTCCCGGGTAACTGTTTTTTTTTTTTTTTTTTTTTTTTTTTTAATAGAATGATAATTTTTAGGTAATAGTTATTCAAAAAGAGACAAATTGTGATAAAAAAAAAAAAATGTTGGGAACGAAAGATTTGAACCGTGGATCTCTAGATTGCGAGTTGTATGTGTGAATCTGTCATACTTCTCAATGTAAGTAGTAACTAACTTTAATTATTAATATCTTTTAAACAATTAGCCGGCTGCCCACAAAACGGGGTATAGGCGTGTTCAGCTCGAGTTTCATTAATAAGTGAGTGTAACACTTGGGTAGTTCCCCTTGTAAGGCACTCTGTAACTTATTGTTATCACTAATGTAATTAGTACCTTTAATATATTGGGAACGGTTAAAAACCGTCTCCAGTCGCCTTGGCCACCCACACACCAGCTAACACCTCGTGCTTCTATGAAAGTTCCAATGGCAAACTCTTCCAAAGCTCCACTTCCGGCAACTAGTGAATCACCTAGGCCACCGACTATGTCTATGTCGCCTGGTCGTAATCGATGCACATTGTCAGGCACAATAGGTGACCTAGAATAAAAAACATTCAATCATTCTTTATCTCTAGAGCCTAAGTTGCAACCGGCTGAACATATTAAGATGGATGGTGGGACCTCCTTCCCCTACATCGCCATTTTAGGGAAGCCTACCATACTCGGCACTGTATTGGCGCTAGTACTCTACTATTTACTCTACTACTGTAACCTAGATCTAAAAATCAACCTCCTCCACTATTAAGCTTCTACATACCGTCCAGCGCGAACGTTACATGGAAACGGAACGTAATCAGGAACTTGGGGTTGACTTCTTATTCCACTATACATCACAGGGTATTTAAGTTCCTCTCTCTCAACATCATTCTGAAAAAAATTAATAATACTTCTTTCGGTAATAATCCTAACAAGATACAATGAAACAATACTGAACAGATATTCTTCGTCCTATATCCTCAAAATGTAATATAACGTACAAAAGCGATCAGAAACAGGAAATCAAAGAAACTGAGAGTGATTTAACAGAATACATGAAAGTTTCAGGGTTCCTCTTTTACCGGTATTCGCAATGTCGTGTCCGGTACAAACATAGTTTCTTAAAGCGCGAATTTAGCACACGATGCACGTCGACACGTTTGCTTTCTTTCATTTGCATTCTACCACGACGTGGATTAAATACCGTCGCATATAAATCATTTAAGAACTAAGAGTGTGCCGATCGAAGTGGGCCGATTGAATACGGCCACAAACAGCCCGTTCGTGAATCAATGAAAAGAAAAGTTCTCCTCTTTCTCCGTTCGTTTGGAATGCAAAGTATTCCCCCCCTGCTTAGGCTCTTTTTCCGGTTTGACATAACAAGAATTGCGACTATGTCTTTGTGCGTCACGTTTTCGATTCTTACAAGTATTTCAAAAATCTACTTAAAAGTCACTATAGAATGAGTTCCTTTGGAAGTGAAACTAAATTTGGACGAAAGGGAAGGTCGTATCATGTCATACCACGTAATTTATCTAACCTAAATTAACCCATTGAACCTAACCTGACCTGTAATTGAACCTAACCTGATCTATAATTGAAGCTAACCTTCAGGTCACTCACCTTCCCCAATTGGAAGACTCTTCTTAGCAGGTCCATGATGGAACCTCTAACTACTGGTAACACAACCAAAATTAGCAATAAACATATTTTTTTAATCTTCATAATGCAAAGGGGTCAGGGAATCTCGTAAAAAAGCAAAGAAGTATATTTCTTGAAACTTTGTTTTACTATGCTGTTCAGCAGGTCGTTTTTCATGTGCCAAAGATTTATCACCGGTTGAGATTTATTTCATCGAATAAGGCTTTCTCTTTTTCTTTCATATCGATGTGGTTGTGTTTGTTGAAAACATGGAACATAAGTTTCCTTCATCGATGCCCTGGTTCCTTCATCTGAAGAGCAAAACCTTAGTACACACGTGCCATTTTGTCCATGTACGGGGTTGCTCCTGATATTTTGTTCTATCACAAATCATACCTTGAATTTGAAATAAAAATTAGAAACACTTTTCCACTAATTTTCCATAAAATTGCTACCATTATTGATGGTGTTTCATTTTAATTTTTGGCAATTTTACACAATTTTACACTGTTTATCGTTTCTTGTTTTTTCGTTGCACTTCAGTTAGGATATTTTAAAAATCTAATTTTTAAAGTTTTTTGACACCAGTGAAGATGTGGATACACCTTCCTCCTTCGAGGATATTTTGACACTAGATGAAGAAGGAATAGGACATGAATGAAGACAGCTGGGGAAACATACATGTGTCCATCGACGGTTCCCCTACTTTTTCTGCTGAAAGAAACACTTGGGGTCTTTTGTATTCTGTACGGTAACGAAGACGTACGTGAGTAAGAGTGGTGAACGCCAAGATTATTCTAGAGGGATAGCCATCGCCATTTTGGTGGTGCTAATAACTGTATCGATCTTTAAATCAGTTTACAAAATATCTGCTGAAATAACAAAATTTATACAATAATTATTATCATTTACATAAATTAAAATTTATTTTGCATTTCCTTAATATACTAATCTTTGAAAAATGGTAATTTTTACTTCCTAAAAATAGTAATTTCTTTTAAAATTAATACAAGTAGTTGTCAAGCAATAAATACACAATTTCATAACTTCGATTATATCCTGAAGAGAGTTTATATAATATTTCGAACCAGAAATGGATATATTTCGTTAAAAAATATATTAACGAAATCTGTAACCCGAGGCATAAGGTCTTTCGTAATTTTCACGAAGCAGGAACTGTTTTGAAGCTGGTTAAACTAGACCTGTAACCCAATTCAAGAAAAAGATACTAATAACAATTACACTTTCACGTATCGTAACATCTGAAATGTTGGCCCCAATCTTGTGCGATCAACAGTTTACAGTTTTCGTTGAAATTCGTCTTAATTTATATCACTTTTGTTAAGGCACTCATTCTTATGTCATTCATTTATTAAGGAATGAATTAATTAGAATGTAAAATTTTGTAATTAAGTGTACGATCAGGTGTCATAATTTTTAACTGGTATCTTGACTTTTAAATTGGTTACGCTTTGAGTGTATTGTGATACATTTCGAATCCACTTTCACAATGTTTTCGTATATGCAAAAGATTTTTTTAGATACAAGTTATACCATGTCCATCTTACGGTTCAACGACCTCTAGAAGAAAGAGGTAGATTAATATATCCTGTTGGCTTTAGGTTCAACGTTTCTCATAGCTCGATTCGAAATCAGCTGAGATGTGGCATTTCTAAAATGTTTCGGGACCGTGATATTTTTAAACCGCTCGTTATGAAATGCATGCAGTGATCTGTAGAATGTGGGAATGAAGTCATCAGTTACAAATATTTTTAACAAATCCAATTTTCTCCTTTATTTACACGTTATACTATTCCTTAAAATTTACCATTTTTGCACTGGAATTTATTGTTTGAGTTATTTCTGAAAATAGAACATATATGGCACTTTCCCACCAAGTGTTTTACGAAAGTTCTCCTTTAGCTTACAAATGAAAATATTTTTCACAATATTGCAATTTGTTGTTGATAATAATTTATTCACTTTTGTGATAATACTTTTCGTTACGAAATCTTGTTTGTTTTGAATGAATTCTCCCGTGTCATCAAAAATGGCTTCTTTGGTGTAGGGCATAAGAATCTTTCGTACTCTGGAAGGCAGTAATTGGTTTTGTTACCAACTGGCTCCAATAGATTGTTCCACAGACCATTACCATCTTAAAAATAGTGAAATAATAAAATTAACATGTTGAAATTAAATAACAGGGTATGAAACACACTTACATAGTGCGTTAGTTCTTTGGCTCACATGGAAACAATCAACTGAGAAATATCTCATATCTCCAAATCCGTCTTCTGCAGTTGGCAGTATCAGTTTCTTAAGAGCAGGTGAAGCTATCACAGTGAAGTCCTTTCTATTAAACTCAGGGTAATATGCCACTTCTTCCTCTAAGTCTTGCCACCTAAAAATGAAACACATTCATACTGTGCTAATAAGGTACAATTTGATAATTTTTTTTTGAAAAACCATGAAATAAATAGAAAATCTGTTTGGAGTATTTTGTTGTATACATTTTAAAGTATACGGAAATATTTTTTTATTTTCTTTTTTGAGAAAAATGACAGCGCTGCAGCTGCCTCACAGTAGGTGTTTCCGATAGGGCGCCTTAATCATGAGGCACCTGTAGCTCCGCTATTTTCCTCAAAAAAGAAAATAAAAAAATATTCTCATATACCATAAAATGTATACAACAAAAGACATCGAACAGATTTTCTGTTTATTTTATAGTTTTTACAAAAAAAATTAATAAATTTTTCAGGTTTAAATTGGTGTAATCCCTTAAATCACGCATACCTATGTAATACGTTATAATATTCTGATAATTTATCTTCGTATTGTAAACCAAATAAACAAGGACATTCGATTTGTGTCAGAAAATAACATTTTAACGATGGTTTTCCTTTAATTGAATCGACGAGAGTATGGAGATTAGGTGTCACATTAACACTAACTAAAGTTCTTGGTAAATTATCTCGAAATATCCTCAGTGCCTTAATCAGGTTCATTCTATGAGCTTCCAAAAAGGAGGACAGTGATGATACTTCACAGATCTCGTTGCAAATATCGTTGCTTCCAATAAGTATTGTGATAAACTGCAAGAAATTAAAATTAACAAAATATTAACATGGCAAAAAAATGTTAATATGAAATTATAAGGTATTAAAGGTTAATGATAGAAAATGGCTAATTCTAACCCAACCTAACCATAGAAATTATCAAAATGGCGGATCTCAGATTTCTTATGTTAAAATTCAAACATTGAATATACGAACCTTCCAATGTTTATTTATATTTATTCTTGGATCCTTTTTTATCCTATTGATTAGATATTTGGCCATGAAAGGTAGGTCTCTGGACATTGCACCAGACTCAGCTATATTTAACTGTGAAGCTGGATCGGAAGTTAAGGAATCTCCAAGTGCATAACCTATTAAATTCGGATTGAATTCCTATTTACAAGAAAATTTATAATTAGAAACACACTTTGACAACCATTAACTACCCAAGTGTTACGCTCACTTATTAATGAAACTCTGCCACTTTGTAGAGCTCGTCGAGTTGAATACCTCTATACTCCATCTTGGGGGCATTTCCACGTGTGAGTTTGTTATACTTCACAATGTAAGGAGTAACTAACTTTAATTATTAATATCTTTTAAACAATAAGTGAGCATAATTAGTAAGTGAGCGTAACACTTTGGTAGTCGTAAGTTGTTACATATCAAATGTCCGATTATACTTATGACACATCACTTTAAAGCTTAAGGTACAATGAAAATGTCTACATAAAGGTTTCATTAATATTCTCAGTACAAAATGGCTGATGCCCCATTGAAACAAACAACGAATCTGAAGAATTAAAAATAACAAATATACCTTGAGAATGTTAGGAAGGGTCAAAAATGTTCGCCAATTTCCTTGACCACCAATACTTGCTGCGACTCCTCTATTTTCGACGGCAATCTGTAATATATCAGTAGCAAAAATGCCAAAACCAGCCGTCAGAGAATCGCCAAGCGCGGCAATGACATCTATATCACCTGGTCTCAGACGATGAACCGAATTTGGTACTGTCGAGGACCTGCCACCTAAAACAATGCAAAATAAATTAATAAAAAAAAATCATTTTTATTGAACTTTGAATGTTTCTAATTATCTACCTGTCACATTGCAGGGGAAAGGAACATTTGGAGGGAGTTGGTCTTGAATCTGTCTTCGATCCTCCACTGAAAATCCTCGTGCATTGTCTGTTCTACCTGTAAAACAATGTAATTTTTGTAATTAGATTTTATACGTGTGCCATTTTATTAAATTTTGACAGCCAAAAGATATTAATAAAATTGCTCTAAAAAAACGTTCCCATCTAAATGGTAGGACCTTCATCTTCTACTACTGTCTCACTGTTCCTAGGGCAGCCCACCTTTCTTGGTACTGTACCTTGGCACACTTTTTATAAAATTTCCAAAAACACTTCATTTCTAACAAATTTCACAAAGAGACTTCCATTCCCGAAGAAAATTTCTACTTCTACCTAAGGAAATTAGAATTAAAAAAAAATTTTGATATTTGCCTGAAAGTCTCCTACACTCATTACACTGACACCATCGAAGGAGAAACACCATTAGTCACGAACACAAGGTGTCGCCTACCGAAATTCTGAAGAATCCATTTACGAAGATTGCGGAGAACAAACAGATTTTCCGGTGAGTCGAGCGGTGTCCTTTGTGAGGCGATCAACACGCATAATTGCAAGAGGAGACACAATCGGATCATGGTTCTTCTCTAACTGACACACCGATCACTTCTGTCCACTCGTAACCAGCGACATCGAACAATATCCCTATCAGAGGTTTGCTATGTTCTCAGATTCTCCTGCCGAATGAACAGTACAAAAGTATAGGCTGCTGCGTACGCAAATTATCGAGGACCTTGATTGTACCTCAACCGGTCCCCCGATTCAATGATCGCTGTCAAGGTTACTCTTCAACATTATGGGATTCCGGAAAACCGAATGCTCTGTAACAGCGGAGAGCACGTGAATTTGTAACAGAGACAAGGTGACATGTCTTTCTTCGAACGATAAGTCGACGATCTTGAAACTTATTTGAGCAAGAAAAATAAAGGTTTTTCGTGTTGATAGTGGTCATGGTTACATTTGTTTTTATCTGGAGGCATTGAGAGGAGTTACGAGCAGATTCATTTTTCTGTAGAACGGTGTACAAGTCTCCTTCTATAGAAGAGGTTTTAAGGTTTTAATAATTCTTTATTTAAAATGGGGATTTTTTGGAACTCTTATAAACTCAAGCACTTATTCCTAATAGGGAAGATTTTGAATTAATTGTAGAGCTGTGTAATTGTTCACACTATTATTATAATTATTGTTGTTGCTATTATCTTATTTTTCTGCTTTTATTGCGAAGGGTTGGAAACACTGTGCTATTGAGCATGGCTCGCCCCTAGAAGCTTTAAGTAGTATTAACCTTTCTAATCAGACGCTTCTCATGTTCAGTAGAAAGTTCCCTACAGGTAAATTGTCATAACATAAAAATACAGAAATATCTCTATTATTAATAATGGGTCTAAAAATACTACCTAAAATTATAAAATTAATCTATAAAAAAATTGCAGCATTTATAATATACAAATCATTTTTTTATGACACTATAGTTTTGAATTGAAATCCTACTAGAAGCAATACTAATAATTCAAATCAAAATCGTCAACATGACAATAAAGGCTTTCATTACATTGTGTAACATTTGTAATTGCGATGTCGGTCGGGAACAGGTATCCGATCAATGGGATTTTTTTATTCAACGTATGGCCAACGAAACCGAGGAACGTGACGAAGAAAGATGGCGGTAAAACAAAGCATCAGGAAATCTACGCTATGCATATAAATCAGGATAGCAGCTGACGTAGTACCGATATTCAAATTAGATCACGGATCTTCCTCGAACGAGTCATTCTATAGGAGAACGTTTCTGGTGCGAAAGCTCGATCATCATACATTTTTCTTATTCATTCCTGTCCTCTCGTTAGCATTTCAAGAAAAGTTTGCATAAATACATTACTATTCAAAAGTCGTCAGTTTAATGATTTTTTATTTTTTTTTTGAAAACTACAAGCAAATATCTATTTAAAAAAAAGACTGAATTCTAAAATGTTCATATATATTTTAAAGTTAATTTTTTTACACATTAATTTTTTTTTTAAGTTAATTCATTGTGAATGTTGCACTTTTGAATCATAGTGTATGTTCATTGAACACGAAACACCTTACTTCTGGCATGAATAACTGCCTTGATTTAACTTGCACGTGCGACTATCGACCTTAATTACAGTCAATGAAATAAAAAAAAAAAAATGAATTCTTAAACAACTCTTACGATCATCGGTAGGATGAAAAAAGCTAATGGTTACACTTGCAGCGAGATGCAATTGTGAAGCTATTTATTACACAAGGTGTTGTAATTAAAGATAAGACAAAGTATGTCAAGTCAAATTCCTGTTTTTATTTTGCAAAATTATAAGTGATAATTTGCAATGAAAAGAATGCGTACTTAAAAATATCAAATTATTGCATATCAAATTCTGGAGCATAGAAAGTCTGACATGATTTCATGACAGAAAAGTGTCACACAATGGCACTTGTGGCATACCAATTTAAAGCTTAAGGTTTGAAAAAAATGATGACATTAATAATTTTCATACAATATACTTATAGCAGAGACTACAACTCTATTAAGTTGTTGCATATTAAATGACGGATGTCACCAAACTGAATTGCTTATTTTGAGCATTCAAACGGTAAACATTGTTAATTTTCCATAGTACTCTAGCGAAACGTGGTTTGCTAAGACAATGGGACAGAAATTGTTTCTTTTATCTCGAAAATCGTAATGGCATTCACGATTCTCCTGCGTAATTCCTCAAACTGCTGATGCCGCGTGTCACGTGACGAATGCAAATAAATCTTTGATAATTATGTACAGTACGCATGTTTCAGTCTAACAAAGAACTCGACCAAGTGTCACATTGTTTTTCAAAGAATTGCCTTTTTAATCTGCATATTGCTTGTTCATATTTGAATAAATAGTAAACTGATCGATGAAAAATTTTATTATATTTCCTGTGATAGAACATGAGTCAAAAGTGACTCCATATAGATTGGACGAGGGTTAAACAAGTTTCCCATAACTAAATAATATTTTTCCATAAGAAGTCAATAAATGGTACCCGAAAGTAATTGAGGATTACTCTGGTAATTCCTGACTTTCGTTTGCACACTTGCGGTGTTAAACGAAATTTGCATCAAACATGTCAATCCTGACCTTCGAGATTCTTTTTGTTTGGCAGAAAACCTGTTCGAGATGTGTACGTACATTGATAAATCTTTCCTTTTACGCAGCGGGAACAGAAAAATTCCCACGCTTCTTTAAATACGTCATCAGTTGGGTTGAAATTTAATTGATGACGGTATCAAACCTGAGCACCCTTTCAACTTTTCCAGAAATTAGTTGACCAGGGGAAGGAATCTTCAGTTCAACCTATATCTAATGAATTCGTTTCAGGACGAATTTCTTCAGAGAGGAAGTCCAGGGTAACAGACACTATATAGTCGGTCCTGTATACGTATTTACAAAAACATACAAATTGATTATTCGATGGTTAGTTGTTGCTTTACTCTGCTAACAAAGACGGAGCTATCGACTCAACAGCCGATTGTATTTTTCCGTGCTCATTATAACATACTCGTTCGCATTAGGTATTTTCATTTAATGAGAAAAATTGTTCGTTGCAAGGTCTTTCTTAATAGGATGCCCCATTGTACTTTAGTATAAAAATACACATTTTACTATTTAAGGTGAATCATTTATATCAATCGTTTACACAATGCAAGAATTATTAAAGTAAATATAAACTAGAAAAAGAGTAGTATGAAAAATTTAGATGGAATCAAATGTACGAATATCAAGTGTTAGAGAAGAAGTGAATTGAAATAAAAAAGTAGATTAAAAATATAGAATGACATCCCTGCGTTAATTATACCCCCTTACATCCCTGCATCTTGTGTACTTCCTCTTGTGTACCTTATCAGAGATAAAAAAATCGTGATGAATTTAGTTTCCATTTTCACCACCAGAGGGCGCTGATCTGGTGCCCGAAATTTAGTTGAAATGTTTGTCGCTAGAGGGCCAAATTTTTTGTAAAATTTAGGTCCTTTTTTTACCACCAGAGGGCGCTGATTCGATTTTTAATATCGATTTTATCAGAAATGGAACTTCATACGAAAAAACGTCACTTTTCTCTACTTACATTGTCAGGCAGATTTATTTCCTTTCCGGTTGGGTCACTAAGTCAGAAACATTCTATATATCAATACCTTGAACTCCTTCTAACATTAAATAAATGATTAATACGTGGTAATAATAGAATACCTTGAATACCACCTGCGCACGTGGATTTTCATGAAAATATGTAATTAATCACAAGATGCAGAGATTTAATTTTAAACAGTTCATTTCTATAAATATACAAGAAGCTTAAACAAAATCTTGCGAGAAAACTGATTTCTATGTGCAAAAAGGACCCACCAACAGCATGCACGTTTTAAAAAACTTGAATGTTTGTTTTACCATCACATGGGAATTTAGTGGTCGATAATTAAGGTTCATCTTCCAAGTATATTGGTTGTTAGTAAAAATGATGGGGGTGTTAAATCGCGTTGAAAATAGCCAAAATCTTAGAAATTCATCGAGCGAAGTATCTGAGGAGGAGTCGCAAGAAATGGAAGTACGCAGAACGCAGCGATTATATTTAAACCTGACTCAGTAGACAACAATTTTGCAAAATGAATAGATTTTCATATCATTGGCTCAAGAGGACGGGATTGTGCAATTTTATTATCATTATCGTGTCTCGGTAATCACGCAGGGCAAAAAGCGTAGCCCTACACGGAGTCGCCCTCTCCAGGGCGAATTTTTAAGCTTAAACTGATCCTTCTGGCGCCTAGTCGCCCTATCTAGTTCTCGAATTCACGTAAATCCAAAAAGTGGATCACGTAATAATAACTCGGCCTATATAACCGTCGGTTTATTTAAAGAAAAAACCATCGACACTTTGCGCAACTGTATTTTCTTTTTCCCTTTTCTCCGAATATTTGGAGCGACTGATGCAGCGGCGATGAGGGTAATTCATTGTGGGACGCTTTGGGATACAACATGGCGAGCTCTAAGTCGAAGAATTTATGTTGGAATGAAGTAGACACTGGTTAGCTGTTTGGAGAATTTTCAATTATTAATTATTAATTTACAGGATATATTTTTTGACAGATAGTCTATAATCCCCCCTAGCTTCATTACTCAAAATTATTAAATTATGATGTTATATTAATATTTAGGAAACACGACTTTTACCTAAAACCTTATTGATCTATTGCAAGCTCAGTTAGAATGTTATATTATAATTTAAGGATAATAAATTATCTTGCTTACCCTTTTTCCTTCACCCTCCATCCGGTGTCCCTAGCCCATAAATGAAGGTCTTCATCCAACAGGAAGCACATTTTTCATCGCCAGACAATTGCACGGTGAATGGTCGTCATATGTGCACCAGGGCGTACCTTGGCAGCCGTGATTTTGGAAATCCTACGTGTTGCCCTCTGTCCAAGTGAATAAGCTGCTAATATTAGACCCCTGAAAAGCGTGGAAAGCGCGTACATGCATACACCCAGACATCCGCGACGTCGTCTTTTTTCGACGTACGGCACACGGTGGTGAAACATATACACACGGGTCCAATCGCGTTGGACAGTTTCGTAGGAAGCGTGGGCCGTGTTCCCGCCATCGTTCTGGGGTATAAGAGGGACCAGGCCACAGACCAAGCACTTCAGTCCTCTGAAAGAAACACTACAAGGTACAAGGATGGCTCTAGAACGTCAAGTGCGCGCCAAGGTACGAGAACACGAGGATCGTTGTGCATCGAGTGTTGGGTCATTGGAACATTGTTGTGATCTCTATATTCGGACAGTTCTTATATTAGATTGTTCTTGGTGATATTAATAAGGCCATATGATGCTGGAGACGAAATTGTGAACTATGTCTTTGGGAATAGATTATGGGATTGTTTTCCAATGACCCGATGATCCCTGGGTCACAGATTGTTAGTAGGCGACGTTTCATTGGGTTTCTCGTTGCAGATCGCTGGAAAGCGTAATCCTGAACAGGAAAAAGAAGCCCAGGAATGGATCGAGTCCATTCTTGGCAGGAAGTTCCCTCAGGGTGAACTTTTCGAAGATGTGATCAAGGATGGACAGGTGTTGTGTGAGCTGATGAACAAGGTCTCCCCTGGATCGGTCCCCAAGATCAACTCCACTGGTGGTCAGTTCAAGATGATGGAAAATATTAACATGTAAGTGAATTAACTAATTACAGAATTACTTAGGTACGCAAATATTCTTTGTTAGAAAAGTTTGAGAACGATGTCGTTTTGGGTTAGGTTCCAGAAGGCTCTAAAGGACTATGGTGTGGACGATGTCGACGTCTTCCAAACGGTAGATTTATGGGAAAAGAAAGACATTGCGCAGGTGGTGACGACCCTCTTCGCTCTTGGTCGCACGGTATGTAAATTCAAGATTGATCTTCATACCTTCAAGACTTAGCATCAGTGATACCTAATCTAACCACTTGATTAAGCTGGACAGTCTTCTAATAATCCTCATTTGCTTAAAATTCAGACCTAAGGACCTCAATCTAACCTAGATCCCAAGTTCTCCTATAGACTTTTACAACTTCCTCCACACTGAAGGTATACTTAATAAACTTAGCTAAATCCCATCGAAATAGCTTGTGCTTAAATTTACTTACCTGTCCACAGACATACAAGCACCCAGAGTGGAAGGGACCCTACCTGGGACCAAAACCAGCTGACGAGTGCAAACGTGAATTCACAGAGGAGCAACTGCGTGCAGGTGAATCAGTGATCGGTCTGCAGGCTGGCTCCAACAAGGGTGCCACCCAATCCGGCCAAAGCATCGGCGCCACCCGCAAGATCCTGCTTGGAAAGTGAACCATCGATCCGTTCGTGTTAGACCCGAAAATTGTGTATTTTGTATGTACGTGTATATACGTTATGTATTTATTTTGTATTTTCTAATTAAACCATCCATATACACATATATCTATTGTTTAAGAACGAGATACACATAGTTGTACCTCCACTGTTTGGATACTTCCTTCATCCAGTGATAGTAAAAATGGCTTTTTTAGATACTTTTAGAAAATAAATTTTCCTGCACTATAAAGTAGATGATTAATTCAGTTTCTTAATTAAGGCCAATTTTATCATTACAAATGTAGAAAAATGCATAAATATTGTAATAAGAATGTCTTAATTATTAGGCAATTTTTAATGATATAAAGAATGTCCATTTATACATAACTGCGTCTGTTTCATGCTGGGGGATTCCCCCCTCCGTGTCCATTCACCACACCAGAAATTCCCTCTATGGGGACATGACACAGTTATGGCTACATGGACCTCCATCTTCATGAATTTCATTCAAAATTGAAATACAAAATGTGATGAATACAATAAACATTAGTGTTTCTTTTAACAATTAATTATTCAAACGTCTCCCCGTTCAATTATCCGGATAATCGAGGCTCTGCCCGAAAACGAGGTAGATAAATCATCAAAATTGATTCCTGAAATTTCTAGAATCTTCCAAATTAAAATACCATCCCGTCCAACATGCCAGACGTGGTGAAACGAAGTTTAACAATTTCTGGCGAGGCTAATAGAAACATTCGCGCTGAGATTTTCGTTGATCTTTAAATACGCGGTTTTCGTGATTTATCAAAGTTTACTGTCGCGTCCTCGAAATTATGACAAAGACCCAATTCCAAAGAATGATTCGTCCAACAACCTGAGGAAATTATGGAGTTTAAACAACAAACATTGTTCCAGAAACAAGGTTCCTTCCGCGATGATGTTTGATGTTATGGTTACACCGTGGGATATAATTAGATTGGTAGAAATGAAAATACCATAAATCCTTGTAGGAAGGTTATAATAGCTTACTGAAAATAGAGATTACCTACGTTATGGTACGCTAAATGTAATTGATGCTATTCGGAACGTTTAAGGTTTCAACGATTCTCAAATGATGATGTTAATGTTCCTTTTCGTGTATCCGAACAGAGCAGAAGCAGGATTTATTAAAAGCATTGGGTTACGTTGTTGGAATCCATACAATACAACGTTTGTCAAGATTTTTGGATTTGTAACAAGTTTTCTGGCAGTTTAAGTCACAACTCGTTCATCTTGAACATATTTAGGTTCTTTAAAGTTGAATCATGGCTTTCTTTAGACTCTCTTTAGAATTTCCCTTGATTATCCGTGGGTTCTTCTTAAAATCTTTCTAGGGTTGTTATTAATTGTCCTTAGGATTTTCCTAACATGTAGGTTCTCCTTTGGTTCTCCCTAGATTTTTGTTGGGATCGATCTAAATTATCCCTAGGCTTTCCTTTTACTGTCCCTAGATACTGTTCCTCTAAATACTTATGATCTGTCCGCACCTACTTGTAACAAACTTGGATCCTATCTCTACTGACAGCCAACAACAGGTGGAAGAAAATTGAATTGCAACGGAACAAAGTGGACGCAAGCCGACGAAAATAGTGTGATATTGTAATTGGTATTGTGTATCGTCGTTGTATATTCAAGTTGGCACGGCCTTCGTTCGTAACAGGTCGGTCTAAATTTATTTTCGCCTCTTCCAGATGTGTGAAGACTGTCTACGCTTCGGTCCGTACAATTTTGGAAAACGGGTGGAGAACTGATCGCCTCTTATTCGATTCAATTTCATCCAGAAATGTTACTGAATCATTTAAACCATTCTCCATTGAAAATAAATAATTTGAAATATATTTTATGGAAGAGAAAATGGTTAAATAAGAACATGGGGTTATTTTTTATTTTGAATCATCTTCCAAAATATGAATCTTCTTGATATTATAAACTAAAATTAAACATGTGGTACATCTCTGACAGGAGGTGGCATATCATATTTATAGGTTATGAGGTTGGAATGCACATCCACCAGCGAACATACGAACAAAAATTGAAATTCATTGTTGTACTATGGATATTCTAGGATACTGTGGAATTTTGATTTGATTATTATGGGTCTGTGTGTTTATGAGGAAGTTTGTAAATGATATAATGATTCGAAATTGGACACGATTGTCCGTTGTTTTTGAAGGTAAAATTATAGTGGATGTTACCAGTGTTATTTGTAGCGAGAAAAATTATTGTTTACTGCCAACTATAAAATATTCGTGAAGTAGATTTGGGCAGATGGAATTCGTGTGATTTATGATAGTTTTTTATCATTTCAGAAAGATCATGGAAGTAATTATAAAAATTACTTTTCATATTTTACTGAACATTATTTTTAAAAATTATGTAATTAAAAAAAATATAAAATGAAGTTTATTTTCTATAGAACTTTGATTTTAAGCAAATTAATTTGAAAAATTCTATTGTATCCAGTGTGCAATTAAAGAGTTACTGATTTTTTAAGTTCAAATCTGTAATTTATATTTTCTCAATGATAAGCAAACGTTATCATAGTAAGATCTGAAACGTCGCGCGAAATCAATAAAAGGAGATGGCGCCACGTATTGGATAGCAACACTACGAAAATATCATCTGGGCTTTGTTCAACCTTCTTTGATGTAGTTGATGTGCTACTGCAAGAAGATGGCAGCTCACTGTCCTCTCTAGGGAGGACCTAGGGAAGTTCTGAAGAAGAACCTAGGGAAACTTAACTATAACATAGGAAGATTCTAAGGAGAGCTTAAAAAGAACCTAGGCAGACCCTAAGAAAACCTTGGGGAATCCCAAAGGCGAGCCTAGGAGAATCCTAAGATAATCCTAAGGGGAATCCTACTAGGAGGATCTTATATGAAGTCTAGGTTGCTCCTAGGAAGTCCCTCAAGAGAACCTAGTAGGGAGAGCATCAAAGGAGCCATGGGAGAGGCTATATGAAATAAAATAAAACAAAGTAAATCTGCTAGGAAACGTGGGCTCAGGAATAGACACGATCGAGGTGGTCGTTCTCATTTCGTACATACTTGGCGTCAGAAGCAAACTGCGTTTTTTTGATAGGGCGCCCAGTTATGCTAATGTAACATCCGGTACCCTGGTTTTAATTTAAATTCCCTTTCCCATTAGTTTTCATATCAAGTTTCGACAAATCGTTTGTTTAGAAAATTGTCCAATTTATTGTTGTTTCTCTTGGCATCGAGGGACAGAGTGATTTAAAAAGTGTAAACAAAAGCAGTGGAAAATTATTTTCGGAGATATAAACCATTCTTGAAAATTGAGAGAATTTCAAAGAAATTAAAATTGATTTTTCCAAGTGCTGTGAAGTGTAATTAACCTACTATCTTATTGGATGAATTTAAGATGAAGTTTTTTACCTCCTAGGAAGGTAATTAATGTGACCGATTGTCCCGCTCATTTTTCACGCCAACTACCGTACATTATTCCTGGATCCGTGTTACATCGTAGATACAGTTCCTGGCATTTGCGGCTCGTTTAGAAACTGCATACGACACTCGAGTTTCCCACGTGTCATATTCATATTTCATCTGACGAAACGAACGACTTGTTTTTCAAAGTTTCATCGAATTTAATGCTTGTCGGAATACTACTTATTCGTTTACCTCGAATTACCTATATCATCAATTGCTTGTTTACCTCTATTTTCAAATATATTTCCTTTATAAAGAAGATAGTGAACTGAAAATTTTTAGAAACCTTGAAAACTTTGTTAAGAACTGTTGGAAGAGAAGTAACATGGGTCCACAACCCAGTAACTTAGGACTTAGCTGCCGATGCTGGCAGTTCTTGTTCTCACAGATGTCTATAAATCGTTGGGCAAGAAGTTACAACAATAATACTAAGCGTAGTAGTAGTAGTTATAGTAGTAGTCCTAGTACTGCCCCACAGGAGTGGCTGGTCTAGCATGACCTTAAGGCCAAGGGCTATTACCCTAGAGCAACTGACTCCATAGAAGCCTAGAGATAATACCTAAAGGGTCAAAAATTGTCTCAACGATCCCAAAGACCTTCCCCAAATTACAAAATTGATGTTACTTCAGGACAGCCACAAGGCGACCTAATAGAAGCCTTTATAGGCTCTGCTTTCTGCCTGCAACATTAATCGCTCGTTAACACATTCGTTAAACGTGACAAAGCACACTGTGCTCGTTGTCGCACGTGCGACAATTTATTCCCGTCGATATCCCGGTGTAATTAAAATTCCCCGCCTGATAATGATGATATCTGATAGGGATCCGATAATAGAAAGACAGTCAAGATGTGTTAGGCAGCCGGCCCAGTTTTTCTCAACCGCGATGACGAATACTTTCAAGGTAACCGCCGAAATATCCCACTTCGCCTCGTTCCATCCCTTGCAGAGCATAGATTTAATATTTCCACGATCGTTGCCAGTTCGCGATCGGTAACTTGTTACATTATAATGACATAATGACTTGGTCACACGCGAACCGTCTCTGGATACTCACGACCAAACAGTTGTGCAAGCTTCCTCGCGTTGAAAGGCTGTACAGGATTGTTATGGGCTGCTGATTCATGATGTTAGGCTACTAGAAAGAAATTAGGAGGCACTTTACCAAGACAGAGACTGCTTTCTTTTACATAGATGGTCCTAGATTACTTGTGCCATTTGGGAAAATGCATACCTTATTATTTTTCTAGGTCCATTTGAGGAGTGGCCAGGCCCATAGTGGGGAGGACCATGCCCATTCAAGGAGGAGCCAGCCCCACAGTGGGGGGGGGGGGGGGGGGGGGGGGGGGCAGGCCCATTTCGTATCAAAACATGTAGAGTTCTGAAAATTGTTAATTCTATTTAGAAAACGGAATTAGAATTTAGTAAATAAAAATTGTATTCAAATTTCAACGAGTGAGAGATTTCCACTTCGAAAACATGTCAGTACGACAGCAATTTACGAATCACAACAAGCTACATTGTGTACCGTGTTGCAGTCAATCGATTGAACAATTTACATCCTAAGACCGTGCGATTAATTTGGCGAACATTCAACTATGAGATTGAATCCGACAATGAAGTTCAACTAGGCCAGCATTTCTTTCTGTTATCTTACGAATGAATTGCAACAAAGTGCGCGAAATACTATCAAAATTAGGATGCTGACTATGTCATCGAAAGAGAGAATTGAAGATTGTCCAAATAATATTGGCAGAGCGATTTCTGGTGAATAATGAACCTCTATATTTAAATGCACTCGAAGCAAGTAAACATAGGAGTGAACAGAGCTTTCTTTGATGACGGACACGCTTTTCTAAAAAGTTTTGACAGAAACAGGGCGGAATTCATAATTTGAAGGTTAGGTGTACTGAATATTTAGCAGTTCTATTTGACTAACTGAGATCCTCTGGTAAATGGAATACATATTTCATAATGATTTATAAACAATCCTAACCTTATTTCCTTTGTATACTAATTATCCTTTTTAATAAAAATGAATCTAATCTAACATACTAGGTTCAAGTTCAACATATACAGTGCTGCCCTCTAGAATGATCCTAAGTTAATTATTAACTTTAGTTCAGGACACTATAGTATCTGACTCCAGCCTAAGTTAACCTAGTGTTTGGTCTAAGTTAGGTCGGTCTAAGTTAAGTTGGTTTAATCTAAGGTATCTTTTGCAATAGTCCTTGGTACGGTCGTGATTAGGTCAGGGTTGGATCCGAATTAGATGTAAATAAAGTCTGACAGGAACCAGTGTGATAAATCTTGAGTACTTAGGGTATTTTTTGCGATAATCCTTGATCCATTCTAAATTCATCAGCCGGTCTTTACTGTTGTTTCTATAATTCAGCTGAAGTTCAAGTTTAATATATATAAGTTAAGACCAACAATTTGCTGTGACCTAGAAGTAAATCACCAATTAATATAAATTAAATGATGAATGAAGAAACAAGGTTTCATCTTTCACATTGGGCATTCCTTAACCTCTATTCATCTAATTCCTTGACGACAACAATGGCAATAACAACATCAACTTGATACATATCTTCTAATTCAATGTTTTTATACATGACTGGAAACACATTTTTTAATTTATTGGTTTTAGATTCTAGTAGTTATAAATAGTATGATGATTTTACTTAAGTGAACGACCTACTTATAAAATGTAGCAGCTTGGCACAAGCACAATGGCTCTATCGAGTTCTCAATTGAGTGAGATTAATTAGAAGGATTTTCAAAGTGGTTGTCTAAAGATTGACCACTCTGTTAAAACCTTACAAGTGATTCTACTTATTTCTTTCACCCAATTTGCCACAAGATCGAAATATTTCATCGTCAGACATCTTTACCATGAATCATCTAAAATTTTCCAGCAATTTTTTAATTTTTGAAGCAAAAGAATCAAGTTGATTACGTGGGCATGCCAAGTGTCTGAAAAAGGGTGAACGTAATTCCATGATCGTTAAAAGTAGAATCAAAGACAATGACTGGTGACAAATTTTGCGTTTCGTAAGCTACCGTGACTCACTAACTGCATCTCGGATAAAACGAGACATTAGTTGGCGACAGAACTTGTCTTCCACGCAAACAATTTACTCGAGCTTTCTTCCTACTTATCCGCCCAAATGGTACTATTTATTCCGTTTTGTAATCTGACGTTCTGATATAAAATAAGAGTCGAAGAAAGTATTTTCCTAGGATAAAAAGATAAGACTTCTGGTGGGATTTGGAATGGGCGGAGTCAGGCCCATTTAAGGAGGGGCTAGGCCCATAGTGGGGAGTGTCAGGCCCATTTGAGGAGGAGTCAGACCCACAGTGGGGAGGACCAGGGTCATTTTAAGAGGGGCCAGCGTAATAAAGACAATAATTTTGTAAAATTATAGCGCGAACCTCTTTGAAATAAAAGCGAGATTTTACAATTACTACTTAACCATCGTGCACTCCTCTTGTTAGTTACACCAATAAATCATTGTCAATCAATTCTCTTCTTTTCTTCCTCTGCTCATCTCTCCGTCATTTTCCTTCGACTTCGTTCGGTTCTCGAGCTGAGTCATCGGGCGTGCAAGTGTCTCGAGGGCGTCTGCTAAGTCACATGCTAAATTTGGTTACCTTACCATCGGGATTGTATTACGCGCGTGGGCTTATTCTAATATTTCGGATGGCCGCGATGGCAACTAGGCCGTCCTCTTTCTATACTTATATCTGCTTTCCTGACCACGCTGAGAAATCTCCACGAACGATCAAGAAAGAAGGAAGGAAGTAGTTAAAACCATAGACAGTTTTATTACAGAAAAATTCCAACGGTCTGGAGCTTAACAAAACTTTTCGAAGAGAACTTTGATCCAACTCTAAAAAAGAAACTAGATCACATTTTTCTTTATTTATGTCTTCTAGTGTTTGTAAACAACGGTGTTATTTTTATGCGTGATTTCATAGCTGACAAATTGCTTCGATTTGTCTTTGCACATGTTTGAAAGATTTTACTCATTCTTTTTTTGTTCCTATAGTAATTTTGGTTGTCAGAGTACTAAAATTGTTGATAGAACATATGTTTAATATTATTACCGAGGTTTTTACCAGAAATTACGTACACATTTGGCAGGTCTGGGTCAGGATTCACCTGGCTACCGTTTGGCGGTTGAAGATGGAATTTTATGATTGATGGGGGTGGTGAAAATATTAAATGAATGCTTTTCAAGGGATTACTCGGGCGAGAGCTCTTCCGCGATCATGTAACACCCGCAGCACGGGACGGAAATAATTTCAGGCTACGAAGAAGGGGTGAAGGAGAGAGACGGTCAAGTGGAACGAGTCAAGAATTCTGCATTATGCGCTGCACAAATTCGATTTAATCGCTACTAATAGCTATCTACATGGTTCCTCGTTGTCGTGTAAACTATCATCTCGTTATTGACTTGATCTTTAACGAGATAATTGAAATCTGCATCAGATAATGATCGAACTTGATGCATCACTCAGCTTCTTACGTTAATGCCCGGTGAAAATTAATTAAGATAAAATGTAAATCTAATTAAGCATTTTTAACGTAATTGGAGAATCTGTAAAAGTCTTTTGAGAATAATTACTGAATAAATTACAGGAACCTAACCTAACCTAACCTAGTTTCCAAGGTGGCCTTACCTCCTGAATGCTGCAAAATTTATTCGGATTTCCATTAAAAATTTGTATAAAAGTAATTAGTTAATTTTGAATAATTTTTAAATAGCTTTTTATTCATAATTTTATAAAAAAGTAAATGGAAAGAATGCTGACGGAATTCGATGTGCATCCACCTCGAGATCGTTGCACCCTTTCCGTTAAATATAAATAAAACGACCAGTTTTCCTGGTATCATGAATTTTTAAGCACTTCCTCTTTTGCGGCAGGTTTCGTTATTTTTGACACGAAAGCCACAGCGGTGGATCGAACGGGCACTCATTCTCAGGATCTAATTGAATTCTGGTGTCAATCAAACAGATAATGGCTTCACGATTACGCTTCAGTGTCTCCAGCTAATGTTCTAATTATATGCACGGAATCTCATATATTTCTTATGATCCTTCTGTTAAAATAGAAATAGAGAGAAATCGTACTTGATTCTTGATAGAGCTCTTCACACTATTCCTCTGGTTCATTGAACTTCGCATGAAGGATTATTAAGAAAGAATAACTTTTTATCTTTTAAATAAAAAATTACGAAAAGAAGGAATTAATAATTTCTAGGCAAAAGAATTAAAATTTGCCACAATGGTTTAGGTTAGGTTAAGTGAGGTTAGGTTTGATTCTTGTTGATAGATTATCAAATAAACGTTGGAACTTAGAAGTCTAATACTGTCCAATTTACAAGAAGATATCAAGATTGTCGGGTGGATGGTTTCCAAGCAAAAGGAAGAAAGTTCGAAGAAGGAAGCTCACCACAATGGCCCAAGCACAGTCGGGGCCGCGCAGCATTCGCGTGGGCGTACACACGATCATACATTCGCAGGGAGGTTTTTACATAAAGCCACGTGCACGTATATAAGTCCTTCTAAAAATAGAAATTTGAGCAAGGTGCTATTAATAGTGGATGAGTGTGTTCCCACAGCCGTGGCTTACGGCTCTCACTCGGCTTAGCCCGTTCGTTACCGACAGCTTTTTGGAAAGACCGCCCCTTTTTGCCCTCCTACAACCGACTAACGAAAAGAAATGGAATTCGATCCTTGCACAACTATCTTCTATCCTCGTTTCGTTTCGAAATAAACTGGAACCATCCTCCATTCGTTAATTACCCTGACTTTGCTGTTTGAACTGGTAGGGTTAAAATAGTGGAGGTTAAGTTTATGAAGATCTCTATTTAAAATATGGGATCTGTGTTGAGAAATGTTACTTTATATTTTTATTTAAGAAATGAAGTTGTATTACTTATGTCTGCTATATCATCGATTTTGATCGATGGACCACCAATGTTGAATCAGTGTTAACCTAGAAAACATTATCGTATCGCGTTGCCGTTCATCGCGGATGCCATTATGCTCCGGGAGTTAGTCCAAAATGTATGAGTAATAAATTTATTTCGGTGTGTCTTCGCTGGTTCATCGCTCAGAAAACACATTTCCCTCTGTAGTAGAATGTAAACGAATACCGAAGTGCCATATCGCGATCAGGTTGATTCATGACAGTATTGACAGATGTTGGCCAGTTCCCCTTAAAATATCTCCTTTTAATTGACAACATGTCTTCTCGTTAAAAAAATTGAAATGAAAAATTGTTTATCTATGATAAAATAATTTACCAAATTATAAGAACCTCAGGGATCATCTTTACCAATCATACTAAACTTTAGTAATCAATTCCACAAATTTCAAGGTTTCACTGTGCTACTTTACAGGAACTTCAAACATCCTCATACCAAGTTCACCAAAGTTTGCTAATTAATCATACAAACTTGAAGGATTAGCTGTGCTGCATCACAAGAACTTCAAGGATCACTCTTGCCAAGTATACCAAATTTTGTTAACCTGTAACACAAAAGGACCTATACTAAATGTCAAAATAGGTACATAGGCCTAAACGATCAGCCTACAATGTTAAGTCTCTGAGGATCACTCATACCAAATTACAAAATCCTCCTACCCCAAATTTTACTTATCAATTACACAGACCTCTGGGCTAACCGTATACCAAATATAAGAGCTTCAAGGATCACTCATCCGAAATTTTACTTATCAGCTACACAGACCTCCAATGATACCAAATTCAAAGGACCAGATACACAAACTTGAAAGACCAGTTGTAGGGAGTCCAAAGGATCAGGAGTGTGAAGGATTCGTTATCGAGAACCCGGTAGTCACCTCGCTATCCAGTAGCCATCTCAAAGTATAGTGTAACACCCCCGCTAGATGGAAGGCGGCTTGTACTCCCTCTGCCACCGCGACGTTGTCGTCAACAGCACTGACGTTCCGATGCACACGTGCCGTGTGCAAACCCCTGGCTATGACTAGGACGGTCACGACGCGAGAACAGCCATTCGAATCCAGTATTAGTGCGGTGTAGAGTGCTTCTCGGTGTTTTTTCATCGTCACGCCTGTCTCCTACCCGAGTTTCCATTTTCACCCGTGACTTCGACCGATAACGGTGGTGAGTACCAAGACATCAGTGTCCGTGATCATGGGAGGCCTATCTTCATACCACTGTCTCAGCTACTTTCAGGACCTAAGGATTTTTAATTTCAAATTTCAAATAGTGAAGGGAGCAGTTTTTTCCTTGCAACTAACTGTTGGTCCCTATGCTTTGAATCCTTGATGACATGATGGTCGATCTGAGACTTCCGAGCATAGCCCAAAGCAGGATAGTGGCATTTTTAGGGCAGTTGATTATAATAATTAAGTTTGATACATTTTGACTTGATAGAATATTAAAAATGAGGACTGGTGATTGTTTGAAGTGGGTTGTCCTAAGGAATTGGCTTTTAGGTTAGAGGGAGCAAGGTATATTTTGGGGATACATTTTGCTTTCATAATTGCTTTTGAAAAATGGTTTAGGAGAAGAAACAAATTTGATCGTTGTTTTGACAATAAAAGGAAAAGGTTTCAGTTCAGATGAGTGGAATTCGTGTTCGCTGAAAAGCCATGAAATTTGAGACGGACTAGATTTAGTACCCACGAGGGTGGCACAGCATTCTTGCACTGTTGTGATGTAATGCTTTCTCTTCCCTCTACTTAGTCGAAAGATCGAGGAATCATACAATTTGTTAAAGAACATGTAGCTTCAAATAAAAATTTTCATTGATTTTTCTAAAGCATGAAGCCACGTGCCAACAAATTTTAGTTTTTCATATAGAATTGTTATTGTTTAACTTCCAACATTAATTACGTGATGCTCTGTATCTTCAATATTATTTTTCCACCGTATGAGTCATATAGATTTTATAGAAAGCTAAATAAAACACAGGTGATGATAAGTCCAAGGGTCTTAATTGCAGGTGCTGCCCTCTAGGTTAGCCCTACACCAGTAGTGTTATGGGGTGCACTGGACCCTATACTTCCTACATATTAGGAATTTATAAATACCACTAAAATTAAATTTGCAAGTAGTCATCCCAAATAGAAGGCCTTTCTTATCTTGTGCCATACCAGCTAAGGCTGCTTCTATTATAGCACCCCTGTAACCATACCCCTATAGCTATAGTCCAACATCACACGTTGATGGGGTAAGAAAACCTACTTAAAAACGACACGAGGATGTGCAGGTTTCGAAGGTAGGGGTAATGGCGACCGCGTTGTGGAGAATCTAGCACCTTCCCTAATACGGCCTCGCGGTCCGCCTCGCGTCTGCACGGATATAGAATCCTCCGTCTCTCTTGCTGCTCTCTCCGGGTCTCTCTAGCCTCTCTACTAATACCGTTGCCACTATAGACGGTTCCAAAAGACGTGCGAACAAATGTTCTCCAACAATTTTGATAAGGACATTGTTTGGGCCAGTAGGGTACTTTGGTGTTTAAGATGACTCCATGTTGCTGTTGTTGTTGTTTAGAGCGACCATTTTGGTATTACCATTTTCATGGCCTTAAGGTCCAAAATGATCAATTTTTTAAATTAAAAGAAGAATAGCAAGTGAAGGAAGTTCCAATCTGATATAATATTTTTAGGTTAGGCTCAATTTGCCAATATTTATGATGAATTGCTCTCCATTCATATAAAAGTCTAAAATTTGATCGACTTCAAGATTCACAAGGACAATTCAAGTCTCGTGTTACTATTACTCTCATTGTAGATTAATAAGCCTCCATGAGAGTATTATTAATGAGGATTAAAGAATCTGACGTTTGAACAGAATTAGCAGAATTGTCATGGCTCCATTAGTGACCAGTATCTTCTAAATGTTAATATAAAACATATGGTCCTCTGTTGAAATTATATTTATGTAAATGAATTTGAAGTTGAACGTAAGCTCTTCAGCTTTTCCTCGAGTCTCTGATTTCCTGTTGGTGTTTGTGACCGAGCACACATGTCGGCTTCAAACTTGTCCCAAAAATAGATTCGTTCACCGGCAGTAGGGCGGAGGCTGAAATTGTTTACGTTCCTCGTGGTACGGTTAAGTAATCGCCTGTTGAATTATCGCTGTTGCGATGTGAATCCTTGTTTATACACCTCTGGCCACATTGAATTTTGAATCAGTTGTTTAACATTAACTGGCGGTACATACCACACCCTGCCATTGTTTAGACAGAAGGAAGTTAGGTTATTGTTTTAAGTGAACCTAACCTTATTGATGTTAGGCTATATTCTTATATATTTCTGGAAAATATCCTTCGGCTTTAGCTATGATTTTAATTACTCTTCTATGTTCTATGAACCTTTAATACCTGATGTCTGTGCCTGATGCACCCCTTTCATCTTCTTTGATGAAGGCAATTGATGACCTTTCGATATATATTGGGTGGTGATGTGAATTGGCATGGAGACGTAGCTTGGATTAGGTTAGGTCCATATGTGAATTGGCCTGAGTTACATCAAGCAACAGTTATCTTAAGTTTAGTCGTGATTAAGGATTTACGAAATATTCATTGTAATTTTATCTTAGAAAATGAGGAAGAAAATTTCTTATAAATTTTCAATTGTTAGTCATTCATGAGGACTGAATGAGACGTGATTGATAGAATTTGCGAAAATCTTGAAGGATCTTCTAAGAATAGGGATGCATTAATCATTGTGATTTTAATTGAATTCTGAGGTGTACAATGGATTTGTGCAAAAATACTAACATTTGTCAGAGGACAATTGAATAATCACTTGATTCACCATTGATCATTTCAAGATTATTTCATTTAATGTTGATTCTAATAATAATATATGTTTCTCTTTCTCTTTTTCAGTATAAACAAAATGCCTTTCAAACCAGTAGAGCACCCTAAGTGTCCCAAATGCGGCAAATCCGTATACGCCGCGGAAGAACGAGTTGCCGGAGGACTGAAATGGCACAAGATGTGCTTCAAGTGTGGTAAGTGTTTGCATTTAAGTGTTACATACTACCTGAATTTCACGTTACGTATTTTCTTACATCTTATAATTCGATGAACGTGATCCATATTAGGTTAGGAATTATCGTAGAAATGCTGCTATTAATTAATTACATTATTAAATAAATTTTGACTTTTTTTGGACTTGGAATATTTAATGAACATTTCTTATAGATTTTTATGTGTTGAATGCGGGTTTGAAAACCATTTTTCATCAACACTTACGCCTAACCTAATTCAATGTAGGAGATCCTAGACGAAAAAATAGGAAGACAAACATGAAAGATAATCCAATTTTTTTTTCTTATTCATAAACGAATCAATATACAATGTTTCCAGAAGAAATTTATTAATCATTTGATTACGTTCGTCGTCGGTAGCAGGTAAAACGAGTTATCTCGTTGCGCAAAAACACCATCGGCCATTTTTAAATTTAGACGACCCTATAAATAAATTATATGCCAGTCCCGGATGGTTTGTCTTGGCCTTAATTAGTTTTGTATGCTAGCCAGCGATCAATTGGAACCACCCAGCGTCGTAGCTAAGGGTGCAACGACCCTGTACGAACTCGCTGAAAACTCTTTGACTTTCGCTCGAAATAAGAAATTTTGTAAAGTATTCAATTCGTGATTTCAGTAACCATATCAGTATAAATCTGGCATGACCCTTTTGAGATGAATTTTCTTCAAAATAATTTTTAATTTTTTAAGGCTGAGGTTCTCGAAAATTGAATCAATTAGATACGAACAAATAGTTACCATTATTTTTTTATGATGCACATGGAAGTCATTGTTCTTCCTCTACGTCGCCTTTCTCCATAGGGAAGGCTGGCGTGTGGGGAATTGACACCAGGGTCACAAAGACCAGAGCCAAAGAATCGTGTGTTTGTCTTCCAGGTCTGTGCGGCAAACTTCTTGACTCGACAAACTGCTCCGAGCACGAGGGAGAGCTGTTTTGCAAAGTGTGCCATGGCCGCAAGTTCGGCCCTAAAGGATACGGCTTCGGTGGTGGCGCTGGTTGCCTGTCCATGGATCAGGGCGAACACTTGAAAAGTAGCGAGTGAGTGCACCTGCCGTCGTCCATCTCCCTCCTCTTCTCACCCACACCTCGAAAAACTACTTACCCTTGATCCTGAACCCCAAACCCTGTCCCTCTGTTGTTAACCAAGAGAACGAATGAAATAGACCAACGAAATCGACCGTCGAATCAACCAGACAGCCTACAGATCCAACAGCATGATCCTCTTCTTGACAAATCGTGCCCTGAAGAATGAACCTGGATGGAACAGCAGCCCTTCTGAGTGGATCATAACGTCTTCGTGCACGTGTACACAACAATCACGACCGTGTCAGATTGTCCACTTGATCCTAAGCCCAAAATCTCTGTAGTCCTGTTTCTGTTTTCGAAATTCTGTCTCCCCTGTTCCTATTGGAGTTGGAGGCTCGTGTTTAAACGAGCCGGCATTTCACCTTTTCTTATTTTCTGTTCGTTATGTTGTGAATTTCAACCTCCTTGTAGCCCACTTGCCTGCAACCTAACCTATAACCTAACCCCCCTTCCTTTCGTCGTCCATCGGCACCGACAACGATGATGGTGATGGTGATGATGATGATGATGATGATGTTACGACGACGACGACGCGACGTTTATTATAATGATAATTAACTGTGTTTTAATCTAGTTCGACTGTCTCTCTCGTTTTTTTGTCACGTTTAACTTCCCGTTTCTGTTTCTTCTTTTCGTTTTCTGAGTCTCTTTTACGTTTCGTTCCGTTGTCTTTCTTATAATTGTTTCTCTTCCTTAATTTTCTTTGTCCGTGCCGGATCGAATACTTTTCTCTTCGATCGTGTATATGCATATATATACACACGCACGTCACGCGAATATATACATATGTATATACTTGTTCTTCCTTTTATTTTATTTTTTCTTTAATGCGATTACATTACATATTACGCTAGTTTATAGAATCATTTGTACCATCTGTAATAAGTGCCATTAAAAGACGAAAAAAGGGAAAGAAAAAAAAAACAGAAGGTTCCTGGTGTTCTTCATTGACACTGTACTGCTTCGCGAATTACGAACGCATTTACGGTTGGACAAAAATGTTCTTGCCATTCTTTCTAACAAACATACTGGATCAGTTTCTCGATAGTAAAATTACTATGGTACAGATGAGGAAGATTTTGGTTGACGGGTTCGTTGTGTCGAAAACATTTTTGACCCACTGTACATGCATACACAACCTGCTTCGATATGTACACGGGTGCACGAAGATATTCGAACAATTCTAATCCTTTATCCAAAAGATGTACCTCCATCTTACCTGTAACACATATTTTACAACTATCCTCTTTTGAGGTTAGGTTTGCTCGAGGGCTTATGGTGGTGTTCCCATTTGGGTAGATTATCCTTAACTAATTCTTACAATTAAGAATTAATTTAAAAACTTTTTAGAAGTGTAAAAGTACTCAGGATCATATTAGAATCAAAGATGGCCTCAGATTCCTAACCTAACTGCCTACCTGCCTCGAACAAATTTAACTATTAAAATCAAATATTTTTGTTGTGTCATTTTTGGTTCGACTACACAAGCTGTGGTTCGAACACTTCCTATGCACCGGTGTACATACATGTAGATACGTATGTATATATATTTATATCTATAACCCAAAAAAAGAAGAAAAAAATAGAAAACAGAGAATAATAGAAAAAAGTGCACGAAATTTCGGCCTGGCGTCGCAAAACAGAGGAAAAGGAGAGCGTACCAAGCGCAAGGTTCATGGATGAACCTGCCAGGCCGTCCGTTAACCTGCACCCAGTTTCCCCGAAACCCTGGACCCCTTTCGTAAAGAAAGAAAGCACGTCAAATCGAAAAAAAAAAAGAAAAGAATATTATATGTACACCTTAAACTACCCCCGCCAGCCCCGTCGAGTGCGAGCCAACCGGAGGCCCATTGAACAATATATGTTGTCACTTTATCACGAGCCTGCGCGCACCCCTCGTGATAAAGGGAACTATCGAGTAACAAAATCAAAATGGTGAGCACCGAGTCTGATTCCGCCTCTTTCTATCTATCTATCTCTATTCTCTCTCTATATCTGCCTATGTCTCTTATTTTGCCTTATACATTCTCGTGAACGACCAAAGAAACGAGCTTATTTCTTCATTTTTTTTTCTTCGATATTTTTCTTTTTACTTTTTTTTCTTTTTTGGTCTTCTCCGTTTTTTTTTTACTCCATCACTCTTTCTCTTTCTCTCTCTCTACGATTTATCGATCCGCACACCTGCACGGCCTCTCGTACCTTTTATTTATTTTTCTTATCGAAACACACACGTAACCCCGTAACCTTGCTAACACGTTAACTCGTTGGGTGCTTCATAGGGTTGTTAGAGCGCTCGCTTGGTGTAGAAATGAATTATGTACGTAGATGAGTAGAAGCTTTTGTCTGTAAGGCTTCCATGATCGGTATCGAATCACTTTTGATTTTGATTTTTAATTGGCTACTATTTGTTCCGCACCTACTTTTTTTTGTAATAAGACTTTCTTTCTTTTCTACACTTTCTTCCTCGGCTTACTTCCGTTAGCACCCTCTACCATTGCCACGTACTACACGACAAGCCCATATCCCATGTGCTCCCTCCTATTCTTTCACGCTCTGTCCTCACTTGTTTCTTTTCTTTTCTTTTATTTTCACTCGAGTAAAATTGTATTATTGTTTAGTTTTCTTGTCAACACACGTACACGCGCGCACACATACACGTACACACACGTTATCCGCTTCTTGGCTCTCCTCTCGGGGCTCGGCGGAAGCCACTTTTGCGTGGTTGCAAAGGGGAAAGGGGATACTAACCTAATACTAACATGTGCCTAACACGCTAACCGTCGGGTTGTTATTTCTGTGACGGGTTTCTGGTAATCATTTGTTCGACCAGTGAACCGATCGTAGAAACGGGTTTTGAATGTCCCGCCTCGACGTGTTCGCCGCTCGACTTTCCTTCTTCTTTTTTTGCAGTGGTGTTTTTTTTTTTGTTCATTTGTATTCTGTATTATCCGCTTGGTCCCTGGTGATTTCCAGCCCTACGTGTCCAACGGCCCCTGTCTTCGTTCATCTTCGAGAAACTGTTTAAAAACTCCTCAAAAACTTTTCAGTAGAAAATCTACCGAAAGCCTCCAACAAATTTAACTATGAAAATATTTGTCCAGTGTCTGTATCGTCCTGAAATTTGTTCATTTCGTTGAGGGGCTGTGGTTCACTGCTGTTGGGAATCCCCAGCAGCTCGACCACACACGCTAACCGTACGACTGACAATCCGATCTCTACAAAGGACGCATTTTTAGGGAATTATCGAGAGGATCGAACGCTGTTCTGGAATCACGAGCGATCGCTAAGGCGCCGGAAGGAGAGGGCTGCCCTCGATGCGGAGGATACGTGTACGCAGCTGAGCAGATGCTGGCTCGAGGAAGGGTGAGTTTTCCTCGAAAGACGGTCACTTACGACCGCATCATTGCGTGCAGTAGAGTAAAACACCTTGGTGCCGCGATTTGTCACGCCTGAGAACAATGTTCACGTTACGTCCGGAAGATGGTGGTAGAAGCGCCGGCTCCTATTTTCGTCACGGAAACTTGATACTTCATACGGGTTACGAAATATTCGGGTTATTAATTATTAAGACGGTAGCTTGTTGAATTTTCTTCGATATATTGCGATTGCTCATGGCTAATCTTATCCGCGGACGTTTTAGAAGAGGGAACTGAAGTAAACTAGCTGATCCCACTGCTCTTCATAAAGCTGAATTAAATTTTCTATTATCATTTGATGAATTGCAGTGCAAATATTGGTTAAATTCATTAAAAATAAGATTGTCATATGAAGGTTGTTTTTGAAGGAACAGTGAAAGCAAGAGACAGAGTCGCGAATAATATTCGAGGGTGGCCTCGCGTAATTCGATGCTAAAATTGACCAGACCACCTGGCTGACACAGTGCCAATGGCTCATGGACCGTAAAGTATCCTCCGTAATCTTACCGTATGATGAAACCGGTACATTTCATAACAATGTGGGGAAAAAAAGCCCTAGCTCAGTGGAGAATGAGCGGCGGGATCGTAGCTTGTTGCCGTTGGTGCCGGCCCAGAAACTTTTCCTGTCTTTATAGAGCTTGGCAGCTAACCAACTGGCCGAGCGGACATGCTTCGATGTTGGAAAATAACTTGGAACCGAGTATCGTATTCGAGGATTAAACCGATGGAGGCTAATTGCCCTTCTTAGGCCGCTGCCAATCTGTCCTGACGTTGAATAGAAGCATCTCAAAGCGAACATATAGGTTAGGATCGCAAAGATGACTCATAGTACAAAAATGAACTGAAAAACGTCGAGTATCTTCGTGTTCGAGGGCGAAACTTGTTGAATTCAAAATAAATTGGCATACGTAATCGTTAAAAGTGAAAATATGAGATATGAAATCCATTATGTTCACGGTTAACCTAGGGATACCACGGACGCTGGCCAATTGGAATGACCCCAAGTTACGACGAGCTGTTTTTTTCGGTATACGCGAAACAAATCGCCATGATCTTTCTGTCTGGTTCGTTTTCAAGATCATACAGAAAGTTTGATGAACTCTGGTTAAGTATGCCGGGTGTTTTGTTTGAATCAATCGATAAAAGTTAATTTATATAATTTGAGGTTTTTCCAAAAATAATTTCAAGCATAATTGAATAATCATGATGGATAGATTTAAAAATGACACTCGGTATATAAGATGGTCGCGGCACCAAGACCCTTCACAGATTATCGCGAGAAGAATTCGCCTATTACCGGGCACACCATGGTTATTCCTGCTTCTTGTGATTAGGCTTACCATAAGTCATGCTACAAGTGCAAAGTCTGTCAACGGTCTCTGGACTCGACGCTTCATTGCGATGGTCCCGATCGCGAAATATATTGTCGAGGTATCTCTTTTTGCAATCCAAAAAGTCTCTCTATTTTTTCACGGATTTTTGTGTCCCCCCAACCCCTTCATGATGGTCCAACAGCTAGTTAACACTGTTTGTTCGTTCAGAGAAAAAAAAGGAAATGATAATTCTTTTGTACACACTGGCGCAAAGTGTTGCATAAATTGTCGCACAATTCCTGGATCATAGGGATTATTAATTCCCCTTAAGATTGCCTATATTTTTTTTATTCGAACTTCGTGAGTGTTGGTCCTTGTGTCCCATATTTTTGTGTCCACAGGTGTAGAGTAGCATTAGTGGGGCAGTCGTACCGTGATACAAAACTTATTTTCAGTCCTTGTAATTATGATACATTGGGAATAATGCCTTTCTGAAAATAAGACCTATCGGAGTAATAGCACTTGAGGAAACTGATCTCGGGAATAACTATGTATAATAGAACGTAAGACTCGTTAAGAATCCTCTGAAAACTGTTGGTGACTAACACTCGTCCCTTTGTGTCCCACGCAGCAATGGCACAGGGAATGTTTTAAATGTGCCAACTGCAACAAGAGATTAGATTCCGTCAACTGCTGCGAAGGTCCTGACAAGGACATCTATTGCAAAGGTGAGGTAACCGAGGGTTTATAAAGCAGAGGCATAACGTACTGGACGTGTTCAGAAAAGTTGTAAAAGTGGTATAAAAATCAGAACCATTCCAGTTATTATTATAAAATTGTCATATATAACAGTTACATTGTGTTTAGAACCCAAAAAGCTCAATGAAGTAGCATAGGTTACGTTAGGTGCACCAGTTGCTCCACCCTGTGGCGCCATCTGTCGGGGAAATCAAAAGTATAAATTATGGTTGAAGATTATTTTGACTGCAATTTTTAAAACTTCCAAATCGACCCATTTATTGATCCTCCTTGTAAAATTAAAAAAAAAATAGTAAAGAAAATAGTTAGGACACGTCCAGACACGTGGTGCCCTGCGTAGACGTCAGGCAACCAGGCCAAAACGACCAGATTCCTTTAACTGATGTTCTCTGCAGTATGCTACGGAAAGAGATTCGGACCGAAGGGTTATGGCTACGGCCAGGGTGGTGGCGCCCTACAAAGCGACTGCTACGCCAATGGGTGGGTTTTCAGAGCCGAGATTGAGACGGGAACACGCGCGAGATATATCCCGCCTCGGCTTCTACACTCTCTCACTATAATATGATGCGCTTGTCTGCTTAACAGCTTGCTATCCGAAGAAATTCGGTCCGCGAGGTATTGGCCATGCTGGGGTTATGTGGATCGGGCTGCAGTGCGATATTGAGGACGAGGGGTACGCGACCCCATAGTTATACTATTCCGTAATTCGCCACTTAACGTGTGTGTCCGTCTGTACCCCATCGATCTTCATAAAGAGCCAAGGATATCGATTGGGCTCCATTTAACCCCAAAGAAAAACCAGTCTATGAATGAAAGAACGAACAAATGGACGTTTGTTTGTGTCTTTATACACAAGTGCAGTAGAATTTCGATAATTGTACACTTGGAATCATTGTTTTCGTTTTTACCGACTGTCGGTAAAGAATGCGATGGACCAGAGGTCCGCCAGCAAGTATCGACGTTCTACTGTCCACACGAGTCGACGCCTTAACGCTTTGCGCTATTACTCACCCTCACTACTCTCTTGCAGCAATTCAATCGCTTCAGAGTGTCGAGTTACTAATTGTAATTAATTATTTCAACGCTCCTGGAGTTAGTTATCTTCACTTGCTGAAAGATTTCTTAAGGAAATTTGCAAATAACTCTGTTCCCTAGTTTTCGAGCATGACCCTTATTACTATGAAGCTGATTACATTGAATCTTGAGTTAAATTGTTGCATATTCAATCTTTGCGGATGATTAAATAACGTAGAGTTTTAAATAAAAATAAAACTTTGTTTCAATTCACCGGTAGGTCTCGTCCGCAAGGGGTTGAATCTACCACATGAAATAATTAACTCTGATCAATGCACCCTTTGTAGTTCAAACATCCCCTAATGCATTTGAATAAAGCATGAGCTTGTTTTTCAAAATTTGTGCCTACCCAATCTATCAAGTCGCCCAAATGAAAACCAATAGCAAAATAAAAAGAATTATCTTATAGTCCTTGATAAAAATAATGAAATTTCAATATCTGGTAGTTGCTTACGTCATTCGAGTGACTTGAAATTGGATGACATTTTCCAAGGACTGAAAGAATTGAAGGATAAGGTTGGTGATCTTTTGAATATAGTGAGGCGGCTCCCCGTACCACCGTGATCGACACCGCCATAATCAAGGCTCCCCCAGGCAAGGGTTGTCCACGCTGTGGTGGCGTGGTGTTCGCTGCTGAACAAGTGTTGGCAAAGGGTCGCGAGTGGCACAGGAAGTGCTACAAGTGTCACGACTGCACCAAAACTCTTGACTCCATCATCGCCTGCGACGGCCCCGACAAAGATGTCTACTGCAAGACCTGCTACGGAAAGAAATGGGGACCGCATGGATATGGATTCGCATGCGGATCAGGCTTCTTACAAACTGATGGTTTAACGTTAGTAAATTCTTCGACTTCCATTATTTGTCAAGCCTCATAGAAGACACATAGGTCCTAAGATGTTCAAAACAGAAATTTTGTTTAATTCTTTAAAGCAAGAAGCTCAAAGCGATGTTTCTTTCAGGGAGGAAGAAATCTCAGCCAGCCGACCATTCTACAATCCCGACACGACCTCGATCAAGGCACCAGCTGGACAGGGCTGCCCTCGCTGCGGTGGCATGGTATTCGCTGCTGAACAACAGCTTGCCAAAGGCACCATGTGGCACAAGAAATGCTTCAATTGTGCAGAATGCCACCGACCGTTGGACTCCATGCTGGCTTGCGATGGACCTGACAAGGAGATCCACTGTCGATCTTGCTATAGTAAACTTTTTGGACCCAAAGGATTCGGATTCGGACACGCTCCGACTCTTGTCTCGACGAATGGAGATCATGCTCCCTCATAGTAAGTTCAATAGAACAAAACCTTATGGCTTTCTTACCATCAAAGCGCCTGCCCATAACAGTTATGTCTTGAGGCGCCATCTGGAAACTTAAAATGCAACTAGTGGCTGTAATTGGAGGTTAGACACTTTAAGATCAAAGAATCTTGTCTGTTTCAGCATCGATTCAAAGCCTCAAGTTGGTCAGAAGCGGAACGACGGACACGGATGTGCGCGTTGTGGCTATCCGGTGTACGCTGCCGAACAGATGATCTCGAAGAACCGCGTGTGGCACAAGCGTTGCTTCAGCTGCGCCGAGTGCCATCGTTCGTTAGACTCGACGAATCTGAACGACGGCCCGGACGGGGACATCTACTGTCGCGGTTGTTACGGCCGAAATTTCGGGCCCAAGGGTGTGGGCTTCGGCATGGGCGCAGGCACCCTGACGATGGCCTAACTGACCAGACTTGCGAACCAGTCTTATATATATATACGAATTTAAATATAAACGCAAAAGTTAAATTATATCCGGATAGGTATGCGTGCAAACGAACGGTGACCATTCGTATTAACATGGTCGATCGTTCGTTCGCGCGTATCGCCATAATTGTATATGTATATGTATATGTATAGGCGCCTGACTTCCTCGACTAACACCGAGACCAAAAGTGACGAAGAAAATACGCTGCTCCGTACATTGGATAAAAAATTCGTTTCTCTTTTCGCTAAACGACCGCAACGCGCAACACCGATCCGAACGCGTGCGCGCCAACGACCGAGACGCAAACCGATCACGATCAACGATCGTGAAGTAAGTGACAAATCGATTTTTGTTACTTTTTCTATGGCGACTATCCGCGAAACGCATGTTCCGGACCCCTTAGTCCCCCGGAGACTTACGGATCGAGATCTTGGGACGTCTTCAATTACCACGCGAAGAAATCGAAGGTGAACTGGATCCCTATGTATCCAGGGGACTAGGGGCACGAGCAACATACAGTACAAACGGAAAATTAGTGATGGGCAACGAATTTTTAACGATTCGATCACTGATAAATTTTTTATCACTTTGATTCGATATTGAAGATTTTTGAGAAATTTTAATATTCTAAACTAACGATTTAAAGGTCTTCGAAGTCTTGATACGAAGGTGTGTTCGTTTTTCTCAAGATTTCCAAGACTTTTGAAAAATTTCCAAAATTTCATACCCTCGAACGAAACTCGAAGCGATCATCGGCCCGTCGCTGCTCGAAACGCGATCAGGAGCAACGATGTAACGACAACGAATAAAAAAGAAACATATAGACGAAAAGAATGCAATAGATGCGAAGAACGATTATTTTCAATAAATGTATATTTCGAAAAGGAACGAACGGAAATTGTGGGCTATGGGTTGGGCTGGGTTGTGGACCTGTTTGAAAAGGGAAGCGACGAACATCGTGTCTCGACGGCACTCGACATTCCATTTGTCAGATCGAAGACGCGTCGAAGGAAAAGTCATCGTTCGGGAAAATAATGATGCAAATGATGTGCCTCGCGCGCTCAGCAATCGCCCGAAGCATTTACTATATAAAAATAGTTTCAATATCGACGGCGCACACACACACACAGTAAGAGATAACGTGCTCGTTAGGTTCTAACCCTTAAACCGGAAGCTTTCGTAGCGTCGGCGCAAATAATATAACACGTTGCAATCTTCAATTTTCTCCGCGATTAATCTTTAAGTAGCCGCGCGAACGTTGACGATGTCAAACGCGCCACGGCGAGTCTTGTGTAAAATAAATATCATTTCTCGATTTCTAGAACGCCAGCTCCCTGTGTTGATTCGATCCCCGAAGCGACCACTTAAAGATTAAACGATCGTACTTGATGACATTTCTCTTGTCCAGTCGGTTTAAGGATTGACTTCGCGATCGACGAACAGCGATAAGTTTTCCTTCGACAGAATCAGGAACGGTCACCCTATCGTTTCCTTCATCCTTCGATCACTTTCTTACGATCACATTCATATTCGTATCGTCAGGGACTAACGTATCTTTAAGCTGCGTACGCGCCAAACAAACAAGCAAACGCGAAGAGACCGCTATAAATTACAGTACTATCCTTCATTGTGTCGCGCCACCATCCCTACTACTCTGGCTCTGCACGCTTTTTACCTGTCGCAATCCGCCAGTGGATGCACGGTGGGGGGACTGAACGTAAGGCCCCATAGACAGGACCCACTCTGAAGAGAGTAGTGGGAGAAGGCCCTCGCTCCGCAGGCCTGCCAGCCCATGTGTATTCGGGACTCCACTTTCACTCGTCATAGCTATGCTAACTTTTCATTCATTGGTGCGCAGACCTCAAAGAGGGACCTACGCCTAGGTCACAGTGGTGCAGGTGCCTTGTTGGAAGGGGACGGTATATGGGCAAGGTGGTACTTCGCTTCGCCCAACTCCCTTTGATCATTTCGACAATTGACCACAATAGTGTATCCCACCTGTACCGTTGGGAGACAGGCAGTAGGGCCCGCTAACAAAGCACTGTAAGTACTAGGCGAGGGATTGGTCGCCTTCTGTACCACCTATGTACTGCATCACTTCAATGTACATACTAATTACCCTGCCGATGTATCCTAGATTATCAAATGAAAGACAATACTATCATTCAGTCAAGTGAGCAAGTATATCGTACAAGTGACTATTAGCAAAGAACGCCTGCCTGTTTTTCTTCGCTCTCATTTTATTTGTATGGCATGTACGCGGCTTTACACGAACGGACCTTAATAAATCCTTATACGCTAATGGATAATTCTGTGGATTTATGTATATTGTGAATGGACAATGATACGCACGTCGGTGGAGCTACATCGTCTTCTTGTTCTTGGCTGGACGAATGGGAGAGAGAGCTTGTTCCCGTTCGACAGTAAGTACTAGTTACGGTGTAAAACACTAATCTCCTATATTTATAGCAACAACTGTACAGGCGCCGGCCACATCGATGTCCTCGATACACTTATCCTCGAACGACGCTGTTCAGAGTCCCATTAGGGTTCCCTCATTGCTCCTCGTCACACCGTAAACTGTTCAAGACGTCTAAAATCAAAACCTTACTTTTGATATTTCCATCGATCCAGATTAAAGGTAGAACTCCTCAATAAGGTCTGCAAAAGTCAATTTCATTTTTAAACGTCTTCATGTGCAACTTGCTGGCTCAACTGCTGGACACTGTTTAATTAATCAACGAGGAATTAGGACGGTACACAGATATCAGCATCTAGTATTCTCGAGCGAGTCCTTCGACAAGGCCGTTCGTTTAGGTTACAAAAGAAACTAATTACGATGGTGGTTTCCATAAAAGCTGTAACACAAAAGAGGACCTGATAGCAGGTTAATGTTAGAAGATTCATTGATTTCTCCATAATTATCACAATAGAATTGTTTTATGGAACGGCCTCGCGACTGACTTAGCGTCCTCTGAACAGCACACGATATTCTATATTTACACGATTCTGGTGGTATGGAACGGTATCCTCGGTAGTGATGGGCATTAAACACTCCCTATTGCTAATTCCCAAGCAATTCGATCACTGCAGAACTTCGAACCACTACGATTCTTCTTCGAAATCAGAATCCCTCGAAACGTTCGGAAACTTCTAAAATCGGCTGACATTCGAAGCGATCGCTAGCCTATTACCAATCGTCAGAACGATTAGTAGAGGTTCGCGGTTTTCAGCGGCAGGGGGTCGAGCAAGTACGGTGGTAGCGCGGAGAAAGGCCTGGGGCTGCAGGATCCCCATGTCCCTCCGCCGCTGTTGCTTCCTCGAGTGTTCGGCGAGGTGCCCTCCCCGGAGGTGTCGCTGGAGTGTTTCACGCTGACCAGATTCGGGTTCGTGATCGGTTTCACCTCGTTCGACGAGAGGACACTGTTGGAGCTGCCCGGCGGCGTCGCTGGACTTCTCGGTGAACGGCCCTCCGCTTTCACGTTGCCCGCTACCGGGCTGGAAGCGCCGCTGTCCACACCGATGCCGCTCTGCGAGTTGGATTTCTGCTGAGCGAGCCTCTCCTGCTTGCGGAACTTCGCGCGTCGATTCTGGAACCATACCTAAAAACACGATTTTGTATTAACAATTAGAGATAGTTTATTCTTTGAAAGTGCAGGATACAGTATTCCCTGAGGGAAGTAGTACAATCTTGATCCGAAATAAGCAACTGGCCGGTCTCGAGCGACTTCCTTATTTCATTATCGTTATGTTATAATCAAGCAATTTATTAAACAAAAGCAGATTTGCCATGAAAAAGGCTCGCCAAAAATCTTTCCAGGGCAAACATATGCCGCGAAAGGGTAAGAGGGAGGGAACAGCACGCGCGTCTGGTCACTTCGCTCGTCAGGCGGCGCTCGTAATTGGCTCTAGTTGGCCAAATGAAATATTTAACGAATAAAATAAACGGAAAGCGGCGGTGACCTGCATGTTAAAGTAGCGGATTTATTTGCTTTACCGTTTATCTGACCAGCAAAGCCACCCTCTCTCCTGTTCCCCTGCGTTCTCCCTCCCTTGTTCGTTTCTCCACGCGTGTGCACGTGGATCCCACCCCTAAATTTTCCAGGGGCGGCTACGTTCGGGATCCCTAGCGCAAGGCTGACTGGCAGACGTTCGTTGGAAGGGGAAAGGGGTGGATTCCGAGAGTCAGGGGTGCGGGACACCATGATGAACGTGATTGCCCTTTCCGGACGGCAAACACTGCTATTGGATTTTTATCAGCTGCCGCTGAACGGGAGCGTCGTTCGAGAAATTCGAGCGACCTTCGACGAACGTCGAGCGTGTTTGAAGAATTTGCCTGATACCTTTTTTCTCGCGGACCTGCGGAAGGATTAACCCGGTGCGTTCGACAAAAATCAGCGTACCGGCTTACATATTCATGGTACATCGTTAACGAATATTTTCTCACTGTTTTAAATCTTCTGGTGTTAGGTTAGGTTTGGATTTGAGCAATTATTTATGCTGTTCATCAGCAACTTTGTATTATATTGATTGGTAAGTAGAAGTTTACAAAAATTACGTGCTTAAAGTGGAAAAATTATGTAACACGGACAGAAGGTAGAGCGACAGTGAGAACGGTAATAATTCGTATTTGGCCACGGACCAAACCCCGAAGAGACCGTAGCATGTGTGCCGTTGTTTGCAGAACGGACCACGACGACAACGGCGACGACGACGGCGTGAATTAGGGAGGCTACGCGCTCGCGTTAATGTTAAATAAATACGGTGCAGCTAAATAAAATGCGACCAGCCGCGACGACAGATGTCCGACTCGTTTTGGATAAATATTTAAGCACCGCTTCACGCGCTTCGTTGCCTTCGGCTTCTCGCTTCATGCCAATCGAACGGCAAACACGGCTACTTGCTTCTATGAATTTTCTTCTGATTCATTATCTCGCCGTTCGTCGACTACAAAACCACTTCCATTTGTAAATTGTTTTCGAATAAAATAAAATTAAAGTACAAAATTTGCAATTTATAATTTGACTTATTTGTTCATCTTCACGACGAGCAAAGGAATAGGAACATTTGTGATGCCAGTACAAACATTGATAGCAAGCAAACCCAGAAGCTTATGGACGAATCATTAGGAATTCTATGGGTCTGCTTCGTATTTGCTCGTTCGATTAACCCTACAAGGTTCTGACTCGCTCTGATTTCCTCTTTCTGAATCAGTTAACCAAGGATTTCTTGCAACTGTTATTCTATCCTTAGGCTATTCTAATCTGAACCTAACTTGAAGAAATCAAATACAGAAAATATAAATATACGATCAAACGCTATCTCAGGTTAACCTAAAATGACTTAAAACTTGGATTTTTAAAATAAGTCAATTTTTGAAGAAGACTTAAGCTTTATACATGATTATGTGAACGTTCAGAAGAAATAAATGTATTTAGATTGTTCGATGAATTGGACTCGAGAGTGACAGGAACTCGTCACGGTGGTGGTCAAACACGAAAGTGGATGCAGAGTTAATGAGATCTGTCCAGACGATTTATTCATCAGTCGAATGGTATTGGTCCATCCAATCGATGCTGCTCTTAATCAAGATTTCAATTGCAGACCCATAGCATTTATGGCCCCAACTTATTTGGCTAATTGAAGAAAGAGATTCTCTGTGTTGACGAAACTATCATTTTTTATTACAACTAATAACCAACCATATTATGTATATTAAAAATAAATAATAACAGATTAATGTAATTAATTTTTGCAAACTTTATCCTTTAAATCATTTTATAAGTGCCATATGGAGATACTTTTACGTCATCCCATATGCAACAAGCTAACACAATTACCCTACATATGCAGGAACATTTGAAAAGTTCTAAACGAGATACCAATTCACAGATCAGAGTGTTTCTTTACGCAAACGATCCCCTCTTAATCGCCCTAACACTTGGACCAGAGCCGAAGAAGTTTCAGCTTAACGCGAAATACCGTGTTCCAGGGTGGCTGTGTTTGTAGCCTCCCGTCGTTCTACGTGGATGATACCCAGCAGGACAGTTTTTAATCACCGTAAGTGGATCTACATAGAGCTCGCAATTACCAGGGCACACTCCGGGCATGGGCCCCTTGTGTATCAGCCACCCTCGAACCGGCAGAGCCGTGCCAGCTCGAGTGTTTTCCCCATTTCGCATCCCTCTCTCTGCCATCCCCTTCCTCGACCCGAGAATTCTTCGTCAGGAAGTGTTATTGCCCATTCGTTGCTTTTTGATCTTTCCTAAGTCTTTCCGTTCATGCAGCACTTTGTCTCCGGGAGACGAGAATATTTTTGAGGTTATCTTTTGCTTTCGTTTTTCCTTAGCTATTCTATTTTCTTTATGACTTTTGGGGATACGCAAAAATTTCCATCGTCCTTACATGGATAACCTAACCTAACCTCAATTTTTCTTAAAAGAAAATATTTACTACTTCAAGAAACAAAGACAGATGTCAAAAAGCATAATTAATTTGGCATAGAGCCTTCAACGAAGAAACCATACATATGCACCCACAAATCAACCTCTTGGCCCAGGAGTTAACTGATGTATGCTCGACTTGTCGGCATTATGTATGCTCGCAGGTTGCCCGAAACGTTAATGGAGTTGTAATTCATACGGAATGACATGTGACTCAGAAACAGCGAAACGTGTCGCCACGCGACACAGTGCACCCCACACTCGGATGTCATCGATGGGATGCAGCATCGTGAACAGAAGCGAGTCGAGGGTGAACAGGCCTGGTGGACCAACAATCAAGGGACGCTCGTTGCTCTTACGCGGTCGTAAGGGACTGAATTCAATTGAAAGAAGTGGAACGCGATCTGGCTAGGAGAGATTAATTCAATAGCAGGGTCATTAAGAACGATCTGGGTGTCTGCTGGAATGCAGGTTTACGAGGTATCTGGTTATCTATGATCTTCTAAGGGTAATTTAATGGGAAATAGTGTTTCTTTTAGGTTATGTCATTAATCTATTAGCATGGAGATTTATTAAGATGGAACTTATGAATCGACTGGAGATTAATATTAAAGCCTATCAGTGTGAGTGATATTTCAACCTTACTTCAAAATTTATTTCTTTAATCTTTGAGCTACTGATGTGGACTCAGCGATTATTTACCTCACAAAAGATTATCAAATGGTCCTTTATATACTGGAATTTCTACAAAACCTTGTGAACTCCACCAAAAGCCCCAAACCACGTAACAAAAGGCGACAGAGCGGGTGGCTAGCAATTTCGAGACAGACAGTCTTGGAGAGATGCGGAAAATCAACATGGATTTCTTTTCCCATTGGGACAAAGTTGAGTACCGACACGCAGGTCAATTTGAAGTAGGGTGATCGAGGGACAGAAACAATTCTGACAAAGGGTCTTCCTTCCTAGGGAACAAAAGGGCCAATAAAACAAACTTATGAAAAGAAGAAAAATTTTACAATTAATTTTCTGTAAATGTATGGAGTTTCAATACACCTGGAGGATAGCCACGAATTAGGGAAGATTCGAACTGAGTAAGGGCTACCCTTCGTCATGGCAAACCTCCTTGGAAATGGCGGTCTGCCCGTGCTGCCGCAAACTACTAGAAAATTGATAGTAACTTCCTACTGAATTATCATGTGTTCATATACCTTCCTGCTTATAATCTCATACAATATCTAACTCGATTTGTCTTTTCATTTGAACAGATGATAACAAATTACGAGGCAAATTAATAAATTATTGTATTGTGTATTTATAAACAGAATGAAATGTTACAAAAACACAAAATTAGCTAAATTGCTTATGAATAATATGAATGTTGGAACATTTTAAGATCTTATTATAGAATTTCATTCAACTACTACTAGATTATAGTTCAAGTACGTGCCGTTTCGAAGTCGTAATAAATTTAATCTTAGCAGAGCTGTTCCGAAGTACCACACAATGTGGCACCACTGTCGTTTCGTCGAGCGTTAACCTTAGTCTCTGATTGGCAATCATCATTATTATTACAGGAGATCAGGATCAAGAAATATAGTTTCCTGACAGCTGATATCACATCCATAACGAACATAATCTTAAAATTATGTATGATTTAACTTTGAAATAAAATAATATTGAAATGTATTTCTTCTTTTCTTTTGTAATTCAATTGAAGAAATCTCAGGGCAGCTTTTGATAAACATAACCTTAAATTTTAAAGGGTTTCTCACTTTCTAATGAAAATAGGAAGTTGTTGTTCGTGAAAAATGGTGAAGATAATAAATTTCATCGGTTCGATTCGGGAGGAGAATCTCCAAGAAGTTCAAGTTAATCCGTCAGATGCATTAGACGATATAATCCATCAAGTAGCGACTCGCAGGTAACCGTGAAAACGAAAATGGAGCTCGTAATGCAATTACACGGACCGTGTTCCGCCATCACCCTTGTCCCTTCGTTTTATCCCTCCATTTTGTGTGACACACTGGATGGGAGAATTCCGAAGTAAACGCAGGACAAAGAAAATCTTCTTTATGTTTGTTTCCCAAATTTGATTTTAACAACACATTACCGGCAATTATTAGATAGTTATCGAAGGAATAAAATTTTAATCTTTTGTAATCTTTAGGACTTTGATAACACGAATCGCTCCGTCCAGCTTTCAGTTACTTAAGATTTCAATGGTCTTCTTGAATGAAACATTGACTTACTTGGACTCTAGCCTCCGTCAGGTCGATCTTCATGGCGATTTCTTCTCTGGTGTAAATATCTGGATAATGTGTCTCCTGGAAGGCACGCTCTAGTTCCTTAAGTTGAGCCGAGGTGAAGGTTGTTCGTATCCGACGTTGTTTCCTCTTCTCCGCTAGACCATCGTGACCAGAATACGCCTTATATCCCAGTCCACCTGTAAATTGAATCAAAATGGTTAATGACATTAATGGTTCAATAACATTCCCATTCAAGAAGTTCATTAAGGAAGCAAAATTAAAGTTACGTAGATAATCAGACATTCAATTTTGATATCTACATCACGTTTTCATAAAGTTATTAATTATAACGTGGATTCATTACTAATTAGACAACTTTTAATTGCTAATAACTATCACTCTAGTCATTATGCTTAAAATCTCAATGAAATGGAAGCTTAAAGGAAATCTTCTCATCCTCGTCAGAAGATTCAACCCTTACACTTGGAGTACTAATAATAATAATAAGTTCATTTCTTCATAATTACCTGGATTTTAATTAAGTAATATTTATTTTCTATGTAAATTAGGTAAATGGAACATTCTGCTGATCTATACCAGTAGTTACGGGTTCAACCCTTACACCTTCATTATTAATAATTTTATTTCTCTAAATCCTCTGCTCTTTAATTAATATTTCTGTTATATTAGAAATACTGTTACTAACACTAAGAAATGAAAGTGTGAAATGCTTCTAATCATCAAAACCTCAAGGCTCTCCCTAATCCTCTCACTTTCTAAATCACCCAGAAGAGCCAGCAGTTCCTGATAGGCCAAGAAAATCTCTGCCGTTTGAATTACTTTGTTCAGGTCGCAACATTCTCCATGATGCTTATAGATTATAGAATATAGGTGAGAATGGCTGGGATACCATGGAACGTAACCATAGCAATGAGTGACTGAGGAGGTAGAGGGAGAGACAGAGGGAACCCAGGGAGGATGAGACAGGACAAAGAGGAAGGGCAACACAAGGGTGAGAGGAATGAGTAAACGAGGGAGAGCATTCGAAGAAAGAGAGGCAAGAATACGAAAGAGAGGGGTCGGGAGAGGACGAGACACATCCATTGATTTTCAGTGCCATCTTGTCGTCGTTTCCAGAGGAAATACCGTGGTAGCTTCGAGCATGGAGACGGCAACTTTCCCCTGAGAGAAGAAGAACCACCCTCTTTTACTTTTTTTCAAGGGAAAGACGATCTTCTTTGCCCCGCCCGACCACCCTCCGTTCCTCGTCTTCAGCGCTTTCAATTGATTGTTCCTTTATAAATTCTGCCGTTTTAACGATGGACGATGTTTGATTTACTCGCTCCTGGAATTTCGTTGAATTAACGAGGAGATTCTAATTCGATTCTTCTGCTGGAACGACGATTCGTCCATACGTTCTTTCTCTTTACTTTTTGGTGTGCTGTGATGGTGGAGAGGATTGGAATTCTTTTTTTTCTTTCTTTTAATTCCTTCACCGTATCTGTCTACTATACTGAATATTATTTTAATATAATAAATTTGAAGCACCGGGCCCTATTGATTAGTAAAAATTCTTTTTCATGAACATATTTCAAGGCTGAGAGAAATATCAAGTTTTCATAATGAAAACAAAATTAAATCAGGTTATAAACAAATGATAAAAAAAGCAAAAAATGACAATGGGAAGCTCTGAACTTCTAAATGCACAAAGATACGTAACAAATTTTATATTAATCACATGGTCCTTCATGAAATATACCATGCATGATTTATCATGATATTTCGTCCCTTGAAAATTTAATAGTTTTATCATTTCTGAATTATAAACTTTAAAAATCAACTAGGACATCTACAAAACAAAATCTATTAAACAAAAAACTGAACCCAATTTCAATGATCTGGAAACTCAATCAAGAACAGCAAACTAAGCTCACTAAAAGAAACATAAAAAGATGACAAACAATCCTAATAGAGCATCTTCCTCAAGTAACAACAAAAATCACTCACTCTGTAGATTGATAGCCGACGGGAAGATGGAGGCTGCGTGCCGGTGTACCTCCTGAGATCTGGCGGCCATTACGGAGCATGGTGTTGCATGGGCCCCATGGTGCGCGTGGGCATGCGAGTGAGTGGTGTGATGGGCCCCTAGCGGCGTACTGCTCCCAGTGCTCGCGGTCCCAGCATTACCAGGATAGCCGGCTGCTCTCGCCGCTGTGTAACGATAAGCAGCTTGACTCATCTGGGAGCAAGAACTTAGATCCCCGTAACCACACTGCATTTCACTGGCAGCTAACGCACAGCTAGAGGCTTCAAAACCAGCTGCAGCGGCCGCAGCCGCTTGGTTCAAGTACGAATAGTCCATGGTTCACTGGGTGCACTGGTAGTAAAGGTCAACTGAACTACAGACCTCTTCGTTATAGAGGTCAGAGACGGATAAACAGGGACACTAAACGCAGGACACCTCGACAGTTCATCGAAATTACTTATTTCTTCTCCATGATGCTTCCTGGCTCGTTGAGGACGGCTGTTCCTGGTCGATGATGAAAGTACAGTCGATGAGGTCTCTTCCATTCACTGGATCATCGCGATCCGTCGGATAGTACTGGAGATTCGATTAGGCAGATCGGAGATAATCGCGGAAGAAAAAAAGCCGAGGGTGTGGAGCGCGCGGGCGCGCGCTCCTCCGGGCCCTAACCGCGGCGTCCCTTCGGGCCCAACTGGTGGATCGCTTCTTCCGTCGGAATGTCGGTTAATCGAGGCTGGTGTACAGGCCACGGTGGCAACGTCACGTAATTCTCCTGGTCGCGCGGACGAGAGCTAAGGGACGCGGGCGGCAACCGCCTCCTCGATAGCGGCTTATGACGCGTAATCGGATCAGCGATATCAAATTATTGCGATTATAGCCGCGGATAGAAAGAAGTTTTTCGGCCCGCTTAAGAGAGCCCGAGACGACCGACTGGTGGGTCTCCTCAAAATCAAATGATAAGCTTAATTCAATAACCGACGGAGAGGGTACACGCCGGGGGGTGTGGCCGGATGCCTGTTACCGAGAAACGGGTTTGGTCACCGGCTGTGTTTCTCTCGACGCTGATTCGTCGATCCTTGGAGCCACCCTCGGACCAAGCCGTGGAGCAGTTACCGCCCTCGCCGTCTCCACATTCATCCCCGTCCGTGTGCCAGCTCCGGTTCGTCGGGTGCGACCTCTCCCCAACAGCCATCAACCCGAATGAACGCTATCATTCGATGATGCCATCCCTCTCTCCTGGCTCTCGATTTTACGATCGATTCCGAGGCAGGCCGTTTCCGCTGGACAACCAGAGCCACGCTTCCAGGAAGCCTTCCGTTCGTGTTTACGCTTGACATCTCCTGCGGCTGTCTTGGTGTCGATCACAGCCTGTCTGTCGTACTTTAGTTTTTAAATAAACGTAACTAATCAGCTATTGACTGCGAATAATAGGTGTTACGACGAGATTTGAAGGGTTCGACGTTAGAACATCTAATAGAAAAGTCAATTATGTATAATTGCCTGTAATTGTAAAAACAAGGTGGAGAATTATCTTCTGTCTTGTCCAAATGTGCTTTGTCTTCGTAGTCTTCTTACAAATAATTCACGAAGATTTATACAAAAATAAAAATAATATTCGTTTGGGATTAAAAAGTGTCTCTGATGCTTTCACATAGAGTAGTGCGAGTGTGAGCCAGAGATCAGGGGATTAGAGAGCGTGAAATATGATTTATCTTCAGATAGAGAAATTACATGACTTAACACGACACGGGGCTGTTAGGACGCACGGTACACGCGAACCTGTGCGACACTTGTTTCGCACTTGTTCTCACGAAAGGGCCACGATGAGAAGTAGTCCTGTGTTCGACCCTGTTCCCTGTGTCTCATCCCGGGGGAATTCTCTTCCAGGGCAAGCGGAACATCGTATACCGTGCAACACCGAACCGTCTATGGTGTGTGTTGAGAATACATTGGAACAGGCTCCCCATTGGCGTAAGGCGTTCCATGATTTCTCTTCGTTACATTCGCGTTATAATAAAATTAAATCCATATCTGTTTCATAAAAATTCACATAGAATTACAGAAATTTAAAATATAAAAATTGCTATGACTGCATCATAATATTGTTTAATTATTACGAAACAAATTATGTGCATAATTTAAGGTTATGTCATTTTATAAAAAAGAAAAGTTTGAATTTCTAATTAAACACTGAGGAATGTGGACATACATCAGACAAATAAAATAAGTAAAAGTAATAATAATGTTAATTCATTTAATTGAGTGTGGCACTGATCCATGGATGTTAATATTTCAACCTAACCTATAAAAAAGAATCTTCAGTATTAAATAGATGCTTACGTCAATGGTACGAATCGCAAACATACACAAATACATGGTGTTTCGTCTTTTATATCCACAGAGAAAACGTCAACCCCCCTTAGTGGTCTGATACATATGTCCTTGATTTGTCCGGAGAATAATATTCTCCTGGAAGGTTGATTAAATATTGGTTAGTGATCTCGGACACCCTTCGCCCCCGTTGCGATTCTACCCCATCGACTCGAAGACCCATAGGAATACAATTTAATATTTCTACGTCCAGGCAACAGTCGACTATTTTTCTTCCGATTCACACGTGTATACCACTATTAACCCTTGAAAAACGGAGTATGTAGACGTAACACACATATTATTCTATATTTTACTTACATCATCGAATCTGTTCTTTTCGAAAAATATCATAACGTTTCGTACGTTGGTCGTGTTCATAAACTCAATATGGCCGTAACGTGTCGTGTGCTGGTGTAATGAGACGTAAAATAGATTAACGTAGTAATTCACGTTAGCTCGCTGTAAAATGTTACTGGGCGCTGATTAAAATGGCTTGCGATTATTCGTTTGCTGATCTGCTCTTGCACGACGTTATTAAAGGCTAATCCTGTTTTATCGGGCATTTATGCGTCCGTTTATTTTCTCTTCGTTAATTTCGAACTCCCTGTGTCGAAAATTGTAACTGAAATATTCTTTCATGTTTCGTACTATCTATAATTCAGTTGTATGTTAATTGTTGGTTTTTAATATAAAGATGGCGCCACTTTTATAATTGGTGGGTACAGGTGCCTGAGAACGTGTAAGCAGAACAAGAATACACCTAGTATTAAAACGATATTTATAATAGTTTTATTCTGTATTTAATGTACAGTTAGTGCTAATATCTCTTCGAATAGATAAACTGGCAGTACTTCGGAGTTTCTGAGGTAAGTTAGATCAGTTTTTATTTCAAAAATAGCACAAATGACGTATATAATCAAACATTAAAAATACCGAAAGGTATTAGAAAAGAGAAAACTAAGATGCGATGAAAAATCCAATTTTAATACTGGAAATTGTATAAAGATAACATTGATATCAAATATCCGAGTAATTTATAAATGTAACGAAAAATAGTAGCTTAATTCGACTATATTTAACGTATGAAGATTAAATCATTACGTTCTTCTATATTCTGTAACAAACATAGCCTTATCAAAACAAAATTTAATATAAATAAACTTCCATAGACGATTTCTGTTTGTTTACATCTTGCATTTTTATAAATATAAAAACCTAAAGAACGGAAAAATAAATATTTCAATTAATCATATATCATAGTACAATAAATAATTTCACGTACCTCGCTGAAATAAGATAGAAAAAATATAATATACATTTCAAGAGACTCAAGAAATTCACTTCTTATAGAAAATTGTGTGATTTCTAACGCAGCCGTCGTTCACGTGTTGATATTCTAAAATAAGAAACAACTATAATTACAATTAGTTAAATTAAAAAAAAAATTTCAAACCGTACCGTGATTCGATCGATAATGCAGATCGTCCCAATTGACTGTACTTCGTCTGGACAGTTTAACTTTGTCCCCTTGCAAATTGTTCACAACTGTATCACACTTGGTGTTTCTTACTTCCATGAGGTTTTGTTTTGGAACGTGAACTTCGCACACGTTCGAAGGGTCTTTGACGTACCATAGATTCGACTGAAATTCCGGTCGACACAAGATCACTTTCCTTGCCAGAGGAGATTCATCGTAAGAAGCCAAACTTTCTTGTTTACCGTATACTGCCTTACTCTGCTCGCACGTGGGTACAAATATCACCTTTTGTGAGGATTCCTTAGGGCAGGATACCACGCGGTATCCAACATTGGGATTGACTACCTCTACCTTATCGACAGAGGTAACACGTTTGTTGCTCTGCATGTATATAGGTATCTTTTGTGCCCTGGAATTGTTCTCAACAGCCAAGTACTTGATTGGCTGCTCTTCGATTACCACGGCATTCCTTCCTGTACACTGATTGCTGGTAAAATTCGTTTGCAACTCGCGTTCCTCCATGGGCAATATCTGCAGATTTTGCACGCCCTTTAGTATACCAATGTCGGATACATCGTCCTGATAAAAATGCCTAGAGTGCACGGTCCTGTGCTTCTCCTTTTGACAAGAGACATTATCACTTGAGCATTCCTGGACGCTGTTGGGATCTACAACCACGTAACACACGTGCTGATCGTTATGGCACTTCTGATTGGAATGAAGATGCTGCTGGACTCTTCTCAGCAACACTTTCTCGCAAACGACAGGTTTCTGATGCACCTCTGCGTTTTGCATCTGCGATGGATTCGACTCCTGACTGCAATAGTAGGAGCCATCGGAACCTTCCGAGCAACGATGACACTGCTGACAATTTCTGCGCGTTGGGCAAGGATTCTTCATCGATTTCTCCTGGTCCACAGAAACGCTCCTCCTCATCACGCAGACGTTAGAGTTGTCGGCACTTCGGTCGGTAATTAGATTGTTCAGATACAGACAATGACCTATGTTACGAGAATCCTTCTTCGTGAACATTATAGTCTTCTGTACTGAAGGATTCATATTCTTCTTTCCCAGGAATATTTCATTGGTCTTCAACTTTTGAGGCTGTTGCTTGGCGTCCACTGGCTGCTCGCGGAAACTCTTGAAACATACTTCGTCTCTGAGCAGACTCGGTGATGCCATTACACAAGTCTGCACGTCTGCGGGGTCGAACATTGCTGTCGTTTCCAGTTTCTTGCTGTTCCTATTCGATTCCGTGTCTAATGTCTGTGGGGAGAAGAGGGCGCTCTGCTTTGGGGCCACATCCAGCAGTATCTCTTGAGGCTTTTTATTGATATGCATCGACGGGTCGAATAAATTCAAACGATTGTTATTATTTGCAGCATTGTTACATCGTCGCAGTATAGCGGGAATGTGTTTCAAATTCTTCACCTGATGTGATACTTTTAGGTTCCCTCTTCCAGGGTGTTTCTTTGCTCCATGCTTCACAAACTGCGTTTGTACGCGTTGAATCTTACGCTTCAAATGTTTTTTGGTAATTAAATCGTTTGGCAACTGTGCTTCCTTCGGTATGAAAAGGGGGGATTCCATTTTCTCCTTCAACCTTTCCATCTTGTTTACATGCATAGAAGCAGCAGCCTTAAAATTGCTGTCCCTCTTGCAATAATTTCCTTCGTAAAAATCGCGATTATTTATAGTTATATCCGTCAAATTGCTCTTTAAATTGTTCATTTCGTTCAGTGACTCTGGTTCAACATTCTCGACTCCTGAGCTTGATTTATTTAGTAAGGACAGATCGAATAATAGGTTAGGAGGAGCCTCGTTCTTCCTGCCATTCAAATCAAAATGTTTCTCTGGAATTACAAATATATTTTCACTTTCTGGCAAGCTTTCCCTTTTGTCCTTTCTGTGACGTAATTGACGATCTGGCTTCTCCACGGCCACAGATCCAAGATCTGAGTCTTGAACATAACCTAAAGGGCAATATTCAACGTCCGATGGGTTATCTTTACTAGAAGAGGCTATTACTTCGTTTAAAACTGTACCACGTTTAATCGTGTCTCCTAAATATTGACTACGGAACGATTCGGCGTACATGCTTCTCAATTTCTTCTTTGTTGCTATTAACGGGTCTGAAACAAAAGTTCCAATAACAACGGAAGTAATGGTGAACGGGATAAATACAGAGAAAGATAAGTACCTGTTACGAACTGAGGTAAATTCTTTCCCTCGAAATTCTCCGCAGAAACAGTACTACATAATTCTTCATACTTTTTAATTGCAGAGTCGGGAAATTTTTCAGTATCAACTGAATTTTTATTTTTAGGTTTTAGAAGAAAATTGAATACTCTTGGAGGATTCACATTTTCTATGCATCTGATTTTTGGGCGTTGCTTTTTTCTGTAAAAATATATGGATCCTTTGTTTTTATTTTATTTTATTTTTTTATCAGTAGTTCTATACATGTATTTGATCGATTCGTGTCTGTGACAGGTTTGAGAAGATTCAATGAAAATTACCTGAGACTTACCCATCCACTTTACCCAAAACAGGACTTAATCTCTTATCACCAGGAGGAGTTGGATGTAAAATATTTTTTACAGCAGAATCAAATAAAGGATTTTTTGAAACTCCCTTGGTACCATTTTCAATTGTAATAGGTCTGCAAAATAAAATAAAGTACGGGATAAATAACTTCTAATGATAGTTCAAGTTGAAACTAATTGTTTAAAATATTTTTGCTTACTCTAATTCGGAATCACAATTATTTAAAAGTTTATAAACATTCCCCTGTAGGCGCGCATTGTTTATATCGTTTAAAGGCTCTTTAGTTTGAGCTGTAAATTGTTACAAATTAACTAGATAATTTTGTTATTAAATAAAATCAACCATAAATACGTACATTTTTTTATTATTTTACCTGCTGCACCATTCCTATATATGCCAACTAACTAAAACAAAAAAAAATATATCATTTTTAAATATTATTTAATATTTGGAAGCATTTTATAAAGATAATGCTTTGTGTTTACAGCTTTTGGTAGAATTCTGTTGGACACCTTTTTTGAATTTCCCACCTTGCCCGATTTCCCATCAATCTTCGTTTGTTGGTTCTGGAAAATTGCGTTAGCAAATAATAATTGCAAAAGGAGACTAAAATGTGAGTTAAAATTTATTTTCCGATATACATATTGTTCTCGTATGTCTGCGAAACGATGTAAAAGCTTTATGAAACTACTCTGCCAAAATTTGCCCGTCACCTGACGGTTCTGCTGAAAAATTACATTTAGAACATCACTATTTAACAAACATCAGGTTGTGATTTAACGACAAAGATTCACAAAATTTAATTTTTAATAAGAAAATACAACACATATTTTCATTTTTGTATCAAATTTGGCAGACGTGCACCTAGCCTCAATTTCGAATTATATATTAAATAAAAGGTTTCCTGTACTCATTAAATAGATTCTTAAAAAAAATTATTGTTAACATTTATTTAGAGTGCAACAATTTTTATAAAAATAATAATCTCAGTATTTTCAATAACTTGTCGAACATAACCAAAAGCATAGCAAGATTCCAAAATGATATCGCTCTGTCAGATGTAATATATTCGCATAATGTTCTAAAATGAAAGAAAAATTTATGATTTCTAGAAAGAAGTTATAATTAATGTTTAATAAGAGAGATGTCCAGTGTATTGATACCCTTTTCGATTTTAATAGCCTCCGCTGCAATTCTTTCAGATCCTTTTTACATTTCTTCTTCTTCCTTCGTACTTTTCGTTCTTCGCCAGTAGGTTTTCTTTGTTCTTCTTCGGAACTGTCACTGGCTGCTTTGTCACGTATCACTTTACCCATTTCGCAATACTGGGAAGAGTCAAGTTACGTTTCGAACACGAGACCGACCAGCGTCCTCAACGTTTGTTTACTTTTCCATACCTCGCTTCTTATGGTGGCACAAATAAGTATCACGTGTTGTGACAATACCGACACACTGTGTCCTATTCTAAAGACGATAAATGTGTTGTTACATTCCATTAATGACTGGTATCATTGCAACAGGTAGTAAACACTGCTTCTCTGTTAATTGTGCGAACACAGAAACTTGCACTTAACCTATTAATACTCAAAGCTGTACATATTTGCTGTTCTTCTGGATACAAATGTTTCTTTTTAATATCTATTTAGTATTATAAATTATTTTTCTCTTAATGTTGTGGACCTAGAAAAACGAGTTGGTCGCTGTGTGCCACAATGTTTAATCGAATGATCGGACATTTAGCGTTGACAATTATTTGTGTACGTTAAGTAGTATGGAAAACATAAATTACTAGTAATTAGAAGTATTTATTTCGAACATGGGTATCTGACAAGCATAAGATGTGAAGTAATACTACAGTCAAATCAGTGTTTAATGTTAAAATTAAGTTGCTTGCAAATAAATTGTAACTAATGTGTGAACATGTGGAACAAATTTAAAATTATTATTACAATTAAATATGATAATTATTCTTTGTAATGTATTGAGAAATAAATTAAGTTTATGCGTATATAAACACTCAATTGATCATGCGCGTGGAAGCCATCTTAGTTTCGTTTGATTTAGTTCCGGAGTGGACGTATTGCCGAGTACGGAGCTATTTTGTGAAAAACGTAGTAGTTTTTGGGTTTTAATTGTGATAGTGGTTGTCGTAATGTGAATATTAAGGTATTTGAAGACAGTGATAGTGATAATTAGAACTAATTATGATTACTTTGCCGAAAATTCATACTTCGAGATGAAGGGGTAAGTGCACTCTATTTTAGAACATTTACATTTGCATAACAATGTTGTAAGGAACTACTCTTTATTGCTATTAATAAGAACTTAATACATGTTGGTATTTTAATTATATGCACTTTAATAAATATAATGACTAAAACGTGTGCCATATTTTCTCATTTGAAGAAAAACATGTCACAGTTGTTTCCGTAGTGTAGTGGTTATCACGTGTGCTTCACACGCACAAGGTCCCCGGTTCGATCCCGGGCGGAAACAGTTTTTTTGTCTGTGTATTTTACTTCATTTTTATTATACTTTGCTTTTTGAATAACATATACAATATATAAATATAAGTATTAGCTTCGTAATTATAATAACTTAGAAAATAATTAATAATATCTTTGTGCGCCATCTAATCGTTCACTTGCCATATACTATTGTAGAAAAGTGCATTATCGACAGGAGATAATTGATTATGCAATGTAGAAAAATGAAATTTTATGCAATATATAGAAAATAAAATTGTTCACATTATTTGCATAGGATTCATAATTTATTTTTTGTTTTTATTGAAAAAGAATTAGCTCTGCAGGTAAGTGCAGTTGCACATGCACGTTATTAGTGGAATTACCAGTAGGTGGCGCACGATTGCATTGTGGCGACCGATGTCGATAAGGAAGATTAGTCAAGATTATTCTCACCGCCACCTTTGTTGAACTATGTTTATTATTCATTTGTTACATTTAAAAACAAATTGGAATTAATTTTATGAATGTTCATTCTTCCAAAAGCCTTTAAACCCAAAGGACGTGTATATCATTATGTTAACAATTTCAAATATATTATTACAATTTAAACGCAATTCATTTAATTTAAATGTGGGATAAGCCCCCATATTCTGTGCATTAATAACTTGCTTCAAGTAAATGATGAAAATTGGGTGTTGAACTGCACTGTACAAAATTATTCTTGACTTAAAAGTTGCGAAAGAAATACATATTTATTATAAATACCATATTTTCACAGATCTAATTAATAATTAGAAAATTAATTATAAATACAACAGTATTTATAATATTGTAGAATTGCAAAGTGAATAGTGTTACTAAAATTCACATCAACCAAATGTGCACCTGCGAGCAAGAATGGGTTTCTTTGGTTATGGGAATAAATCTAGGGTTCATTCTTGTTGTTTATGCAAGAGGGCAGCAGGGTCGAACTTCCCCCTAACCAAGGAAGCTATCCTTGCCCGCGGCTTATATTTGAATAAGTATTATCAAAAATAAGAACAAGTTGAATTGATTCTACAAATATTTCTAAACAACTCTGTATCAGTAATTAAAATAGACAACCTAAGAAATAAATGAATAATTGAAGCTAACATTCTCCAGTGCTTGAGAGCACGTTGTATTACGTCATAGCTGTGCTGGTCAGCATGACCCTTCCTATGGCACATAAATGTCTGTATTCTTCAGAAATTTATGGCAGCGTATCTTGAACGCTTGTATACGTAAGCTCTGGTTTATAGGTTCGGGTTTTCGTATCGTTCACTGACCCTTTCTCACAGGGTCAAGTTAGGTAGGCTGCTAGATCACTATTGAGAATTCTCTTCATTTACAAATTTCTTGGAGCCATTGTTTCTGTATAATATAGAAGTAATGTTTTCGAAACGGGTTATTAAGCGACGTGAATTCCAAATGGTGGGGAAAGGAAAAGAAAGAGAAACGCGTAGCGGACAAGGGAGAATGAGAGGGAGAACGCACGCAATGGGGGTTTATGTAACTCGGGCATTAGTGACTGTGACGTCACGACGCCGCGACGCGATGCAACGGTTGCACACGGTCGATAGTGCAGTCAACTACTGCATTATACGCAGTCGACCCCACAGATTCATCAGTTACATGTAGTCAAGATCACTAGCAGTCCAAAACATACTTTCTAGCCACTGTGAAGATCTAAATCACCATGGATCTAATATTAGCCTTCGTGGTTTAGAAATTCTACCTGTAGTGTTCAGCAACTGCATAGTTGATACCAGTTGCCTACTTCAGCAGCATTAATTTGTTTTTCTTTAAAAAATCTTGAAACCAACAACTGAGGATAAAATAAATAGACACATAAGTAGAATTACAACCCACCCTAACAAACTGGAAGAATAAATATCAATCATAGACAGAGTCAGACGACTACCGAGGATTCATCCCAGTGCAGTGATTTATAACAAAATTGCTTCCACACATCAAAAACTAATTTTTTTGTGTGTAGACAGATGGTGGTCAATAAATAACAGTAATCTTGAAACGATGATCTTGAAAATCGCAAAGCAGGGCACATAATAGTTCCAGAAAATCCAAAACAGTATCGTTTAGTTACATAATCTTTATACGTGTATTTTGATCCCAGCCCGCTTACGTAATCTCTCATTTCACCCTAACCTCCGAGAAGGCTCCACCTAAGGTTCCCACAGAATCATCCTGTAAGCATCAAGGGAAGAAAGAGAGAGGCAAACAAGAGAGGCCAGAGCTCACGCAACGTCTTGGGGAACGCAAAAGATGATCCACGGGGAACTTAACCTAACCGCGGACTAGACGAGAGTATCTAACTGATGGATCTGCCGTCAATTAGACCGGCGAAACAAAACGAGCGGAGAGGAAGGAGGAAACACGATGAGAATGTATCAATCAGCACAATTTAATGCGTGAGAGGCAACAGAACCATGGAACGCGGGACAGAGACACCGCGGCGGTAGGAAATAAAGACGATAGCAAATGAGAGAGATGACAGAGGAATGAATGCAGCGACAAAGAGGCCACCAGATCAAGAGAGAAGAGGAGAAAGACAAAAGCAGATGCGGAATCCGTGGGATCAAGGGAGGGACCAAAGGAATAGAGGCAACGTTGCGAATAGACAGGGACGAAGAACAAGGGGACGATATTAATGGAACGAGATAGAGATTGCAGAGGAATACAGGGTGTTCCAAGTAATTAGGTTCTTCTAAAACATTTTGAACATCTCTACTTGCAAAACTGACAAATGCATCACCTGATGCTTTATTTGACACCATTTTATTTTGTCTAATGGAATTGTTTTCCATCCACTATTATCTTGGAGTTATACCTTGGTCCACCATGTATGAGGCACCCTGTATTTGCAGAACCTGTGGGACCAAGATCAAGAGAAGGAACAAAGACAGAGTTATGCTCGGAGGATAAAGAAGATCAGAGAGGAAGCAGAATGCTGTAAATGCAAAATTTGCTTGATCAAGAGAGACGGAGGGGAAAGATAAAGCAGAAAATAGAATGAATATAGAAAATTAATAGTTCGTAGCAAGGGAAAGAGAGAGGAAGAGGAGAGACTAAAGGCCTTGAACTGCTGTGGCGGTCGGCATTGCAACTTTCCGCTCTATGGGTCTCTCCCTTGCTCTCCTGTTTCATTTCTCTCTCCAAAGCGTCTCTCCCTCGCTTGGATAAGCTCGCGAGCCATCTTTCTTCGATCGACGATTCGAACACGATGCTCTCTTTCCTCGAACGTCTACTCCATGTTCCGGTAATAATTATTTATTTTATTGCTTACGACCCGCCGTCGTGGCAGGAAGTCATCATCGATTGATATTCCGTCGGGCAATGTTGTTTTGCCTGTGGGCCAATTATCGAATGTATTTTTCCTTTTGCATCATCGATAACCAGTTCCTAGATAAGGCTAATAGTTTTGATAGACTTGAAGTGTGCCAGGACATCTATGAGTATTTGTAGGTTATCCAGGCAATCCTTTCGTTTGCCATAGAAGTGGTGGAATGGCGGTCTAGGGAATTTTACTGGGACTTGTTATGGAAAAGTATCTAGAAAATGGCTACATATAAATTACTCTCTCAGGCACTAATGAAACTGTTTGGATAAGCATGTATAACTTTAACAGGATCAGATCTGACCCCACTTGGTACTCAAATTTTGAGTCATCCTGTATACAAGAAATTTTCATTAAACATAAACAAACAATTCGATCGGGGGCCGTTAAGCAGGTCCAACAGGTATAGACGAATAACTATATTCAAGCTCGGTGCCCCCGCGGGAGTGAACGAGCCATCAGAGATCCGGCACCTTGAACTTTTATCACGTGCACGAACAGCCGCGATAATAAGAGGCGGGAATTGTTGTTTGCATAAGCTCGAGCGCGTAATCGAATACCAGGAAACAATGCTGCGCGTGCGAAAAATCGTGTTTCTGAGTCAACGATCGGGGCACCTCGGGTTTCTTCTACTCGATTTCACGCCTTCGAATACGAGAGACAGAAATAATCCGACTGACATTGGATACCGTTTTTATTTCTCTTTGTACGTGGCGAGATGTGTATCACTATTCTATCTGTCACGTAGACAAGGTTTAAAGACTGAAGGTACCCAAAAGTCTGCACTTTTGAAACACAAAAACATCCGCAGACTGTTACGTTTGTGGGACACGGGTTCAGCGTACAGCCGTGGCTGGATCAACAGCCAGAATTCATTAACACTCGGCAGGCTGAACAAAGAATGAGTCAAAGTGAAAACACCAGTCTGCTCGAGAGAATTTTCAGTATTTTGTTACGCGTCGAGGCTGCACGCGTTGCAACGATATTGCGATCAGTTTCTATTGTTGGCCCGTTATCAGGAA